GAGAGAGAGAGAGAGCTGAGAACATACCGGGCTGTTGAGCATCTGGTTGCGCCTATTGCGGGCCTTCTTGATGTGGTTCTTGAGGGCGTTCGAGTCAAGGGGCTTCAGCAGCTCAAAGCTGCACAGAAGCTCCGAGGACACCGACATGACGGCGCCCCAGTTATCGAATTCTCCACAGTACTAACTGACGTCAGCATAAAACCAAATACACTAGCCGTGGAGAGAACTCACATTCGGAGCACTAAACACGGTCACCAGAACCCGATCGGTAAAGAACTCGTAGCCATCCTCAACAACCATGTGCGCGCGGCACACCAGGTCAAAGTCATTGGCCGCCAAGAAGTCTGTAATAACCTTCTTCCCGAAGCAGTAACTAACACCGCGCTCGTTGGCCTCCCAGTCCTGCTCCATGTCGGCCGGGTCGGACCACAACAAATCGTTCAGCAGCCCATAGTCTGGAACGTCGGTGGGACGAGCAATGTTGCGAATATCGTCCATGTGGCTAAGGGCGGGCGACAGGCCGCCGTGGACGCAGAAGATCTTAGAGGCGACGATGGCAGCAATGGGAAGCGTGTTGAAGGTGTCAATGAAGGTCTTCCAGATCTTGACGTTGCACCTGCGCTTGCATTCGTCGTAGAAGCCGTACACGCGTGTGACATTAGCACACTCGTGGTTACCGCGGAGGAGGAAGAAGTTCTCGGGGTACTTGAGTTTGTAGCACAGCAGCAGCAGGATCGTCTCGAGCGACTGCTTGCCTCGGTCGACATAGTCGCCAAGGAACAGGAAGTTGGCATGGGGCGGGAAACCGCACATCTCGAACATGCGGATCAGGTCTGTGTACTGACCGTGCACGTCGCCCACAATCTTGACGGGGGCGTCCAGCTCAAGCAGGGCAGGCTGCGACAGGAACACCTCCCTGGCGCGATGGCAGATGGCCGTGATCTCGGCATTCTTGAGGCACACGCTCTTCGTGACCTTGCCGGTGTAGGCCGCATCGAGCAGGCGCTTGATGAAATCGTCCACGTCGATGTCCTTGATGTCGCTCATAGCAACGCCCGCCGCATTATCTTCTTTCATAGCTTCTGACACCGCAGCTGGGGTAGGCCAGTTGGCCGAATCTTCGCGCTTGACCAGGATGCTCTGGCTCGGCTGCTGGGCCGACAGAGTGGTGTTCGTAGCACCACTGGGCGGCTGGTCGGAGACATGGTCGACCTCGCCGCTGGCCTGGGCGGCCGCGATGTCCTGGTGCTGTCCTTCCTTCACGGAAGTCGAAACAGGGGACTGAGGAGGGGGCGGGTCCTCAGAGGTCGGGGAGACGGCGGCGGAGTCGACGGACGTAGGGGAGCTTGGGCTCGAGGCTGTATAAGAATTATTTCGGCTTAACCGACCAACGGGAGACTTGGCCAGCCTGGAACCAGATTCGGAGTCTCCATTTCCTGCTGACAAGATGGCCGAGCTCCTGGGGCTGTCTGTCCGGCCGGGAATGCGGGAACGGAGAGAGCGGAAAGAGCGCGACGAATCGCGCGTCTCTGACTTGCCGAAAGAGGGGTAGGACTGGAGGCCCTCCTCAGGGCCGTTTCCAGATTTGGATGCTCCAGCATCCTTGGAGGATTGGTTGCCCATGGTTTCTCAGTCTCGGTCTCAGTCTTTTAGAGTCGCAGAGAAGGAGGCGGAAATCGCGGGGCTGGACGGCGTGCGCGTGTCAGGTTTGTGGTTCTGGCAGGATCGCCTTGGAATGCCCACAACAGCCTACCGCTGCACCCGTCTAGACAAGATAAACTGGTAGGAACCTTTCGCGCCCCGAACGTGCTAAGGGGGATGGTAGAAGCGTTCGAGGTCGGAAAGCAGGCTGATGGCGGTGGAAGACCGACGACCCGATGTGCGTTCCGTTTTCGAAAGTTTGGCCGCGACAATCGAAAACGACGATGCTTCAATCTGCGTGGGTTGCAGCAAAAAAAAGGGGGGGGGGAGAGGTGCGCGCGTGTAGAAAGCCTTAGTCGATCAAGCGGTCAGAGTGAGTTATCGGGTGGACAAAGGCTCGCGCTCGGATGGAGTCAGTCACGGGGATTGCGTGTCTCTTGTCCTGAGAGGACCGGGACCTAAGCCAGGTGGATGAACTCCACGGGGTGCGATGATGTCAGCGACGGCTATGTGCCAAAGGCAACAACCAACAGCGATAACACCAGAAAACAGCAGCAATCGCAGTCTCCGGCTCAACAGCGACCACGGCTCGCTGCATAATGAGAGAAAAAAAAATTGTGGGGAAGCTGAAGAGCAGGAATTGGGTCAAAAAAAACCTACGCTCGGCTGATAAGATGAGGGACTGCCTGATGAAAAACCTATCGCGCCAAGGCTGAGCTCGGCGACAGGGCGCCGGGGGTAGGTTGCGCCGCTAGGAATGAGGAGCGTTTGGCGATTCGATCGGTGACTGAGTTGTCGTCGGGCGCTACCGCAAAAACGGGCACACGGCTAAAGGCGAGAAAGGCCCGGGGTTGTTGTTTTGTCGGCTGGTGGACAATGAGACGGCCAGACGGAGAGTCGGGTGTAAGAATAGAGATAGGAACGGAGATGGGAGATGATAGCGCAGAGCGGGTACCAAGATGTGCCCAGAAGGGTGGGGAGCTGGCTGCTATGTAAGGTCCCAAATCGTTGGCTAACTGCGGCGGTCGGCCGTTGTGAGCTCGGGGTCCGGGTGGTTGGCTTAGAATCCACTACGAGGACGGATGAATGGGCTCGCCACTGGGACCACTGGAACCACTGGGAGCTGGGCTGATGATTAGTTGATGTATTGCCACGACCGCTGCTTGCTGGGGCCGAGCTTGCCGGTCGAGGTCGGGATCGGTGGTGTCACAGACGGCAGGGCAGCCCTGATTGGAACACGCCAAAAAAGACAAAAAAAAAGGTTTGGGCCAGCAGGTAAGTAGTTTCGACGGCTTGGAGTTTCAAGGGGCTGTTTGGGAGTCAGGAGAGCAATAAGCAGAAATTCGGAAGCTGGATTAACCTCAGCTGGCTGGAATCGCGTTAGGCGAGCGAGGCTGAGCAATGGCGATCGATGGAGATGGGCAATGGCGTGGTTGATGCGAGCTGTGTTATGTTACTGTGTAGAGGTTGTTCGCTTTAAACGGGCGTGAAAGTGAAAATCGAATATTAATTATGGGAAGGCTAATGACAACGACGCGGCTGGAGAGAGAGGCAAGCAGGCAGGGAAGCACTTAAGCAGCCGACGTTGCCTAACCGCCTGCGGGGACGTCTGCGATGGGACCGTACACAATCTGCAATGCTGCAGCGAGAGCGTACTGAGCTGTGACCTGTGAGCGAGTGGATGAGGAGTGCTGCTTGAATGAGGCTGTGAGCCAATCTGGAGTGTTGGATGGATGCTTGGGATTGCAACGATGGGTCTGCCAGTGTGGTCTCTCTGGTTCTGGGTCGTGGATCTGCTGGGTCTGCTGGGTCCGGCTTGGGTCTGCTGACAGGGCTAGATCGTGATGGACAGCAACGATGGAGAAGCTCCTTGGAACTGGAAGCGGGAGGAGCACGGGGTTACGTACAATGGATGCAAAATCTGGGGGACGTCGCAAATATCAGATGGCAGCTTCCCAATGTAAAATTTACAGATCCAAAGATCCAGAAGGGTTCCAAAGATGACAGGAGCATTCCGTCCCGACACCCTCGGCTCCCTGCTCATCCAAGCTGAAGGGCAGCTCTTCCCGCGAACGAACAACTGGGGTTACAGACGGCACGTGCCTTGTAGCCTGTGTGGGGTGGGGCTCCTGCCAAGCCCTAGAGGTTTGACGACTGCATGCGGCCAAGAGTAGCTAGAGCACCCCGCAGCATGCATCCTCTGCCTGCTTCTAGCATTGCAGTGTTATTATTGTGTTTTCTGAGACACCAGATGTTCTTCCCTCGCACCTACACTAACTGCCAGCATTCGCCAAAATCACAGCTCTTCCAGAGGGATCATCATCCAGACCAAGGCAGTCAGACTCAGGATCCCGAAGTCGGGAAAATTCGAATGCACAGAGCCCAAAATGTCTGCGAATAAACGAAGCATGTGGAGGTGCGGCCCTGGGCAAACATCCCCATTGGCTTCTTGCTCGCCTTGGCCGGCACCAGCTGAGACACGGGCCGTCTTGGTCCTGCTGTGAACTTAGACAAGACGCCGTTGATATCGCCTCCGCGGCTGCCCAGAAGCAGAAGCGTATCCGCAAGCCCACTCTGATTGGGACTTTACCCGGCACGCGGGACAGCTCCAGCAGTTTGGAACCCGGGATCCCTACGCGGGTTTCACAAGAGCTCAGCCAGTCAGAGGAACTTATCAAGGGGCGCTCCATGGCGGCAGGCCCGGTAAAACTGTAAAAAGGCTACGTAGTTGCTGAGCACATCTTACACGACAGAATTCTTCATGAATAGCAATTATCAAGAGCACGGACAATCAGACTCATCATGACGATGGGGCCCAGTCTGGACACCTGTTCCAAAGGACAACCCTGGGTCTCGGTATCTTAAAGCCAGGAACGGCGCCCAAACAACCATGCAAGCCTCCGTTGGCTCCGTCCGGCTTGCATTTCAGTGGCTCGAGGCGACGAGCACATGACCCAGTGCTGGTGTTCTCCGACGAAGCGGTGTGCGTCGTACAACGACCCCCATCGCCATGATGATCATGGGAAGAGGGTGAATTGAGTGAGAAGTGAAGTTAGGAAGTTCTCCTCTTCAGGAATATCAGGATCTGAGCGTTGATTCGGCATCCCACCCGAACGGCGGAGTTCTCGGTTCCGCATTCGCCCATGTGCAGCAACCGAACGACTGGGGTTGCGAGTTGCGCGGGAGAGTGTGGGGGACGACGGTCAAGGGTTCAAATTGCGGGAGAGGGTTCTCGGTGAGGAACATCTTGCGTGGGCAGGTCCTCTCCAGACTTCACAGGACCACCAGCGCAGAGAGGAACAACTCAACTCTGCCCACGAGTCGCAGCAGAGCCCCATTGCTTGTCCACGAACACCACCACCATCACGAAGTTCAAAAAATCTGCAAATCACCTGCCCCAGAAAAATCGGCATTGACAGCAAAACCCCTGTTGTCGTGTGACCATGCGCTTGGGATGAACACACCGAGACCGGCTTCCTCTCTTAGGTGAGACGGGTGAGACAAGATCCTCCTCCGTCGCCGGACGGAACGGCATCGGCACGGCATCTTGGCCAGCGCCGTCCACCCAAGTCCGAGAGCCGGCCCCGGACCACCCCAGCTGGGGAGGGGCTTACGGCTTGGAAATCGGATGAGATCGGCGAGCATCCGAGGCCCATCCGAGGCCCAGTGCTCACCGCCTTCACATGCTGGCTGGCTTTTCCAGTTCCAAATTTAGAATTCTGCCGGAGGCGCCGATGCTAGGCTTTCCGGCCGATTTGCCCAGCCACTGCGAGTGCCGGTGACCAGCCCAGCCCCCGTCAGAGCAAAGCCACAAAGCCAAGACTGTGGCCGCGTCATCATTTTCATGCAAGAAAGAGGCTTTGAGAACCTTGATGGGCTCACCTATCGGTGCAAGGTGAACAAAAGCTGACCGAGGATGATTGTGACTGTCACAGCGGGGTTGGACAATTTTTTGAGCATCAAATCAAGAGAAACATTAAAGGAGAGTCGTCGTGCTTCATATTTCATAGATATATGTCCACAAAAGAACTTGTCCCGTCCGCCTCACAGAACATGCACAACTCGTGCTGATTATCATCAGATCAACACACCCATGAACCATCAGCAATAGAGCAGCAGAACTCTCGTGGAGCCAACCAGCACTCTTCGACCCCCCCCCCTTCCCCCAAGCCAGCTGGTGGAGTTCACTCGCTACTCAGTCTACCAAGCTGGCGCAAGCTCTCTCGCACCGAGCTACAGGAACAACAACAACGACGAAAAAAAAGCCCTAACTCCGTTTTATCATTCCTTTCTCAATGACGCATCCTCGAAATGCCAAGTCCTGATCGCAGCTCCACAGACAAGCATGAGCTGTTGATTGTGAAGTTGTCATCGTTGGTTGGAGCAAACTCGAAAAAATTTTACGCTACAGGGATTTTTATGTGAGTTGGTTGTTGTGTTTCAATCGCACGCTTCTGCAGAAAGCAGAGTTGCATTTAGACCACGCGTTCCTATCGTTCTCGAGTTCCACAGCTCATAACGGAGGAGCTGGTGGGGGATGATTGTGTCACGGCCCGTGAGACCAATTGATGCAAAACGATCTCGTCTCGTGAATCGGGTCTCTTGTCGCAGGCCAGTCTACGGCGTCCATGTTGCGGTTGATCTGAACCATGGCCGCGTACAATGCCACCATCAGATAAGTACGTGGTGCAAAGACTTTCTTGTCATGCTCACGTTTTGTGTCCGTCGTCCTATATGCGCAACTCTCTGTCTCAGCCTGCTCCGTATAGTGTTACCATAAACTGTGTTTTTAAATTCTCTCGGTCCACAAAGGGTCACAAATGCCGTGATGATGTGATGCATAGTCAACTGGTCGTTATGGTTTCCGTATCTAGATCTGCTTGTCACATACGGCTCAAAACACGGGAATCAGGGCCGGCAAGCCGCGAACCGGCCAAGAGAGAGAGAGAGAGAGAGAGAGAGAGAGAGAGAGAGATAGACCGAAACGTCCTGAACAAACACGGGCTACTAGGCTGTGCGCCAAGCATGAGAGCCGTCAACTTGTTGAGTTGTCACCCAGGTCTCGATCCCTTTGATTTCGGACTTTCTCACAACCCTTGCTTGACTGACGAGACAGCTTGGCCCACTTGGGCATCTCTACGCTACGTAAGATCAGCCCGAAAAGGCCAAAATAGAATCCGACGGGCTGGGTCATCACAGCTATGCAACACGATGCAACTGTACCTGATGGGACGCAAAGTGATCACTGATGAGTTCAGATCAAATGAAAAAGTTCACCACCAAATGTTGTAAGCTTGGCGCTGGAGGAGGCCTACAAACTCTTGGACAAGAAACCTTCCAGCCCAGCCCCTCTTTCCTCACCCGTCGCTCATCACCCCTCCTGGGCGGTGTCTTGGCGCGGGGCTGCTAGCCAGAACAGGTGGGTCTGCTGGCGTCACTGAGCTACAGATTGCAGAGATGACGGGTGCTGCGCCACGCCACCAAGGCAACGACTCAGCCTTTTTCCACCATCCGGATGGAAGTGGTTCCATGCTTGGAACAAGTCTTGGGTTTAGGCCTGCTCCCGTCCGCTGGCCCGCTCGCTGTGGTCTTCGCCCTTGGTTACAGTTTGGGTGTGTCACAGATACCGGAACACAGCCGGCTGCCCGAACTGGGAGAGGGAGGCGAGGCTCGTTTGTAACTTGGGTAGGGCATTATAAGTACTAGAAGGGTGTGCCATCTCGTTTTGTTTCTTGTCCCATCCATCCGTTGTTTTGTGTTTGTTGTCCTTTTGGTGTGTTACAGTACTTGGGGATTTTTGTCTTCATTTTTTTTTCCCCCGTTGACTCTAACTCTCATTGGGCATTCCACTTTTCTGGAATCCCACCTCCCACATCCATTCAGACTCTTAACTTCCCGCTGGACAACTTCAGGTTCTTCTCCGCATAAAAAAAGACCTAAGTGTGGGTTTTGGGATTCTTGTTGCATTTGTTGTTGCCCCGCCAGCGAGACAACACATCAGAATCCAGAATTCAGAATCCGTCGCTCTCTTCTTAGTCACCCCTCCCTCATTCGGCGGTCTGCATCAGCGACGCTGCTCTTCGCATTAATCACGTCAGTCTTGATTCGTTGAAATACCGACGTCAGCCTGACTGTACTGCGCGACTGCGATCTGCCGTGGACACTATTTGAGCCCGGGCTCCTGCTTTTGTCGAAGTCGAAAGTCGAAGTCGCTTCCACATCAGACGTATAACACATACACCATATACAACACATCCAGCATGGCGAATCCAGGGCGATTCCTCTGCATAGCACTGCCTTTCCTGCTAACACTAGCATCGCTCATCTCGATGCTAGTAGCCGGCCTGGCAGGCGTCGCCGACAAGAAGCTATACATGTTCCGCATCAACACAACCGACCTCGAGATCTCGCCTCTCAACGTCCAAAACATCCTCAACCAAGCCGGCGTCAACATCCCCAACAACGTCAACCTCGACAACATCAACATCCCTAACAACGTCAACCTCGACAACATCAATATCCCCAACGTCAAGATCGACATCGACAAGCGCCAGTCTCAGTCCAAGAACATCACCGCCGCGGACCTCGGCCTCCACAACCTCTACGACATCTCCATCTTCACCTACTGCTACACCGACCAATCCGGCGACCGTCACTGCCCCAAGCCGGCCTTCAACTGGGCCCGCTCCGCACTGAACACCACTCCAGGCGACTTCAACTCCCTGATCACTACCACCGGCCTCAACGTCACTTTACCCGAAGAAATTACCTCCGCCATCCGCGTCTTCACTACTGTCTCCCGCTGGACGCAATACATCTATATCGCGGCAATCGGCGCCCTCGTTGTGGAACTCTTCTTCGGCCTCTTCGCGAACTGCTCGCGGGCCATGAGCTGCGTGACGTTCCTCGTTGCGGGCGTCGCCGCCGTCCTGGTCGGCACCGCCGCGGCGATGGCGACCGCCACAGCTGCGACCGTCGTCGGGGCGGTCGAGGCCTCCGCCAAATATTACGGCGTCGACAGCAAGATCAACACGCGCTTCCTGTCGGCGGTCTGGTTCGCCTTCACGTTTGCCGCCGCCGCCGCCCTGTTCTGGTGCTTTACCATCTGCTGCTGCAAGCCGGATCGGTACAAGAGCGCCGGCGGCGGGGTTAGGCATCGCGATGAGAGCGCCTCGGAGAAGTTTATCCCACTTGCCTCGGGAGCGGGCGCGTCGGCCAAGGGCTATCAGCGGCTTAGTGAGGCTAGCCTGGGCGAGAATGGGAATACGGGGTATTATGGCGCCGGAGGGTATAGTGCCGGGTATCCAAGGCAGTATCCGGAGCCGGTGGCATATGGGGCGCAGAGGGAGAGTGCTTATGAGCCATATTCGCACGTAAGGACGTAGGGGATATGTGAATCAGAGGAACAGGGAATGGGCGAGGTGTACGGGTGTGAGAGAAGGAGATGAGTGAAGGTTGAGGAACTGGAGGTTTTGGTTTTTTTTTTTTCCTCTTGTGCTTGTGTTTATTTGTTTCCCTATTGCAGGTTGCACCTCGCTTGCTTGCATGAGCTCGGCGTTTTGGGTTTGAAATTGAGTTTGGCTTGGCCTGGGATGGATAAATTGCCTATGGACTGAGCGAGAAAGAGGGAGGAATCCTGAGAGAGATGGGTCCATTGGGCGGCGTAGCTTGCTTAGGTACCTAGGTAGTAGATAACAGTGCCAATGACAATGGCTATGATGGGTGTTCACAGTACTTTGGTGTTCCTTTTGTGAAATATGGCAAAGTTCTTTCTTTTTTTTTTTTGTGTATGGGAGGAGTCATTTAGGAAACAGCTCTTACTTTTCTTTCTAGTGTAGAGGTATAGTACCTATACGACAAAGATGATAAACCCCAAGCCCGTTGTCATCATCCGTGATGTTGGGCTGCCCTTGCCTTTTTCTTCCTGCGGGAGGATATACCATGCTCTAGAGAATATAAAGTGCATTTCGAACATGCTCTGGCACGTACGACCATACCCAGTGGAAAGCACGGCATCCCGTCCGCTCTGCCCTAGTTAAGCCACTGAGGGCCCGGTTAGTAGTTGGGTCGGTGACGACCAGCGAATCCCGGGTGTTGTACGTCCCATATTTTTTTTGGCCGTTCTTTGATTTTCAATACGTTTCATGTTCATCTCCTTTGTTCTATTTGATTTAGTATCACGTTGTCATGGTTTCCAGCGAAATGTTGTCTCTTAGCCCCCGAGTCTGCACTATGATCCCCTTGTCTGTCGGTCTCTAAGGGACTCAGCACTGCATCTTAGAGACTTTTTTCCTTTACAATAATGAAAAACGGTGACACAACATAGGTTACATAAGTCAGTTTCGAAATAACTACACACTATAATGATCATAAAATCTAACTTGAAACCGCGGCGTTCGTTTTTGTCTCGTTACGTGTTTGTTCCCTGCCAAGACTCTTTGTTCGTCATATGTCAAGTGCTCTCCCTTGAAGATAAGATTATATTCAGACAGCGAACCAGTTTTGTGCCATCGATGACTGTTCTACGGCAAGAGACAATAGCATTGTGAACATGGATGATGATGAGTTCATCAACCTGATATATATATATATATATATCTCTACCCCGCGAGACGGGACTTTCGTACAGCTCATCAGACAGATGTCTTAACCCACTCATCTCTACTTGCTCATCAATCTTCAAATAAAATCTGAAAATAACAAGGTAAGCCAACACACACCAAGACGTAACAACCATGTTTTGTAGTCACTACAACGCACAAGGCTATCCCATTACCTGCCCATGCCGGCGCAGAGTCGAAGCTCTGCCCGATATCGATATCCACCCCAAATGCCGCAACAAAGTCTTCCAGCATTCCTTCGGCATTGAGCTCGAATTCCTCTGGTGGGTCCGCATCGCCCGTGTTGCTGACCCTGAAGAACACAAGAAGCGTCACGGCATCGACCCGACCAAGATCTGCATCCAGTCGCTCGAGATCGGCCCAACCAGCTTTGACTCGGAGCGGAAATGGGCCGAACAGCAGATTGCCGATGCCATTCTCAAGGTGCGCGGCGCCCAGGTTCGTATAGGAGGGGAGTTTGGCGCTGAGCTGAGGAAACATCAGCCCCAGCAGCTGCTGCATCCGGGCTACCTCTACGCGGATGATGCCTGGACGATCAAAATGGATCCGAGTGTCGATGAGGTGGCTAACTTGGCGAAGCACCTGCCCGAGCCGCCGGAGGATGGCAGCTGGACGAACTGGGAGCTGATAACCTTTGAACTAGCCAGTCCTGCGCTTTGGGATAGGCCCCAGAGCTGGCGACATGTCTACGAAGTCGTCCGCAACCTGCAGCAGAAGCTGTCTCCTGGACTGCGAGTCAATCCAACGTGCGGCTTCCACGTCCACGTCGGCGCCGGCGTCAACTACGACGACGACTACGCCGAGTGGCTTTGCACAGAAGGCTACAGAAACGACGATCCAAACAATAACGCGAAAAGCCGTCCCCAAGCTCGCAAGCACACCCTCAGCACCCTCAAGCGCGCCGCCGCCCTCTTCTGGGCCGCCGACGGCTTCCTCGCCTCCATACATGTCCCTGAGCGCTTCCTTAGCCCCTATGCCCGCTCCATCCGCATCGACTCTGCCCTAGCCCAGGACCGGCTCCCTCGCGCAACAGGCTGCTCGCTCCGTCCCAGCGACTCAGACTACCCCATCCTCCCCATTCTCGATGACAACGCCCCTGACCATGATACCTCTCAATCCCTACTCCCCCTAAATCGCCTGGCCTCCAGATCTTTCCCTCGCATCCAGCCCTCCCAACGTCTCTCCATCACGCGGCCCCTAGAAGGGCAGAGGCTCAATACCCTCTGCCGCCACGCAAAGCTCATGCTTGGTCCTGCCCCACCGCCCATCGAACCTAGCAAGATTATTAACAAGACTGCGCTGAGCGGGCTGCAGAAGATAATGCAGCTGCGCACGCGTCGCGACCTCGAAGTCGCCTTCAGCGTGGCGTGGGCTGCGAACTCTGCCCCTTCGACGTCCTCGTCCTCCAGCCCCGGCTCCGGCTCCGGCTCCGGCTCCTCGGACCCGTTCGACTCAAACTCATCACCCAGCAGCACGAGAACGGCGAACACAACCAACACAACAACCGCAACCACAACTACTATCGACAACAACGAAGACTGGACTGCGAGCCTAATCTCCCGCCGCCTAAACTACGCCATACGCTGGACGCCCTCTGAGCGCCAAACCGTGGAATTCCGCGAAGCAGGTGGCACCATGTCGCCCCTCTGGGCGTGCATCTGGGCTAGCATCTGCGTGGGCATGTTCCGCTTCGCGAAGAACGCCGATGATGCGCGGTATTGGAGAATCATGGAACGGGTGGTGCAGGCCGAGAAGGGCGAGAAGAAGGGGAAGGACAGGAGCGGAGAGGAATATGATGTCGTGGCGATGCTGATGGATATGGGGATGTTTGCGGAGGCCTTGTGGGTGGAGAAGATGGTGAAGACGAACCCGGGGAGTTTGTGGTATCCTTGTTTGCAGTTGAAGTCGAGGGCGAGTTGGGGAGAGGAGGACGATTCGGGGGAGGAGCGGGAGAGATTATAGAGGTGAGTTAGGGGATGAGGAGGTGGTGATGCTTAAAAAAGGTAAGTGATAGATGAGAAGGTAGGTTCAACTTTCCGAATATCTCTTTTAACAATCTATGTGATAGATATACTTAGTAAACTCTGGCTGAATAAATTTGTCTTTTTTTTTCGAATCTTGTAGAAGTAGTTTTTAGCTTGTGATATGTTTGTTAAGGACCAACAAGATGCCGGAGTTGATCATGAATGCTATAATCAATAATACATCATTATCCTTCAGTACCATCCATCTGACTGCCCTGTGAACCTCAATGTCTTGAGAGGATGGAGGCTAGGTACTTACCAACTTTTACACACAGTAGGTAAGTAATCATTCTCAATGAATCTCTATAGTCAGACAAGCTACCTCCCAGCCGACTATGACCGACAGTCGTGCGATGAGAACGATGAAATGAGTGATAGCTAACGAAGAGCTTCATCTAAAGATGTAAACATCTGTAGATATCTGTTGTTATTTAGTACAGTTTACATGCATTATTGGGCGCAAACCAGTTAGCTCAGTCTTTTTTTTTCCCTTTTTTATGATCAACTGCGTCCTTTGTTTTCGATGGTTTCCATAATGCGTAAGAAGAAAATGATAGCTCATTACCCTTGTAGCAGATCGTCCAGTGTTTGTATATTCAGAGATGTGCTGAAGGCTGTTAAAAGTCATAAAAAGCATCTTAACAGACCTTAACAGCAAATAGAGTGTTGTGATACTTGGTTTTTTTTTGGGGGGGGGGGCGGTGGGGCAGTCATCATTATACATTGAACTGACATCGCCGAGTGACAGTTGAGCTAGCTTTCTGCACATAAGTGAGGATAGACTGCATGAGTTACTTCTATGTTGGTGACCAGTGAGTTAACAATCAAGTGGTAAACCAATTGATGCTTCTCATCAAGTGGATAATGGAAGGTAAATGGCCTGGACACGGTCTAGCCAGGCTGCTGGAAGTCAATGGCCAATATTCTGTCCCTGTAGCATGGCGAGGACAGCATACAGAAGGATAATTATAAAAAAAGTCTTCCATTGGTCTGTTCAGAGCCTCTATTTCATGCAAACATGACTGAGCTCCACTAGTGAGTATTCTGGAAGTTTTTTATTTTTTTTTCAACTTCTGCTTATCTCTACAAATGTCTTCATTGGCATAAGCATAAGGAAGGCATATATAGACAGCCAACACAGCATAAGATGGAGAGCAAGTCATGTCTTGTCAAGCCAAGATGTATTAGAACCTCTAAATATTCAAAATACCAATGAAGAAAAACCAAAATGCTTAAACCACATATACCAAGCCAGATAGACATATCTCATCACCGAGCCAGTCGGGATGGCTTCAAACTCAATGTTAAAAAAAAAAGACAAACCCCCAACCCGAAATATCAACTTTTCCATAAATCCTGAATACCTAACCACCTTTGAGACCCAGTCCCTCATGATCAAATCCCCCCGTACCTAACCCCTCTCTTCCCGATCTCCCTCCTACTGATCGGATCTTCGGGCCATACCCACCCCCTACTCCTTTTCGCCTCCCTCTTCTCCGCCAACTGTGGCTGCGGCATCCAGCTATCTCTCGCCATTGGTGCAACCTTTCTCCTCGTCCCTTCCGCGGGGGCGCCAATCTCTGCCTTCCAGTGCGCCTGTTCAGGCATGGGCTCGTCCCCCGCCAGGAGGAGTAGCCCCCAGAGGGCGAGACAGGCTGTGAGGGGGACTTGGGACGGGTCTTCGGGTAATGCTGGGGTCTGTCCGTTTTCTGAGGAGGCGTGCTTGGCCAGTTGGACGCTGGCAACCTCCAGATACCCAAACCAGGGAGCCCCGCGCTCTTCACTATTCCTCACGACAACGAGCTCGATTTCCGTCAAGATGAACCCATACCGACACCCATGCTCCCTCATCGCATGATGCAGATGCGCCAGCCCCCTCAAATACTCCACCTTCTTCACGTTTCCTTCCACGCGCATGCCTGTGTTGAAGCGGTCAAAGGACTTGACCAGCCCGACCACGCGCGCAGTGGGCTTCCCCCCAAACAACATCGCCGCCGACTCCGCCGTCGTCGAGTCCGCCGGCGTGGCAACAAACATACAATCCGTCTGCATTCCCAGCGTCTGGTTCATCGCGGCCCCCTTTCTCGCATACCCCGGTACAGACAGCCTCAACGGCCGGGTGCTGCACACAGCTAATGCAGCGTTTATCCTCGGCAGATAGTGCTGTGCATAGATCGTATGCAGAGCCTGCTCCGTCTCGGGGTGACGCTGTCCTACCTGCGGCGGAGGAGGCAGCAGCGCGGTTGAGACGGGGACAGACAGGCAAGCGGCTGCGCCGGGGAAGGAGAGGATTGTGGAAGCCGTGAAGGAGTTCCAAGGACGGACTTGTCGGATGTCCCACCAGAAGTGGCGGGTGTTGGGGTCACGGAGGGGGAAGGAGAGGGTGCGGACTAGCGAAGGGGCTGGGTTGGGGGCTGTGAGGTGGGCGTAGAGGTTGGTTGTGGGCATCAGCGCTGCCGGGGTGATGGGAGCAGCCGCGGCGGCCGCAGCCGAGGGGGAGGCAGCCCTCGGAGCGTACTGGAGGGGCTGTTGGGGGGGATAGAGGAAGTTGTCTGGTTGAGGGAGAGCCGTCTGAGGTTGCCGGGGTTGAGGAGGCGGGCTGGTGCTCGTCCTAGCTGGAGGGACATAAGCCGCGACTTGGTAAGACGGAAAAGCGTATGGCTCGACGGTGACATTCTCCAAGCTGGTGCAGGGGGAGACCTGGCGAGAGGAGACGTCGATGTCGATGACGGAGGGTTCCCGGGTGAAGTTGGCCGGGGAGCAGAGCAGGGAAGCCGGGATCTTTTCCGAGGGGAGGGAGACCGGCACAGTCGGGTAGGAGATGGCCGCTGGGGAGGTATTGCTGCGCTGATGGGACGGCCGGAAGGGGGCTTTGTTCGGGCCGACCGGGCTGGGGGACGTCCGGGCACGCTTGGCAACCCGCGAGGGAGGGACTGCCGGGGCGGCAACATCCTGGTCTTGGCTTCGGATCTTGGGGAGAAGCAGAGGGCCGTGAGTTCGGATAGGAGAACGGGCCGGGGTTGTTTGGCGAGTGCTCACAGCCGAAGGGTTGGAGTCCTCAGAGGGAGAAGACTCGAAGGAGTAGACTGAGCTGTGGGAGCTGGAGCGACCATGACTGGCATTGTAGGGGATCTGGAGAAGAGAGGGGTCGAAGTTGAAGTTGGGAGGTGTTGCCGGGGGGCAGGAGAAAGTGAAGTCGAAGGAGACATCCGCTGCCAGACTGTTCAAGTCAGCATCTTTTTGTCGATTGTTTTATTTTATTTCTTTCTTTCTTTCTTTCTTTCTTTCTTTCTTTCTTTCCCCCTTGAGGACACCTACGTGGACGCCATGTTGACAGTGTCAACACAACTGATTAAAATTAGCGGATGTGGTATCAAGTCTGGAGGCCGGCCCCCAGAGTATAGGCAATGTCAAAACAAAGAAAGAGTCTATAGCGTATGAAACAAAACACAAGGCTGAGACTGAGACGGCGCAGCCGACTTCTCCAAATTGGCCCAGTCCCTGACGAGCAAAGTTGTCGGTCAGTCTCTCTGTCTAAGTCTGAAGATGGACGATCGGAACGAGAGGGAATGTGATGGAGGAGAGCCATCGGCTTATATCCATCCTCGACAACGACGAGCAGCGGCTCGATCATAGGCCAAGAAAGGCCGGGCCACGCGCTGCAATAGCCGACCGCGACGCACGGAAAGTAGCATGGGTACTCGGATGCACAAAATTGGCGCGGAGCTGAGGTGACCCTGTCGGGTCTTGGGATACACTTGGTTCGCGGAAGCGCGTAGAGAGGGCTCATCTTCACGGTCATCCCAAGGGTACGTACCCTGCAGCCGCAGACCTATCTCAGAGCACCCGGGTACCACATGCACAACGCCACCACCACGGCGGCTCCAGGTACGTACCCGATGCGTGGATTAACCTGAAACACGCGGAGAGAGTTTAGCTTGCCAGCTCATGATGGTCATTTCATCTTTTCTGGAGGGGCTGTCCGCAGGAAGCCTCAAAGAGTGGGCACAACTTGCTACCTTCAACCCAGACCGTCCTCATAATGATGGAACTTTTAGGCTCTGACAGTATAGAATCTAGCCTCATCTTAATTCTGAACGTAGACTCTCTTTCTCGTCACATTCTTCTTCTCAAATCAGACTGGTCATTTTCGTCCTTCAAAGCCACAACCCAACATATACCTACCTCAACAAGTGCGGAGCTCGCTCCAAAGCTTCTCTGTCCTCCTCCCAGCTTTCAGCTTCCAAGCAGCTGCTTCAGCGTTGCCAAGACCAAGATGGTCCGAGCTTCTCCGCAGCCATCTTCAAACTGGTGAAGTCACGGCGTGATTCTGAGTTCTGATTGGCTGGACTACCCTGTCCTGCAAGCCGCCCGCCTTGAGTCACTTTCTGCACCACCTCAACTCTTCCCCCCTCCATCTTCTTTCCGCGGATGCATTGGAAGATGCAGATGGATGTGGCTTCACGGGAAAAAAAAAAAAAGAAAAAAAATGGCGCGGAGGTTCCTCCGCTGACGCGATCAACACGTCCGAGAGAGATTTTGAGAACATCGGACGTGGAAGACGTGTCGTGACGTGCCGTGTTCGCGAGGACGGAAAAGTTGTGTTAGCAACTGACACCCAGGTACATCTTGATCCAGTTCCTTGAGGACAAAGCTTCTCAATAACAGAGACGCATAAACCCTTTCCCAACTGACTTCACCCAGCTCCTTCATCAAATCTCCCCAAACGGACCTAACCACGCGGCCACCAAAACCCCAGCATAGCTTAAACCTATTTTTGTCCTCCATGCATCCGCGGATCTCGATCTACAGTGAGTCCCGCTTCCTCTTCCCAAGATCTCCGTCTCACAAGTGCAGGAAATAATCCACTTCCAGATCCATCCGAGCGCCTATTAAACTCAGGGACAGACCAAGGGGGATTACCTAACCTGTGTGCGCCCGCGCGCTTCATCGTCATAAAGTTACCCAGCATAGAAATATGTCTGGAGGGGTACACGTGAATTAGCCGCCGAACCCCTGCTCAGTACGGAAACGAGCAAGCGGGCGCTTGCGGACGAGGATTGGATGCGGAAGTGAGACCTTTCCATAACACTCAGCTTCCTGGCTCTGATCAGCTCAGGCCAGGCAAGGCAAGCCAGGTAAGGTAGGTAGGACAGAGGACAGGGCTGCTCTGTTAATATCTGCCTCGAGTTCGTACAACGTATTTTAGCTCTCTCCGATTAAATATAAACAAACACAACCCCCAGGTTGCTTCTCTCTTCTTGGACAAATGTCTTATCCTCATTTAGGGTTATATCCCCCACAATCACCCGCGATTGGACCATCCCACGCGCCAGATGGTACGCTTAAAAGGTGCACAGCCTCTTCCATCAGACTCCAGTAGGCTCGGCTGGCCGCAGAGACTTTTATCATGTACGTATGTAAATGTTGTCGTCATCGGGCCGTTCCCTGTGGCCCTGTTTGCCGCAGGAAGCCGGGCGCTTGGCAAAGATCAGCTCGGTCAGCGAGGGAAGGGGACCCTACTAACACCTGAGTGTGTTAGGGTACCTGAACCTGCTTACTAATCAGCAAGCAAAGTCATTCCTGGGCTGCTTATCTAATCAAATACTTACGTAATCAAAGCCTAGCAATTAGTCACACACACAAGACTGATTACATAATCGTAACGACCCCTCCGCGACCACGACGCGAACCCGGAACACTCCTCCCCATCGTTCACTCCGGGAGTCACCCTGCGCTTGTCCAACGTGCTTTCGCGTCTTGTCCGTCGACCGTGTCTTTCCCTCCCCCTGCAGACGCGACAGGCCAATCCCCACGCGCCTCACACGTGTCGCTGCAGGAGCCCCGCGTTGGTCATCCAATCCGATCGGATAAACCTGACTTCCCCGCACCGATGGGAGACGTCAAGGATTCCTGATGGGTGAATGTAGGCGGAGAGAGTGTGTGAGAGAGAGAGGCGGGGGGGGGGGGGAGGGGTTGAAATGACTCTTCTAACCAACCAAACCAACCCGAAGTTTTCATGATGATTGCTTTTGGATGAGCCAGCCGGATCCAGTCGGCAGACTGAAGATATCCCCGAGCAAACCTAACCCAACCCAGCCCCGCCCCACCTCGCCCTGCCTCGTCCTGCTGGTCGGGATGATCGATATTTCCATGTCTGATGTTTCGAACTTTGTCTTGTCTGGTTGGTTGACGATGCTCAGATGTTTCGTTTCAGGTTTGTGGAAGCTACATACATACAAAGCTGCATGCAGATGGTAGATGCAAAGGTGGATGACTCACCTCGGGCTGCATGCATCACTATATGCTACCGGTAGATTGTGACATGATCAATCATGGATTTCGGGCTTTGGTAGGGTTAAACTATCACCGATGAGGCTTGGATCGATGGGTTTCGGGTTCGGTAGATGTGTTGGCAGCTTGATAGTATGGTAGTTAGGTAATTGCCTCATTCTCTTGGGCTGTTTCAGATCCGACAAGGTTGAGGGACGTGTAAGTGGTGTCGTTTGATGTGATGTGATGGGTCGTTGTTTAGAACGGGCAGACTACGAGGCGAGGTTCAGTCCATCCCATCTCTTGCCGGCTGTGAGAGTGAGTTGTTCAGCGCTGGGGGTTTTGGCACCAAGCCTGTTGTAGAATGTGGAAACGGAGAACTTGGGCTTATGGTATCCTCTTAGAAGCCCACTTACACACAGTCAGAGACTCCGAAGCAGCCTCAGGCTACCCTGTATCCTCCTGTAGTCCTGTCCCAGAGAGTCTTGAGCGAGAGTTCAGTGTGATTCTCATCTTGAAGTTAAGGTATGATACTACTACGGTGCTACCATAGGTGCTCCCGTGATAGAACCAACATGATTATTATTCTTGTTAAAATACCAAATCTGCGGGAGAGAAACGAACTCTGGTATCATCGATTTGTCATCATTCAGTTCGCTGAATAATTCCCCTCAGAGTAGAACGTACACCCATCCAATCCATCATGATGCATGCATACAGGAGACAAAAGCCTACATCATAGAGAACCCGTTATCCCTTTCCTTCCAAAAGCTCCCGAGCCAGCAACCAAACGAGAGTCATCATCCAATGTGACAACTTCAAAGGCATTATGTACATTCGAGGTGTCTGATTGGCGGGTAGCCTGAGGTCATGTTGTTGTATGCATGAAGTGGTTGTGCCAGTGCTCATGGGACTTCTTACCCCGCCACCGAACCACAAGAAATCGATGAGATACCAAGCCGTCTGTCTTGTCCAACCGACGACGGGACGGCAGTGCCGAGCGACGTCTCAGCCGACCGGGACGTACGCGTCCGGCTTTCGTCGGACGCGTGCCCTCACTCACCAACCGGCACCCTCCCCCCCATCCATCCCAACCCCAACCCCAACCCCAACCCCCTCCATCCCAAATTCCCCTTCTCTCCCTCCTATACCCGGAAAAACCAGACCTTCCCTAACCGCCCTCAACGCCCTCTCCAGCCCCCTCAGCCGTTCCCTCTCCTCTCTCAACACCCCCCTCGCCAACTCCCTGATCGCTCTCCTCCCCATGCGCTCATGCATCTCCCTCCACCCAGCCAGTTCGCCCGCCACAGTCTGCTGCGCATACCGCAGCTCGCGGGCTAAGCGTTCCGCTTCGTTCAGGGAGCGGGCTGCGCGCGCGGCGGCGCGAGATTGCCTCGTTGTTGGTCCGAGGTTAGGGTCGTTGCTATTGGGGTTAGGGCTTGACGGGGAAGAAGAGGAGGAGGTGCCGGCTACCGCGGTGAGGGAGACGCCATCGAATAAGGAGGTTACGAGAGAAGGCCAGCGGGATCTGCTTCCTTCACCGGTGGATGGAGTTGGGGAGGAGGAGCCCCCGCCGGCGATGAGCGACGCAGTAGAGGATCTCGCCGAGGCGCGCTCGGCATCACGTCTAATAGCCGCGATGCGGGCGATTGTCTGCGGCGGCCGGGCAAGGGCTTTGAGGATGGCTTCGATGTTGGCGTGGAGGGCGAGAAAGGAGGAAAAGAAGGTTTGGTACGGGGAAGATTGCGAAGGGCAGAGGGTGCGGACGTAGGTTGCGAAGGCGGCGGCGTGCGAGGAGGGAAGGAAGGGAAGAGTTGAGAGGGATTGGGAGAGGAGGGCGGCGGACTCGTGGAGGTCTGGACGTTGATCGAGGTTAGTTAGACCGTGTGAATAGGAGCTTCAGGAGTAAACATACCACTGGCAGCATTAACAACCGCATTCGCGCGTCTCGCCACACTCCTGGTCCCAAACTGGACACTCCTGACCATATCTCTCGCATGATCGACAAACTGCTCAACTTCCCTCAAATCCTCGACCGGCTCAAGCTCTTCGTGCACCTTCTCCATCAACGCCTCGTACTTCAGCCTGGACCTCTCAGCCATCATATCGAGCTGAAGATCCGGAACGAGGAAAAACTCCCACAGCATCTCGTGCGTCGCAAACGTCGGATGCGCCAGGAGAACCCTCAGAAACCAATCCATCCTCACCTGCAAATCCCTCAGCACCGCCCTGCTCGGGCGACTGGGGATCTGCACCGGCGATCTGAGGTCCGCCAGCGACGGGATCCATGACGCAGGGTTCTCCATCTGCAGCAGCCTAGCTAAATGCTCAAAATCCCCCAACGACCTTCTGCACGTCGTCACCGCGTAGGAATTACTATCCAGCGGGGCGCCCGACTTGACCACAAACCTGACCGTCGCATCCTCCACGAAAAAAGCCCTCACCACGCCCGTCGTCCGACTCGCAAGCTCGTCAGCCGTCCTCTTATCTCCAGCCGTAGCCATGGCCGCCGTGGGCGGCGGAATCGGCGGCGGCGTGAGCATGAACAGCGTCAGATCGTCCATCTTGTTGCGGAGGTCATCATCCTTAGCCAGTTCAACGGCCGTCAGGCCGCGCAGTTCGCGCGCAGCGGTGTCAACGCGGGGATCGCTGAAGAGTACCCGAACCATATCAAACCGACCGTACTTGGCCGCCAGCATCAGCGCCGTAAACTTCTTCTCGTTGACGGCATTGACATCCACATCACACTGCTGCAGGATCCTAGCCGCCAACGCCGCATCGTTAATAATATGCAGCAGCGTATTTCCCTTGATATCGACATGATGATCCAGATGCAGCGGTTGTCCATCGCCCTGCGTCTTTGTCGCCGCCTCGAGCGCCTCCTCCACCATAGTACTATAGTTGGGATGATCATACGAGCGACACAACGCAAACAGCGGCGTTTGCCCATTGCGATCCTTCTGCCGCCACGGAAGCATGTGCCCGATGCGGCGGATCAGGAAGGGCGCGTGGAACAGGTAGTGCGCGGCGCTGCGGCCCCAGGTGTCCTGGATGGCGAAGTACTCGCGGAGTTTGTCGTCGTCGACGCGCGCTAGCAAGAAGTCCAGGATGGTCTCGACAATCGTCTCGTCGCCAAGCTGCACCGCCGCACTGAAGAGCGTCGTGCCCTCGTTGTTTCGGTCCTCGAGGATCGCTTCCGCGGAGTAGTACTGGCTCAGCGAGAGTAGATACCTCAGCGCCTCCGGCTGACGATTCTGTATCGCCATCATCGGCACCGACTCGCCAAACGCATCGTGCGTCTGCGACAGCCGCTCAATTGACGTGTCCCCCTCCATCCCACTAAACGTCCCAACACTCAGCGGCATGGACCGGAACGAGATTTCCGACCCGCTGGACATACTCCTAGTATCCATGACCACTTTTTTGGGCCTTTTCATCGGCTGCTGCTGCTGCTGCTGCTGCTGCTGCTGCTGTTGTTGTTGTTGTTGTTGTTGTTGTTGTTGAGTCTCGCCATCCCCATCACCCCCCGACTCCTCCGTCATTCCATTCTCCACAAAAGGAAACACATGCCCCAGCCCTGATCCCAGGCTAAACCTCTCCGACAGTGTCAAACTCGCCGACGACCTATTCACCTCAGTTGACTCTGACCCCCACCCCTTGTCCTCATCCCCATCCCCATCATCCACCACATCATCATTCGGCTCCATAATCCTCCTCAACTCTTTGAGATCTCCCCTTGCCGTGGCATCCCAGAGCGCCTTATTCCTCCGGCTCGCCCTTCTCAGCCCCCCCGATTCCCGATCCAGATACGAGAGCACGGCCTCGAACGTGCTGAGCGCATACCCCATCTCGCCGCTCTCGATATCATCGATGAAGATGAAGTTGCGGATGTAGGCTAGGCGCGCCTGTAGGTGCTTCACCTGCGCTTTGATGACGATGTAGAGCAGCAACGACACTAATGTGTCCGCGTTTATCGTCATGACCGGCTTTTCCGACGACGTCGGTCCCTGTTGGACATCCGACGGCGGTTGCGGCGGGACATCCGTGAGTTGTGTAGCCGCCTTCACCGTCGCCAGCAAAATCTCCATCATCTCCTGCGGACAGCTGGCGTTGGGCAGGCGTCTAAACTCCTCGACTGCCCTCTGCAGCCTAGAAACTGCCGCCCTCTTCGCCCGACTGCCCCCCTCAATCACCACCCCGAGCTGCGCAATATCAATGTGATCCATCTGCCTGATCTTCGCCTCTAGCTCCAGATCCTCCTGTCTCCGAAGCGCCGCTAGGCGCGGGAACAGGAAATGGTGCACATTCTCCGCGATGTACCTCTCGATAAGCCTTTCCACCACGGGACCCGTCAGATCCGTCGTCTGCCCCAGATGAGCAAGCTGGTTGCGGTCGACGCTCTGGAATAGGTCAATCGCCGCCATGACGGCCGTCTCCAAGGCCGTGCGCATCACGGTTTCATCATCTTCTGGCGGTTTATCTGGAATTGGAATAGGAGGATCATCTAGATCACTCGAGGGAGAAACGGCTGCCGCCTTAGACGGATCATATCGGGCGTCGCTGAGGGACCTCGCGCGCTTTACTGCCCTCGAAATCGGTCCGTCGGGTTCGGGGTCCGGGATTTCGGGTGCTGAGGGGGGCGGGGGTAAGGGACGCTCGAAGACGAGGGTGAATTCGCGGAAGAGCTTTTCGAGGCCGGACTGCATCTGTTTGGCGATGGCAGGGAAGTGGTTGAGGAGCTCGTGGAAGCTTTTGACGTCTTTTTTCTTAGGAGGGTTGCTCTGCTGGCGGTTGCCGGGTGGTTTGGCCGGGAGCCGGGCAGGTTCTGCAATGCCCTTGGAAGAAGGAGGGGGTAGTATGGCCGGGGGGATTTTGACTTCGACCCATGTTCCTACGAGCGGGCGCGAGATGTAGTAGACCAGGAAGGGGCGCGGATCGAGCGTGTCGGGGTACCAGATGACGTCGTGGAGGAGGGTTGCTTGGGCGAGGTTTTTGAAGCCTGTCGCAGCAATCAGCCTCTCTGTAGTCAAACATGTAAGCAGCATATACGCAAGGAGTCGTACCCTTATTCGTAAACACCGTACTATCCTTGATCACCAAACTCCTCCCATTAATCGTGGCATACAGTCTCGGTTTCCCTCTCATCTCGCGCAAATTCTGCTGCTGTCCCCCCTGCGCAGCCGCAGCATCATCCTTTCCCCCTCCCCCTCCGCCGGCCTGCTGCTGCCCACCACCCTTCGGCGGCACTATCCTCAATATATGACTCGCCAAAAAATCATTCTCAACTATGGAGGCCACAAGCGGCGCTCCCGAATCCGGGTCGCGACTGTTGAGCAGGACATCGGCGGTCGGTACCAGCAAGACGTGGTGCTGGGGCGGCTGGCACTGGGCGAGGAGGGCAGAGCTCTTGGAGAAGGCACTGAGGAAGGGGTTTAGGGGTTGCATTCATTCGACTACTCTCGCGGCAATAAGGGGCCAATACTGGTTTTGGGATGTTTATCGGGTTCTGCTTCGGTGGTTCCTGGGAATAAAGCGGCTAGAGGTTGGCGCTGGTGCTGGTGAACGGGCGATCGTCGCAGCCACCACCATTGGGCAGTTCAGCGGTCGAGAAGAGACTTGTGGGCGGCGTGTCGACCATGCAGCGGCTAGGCTTCTTGGATGCTGTGGCCTGGGGTCTTGCAAGCTGTTTGTCAGTGTTGACGCTGCCGCCGTACGCTCTCCTTCATTCACCCAAGCTCCAGGAAGGACGGTGTGCTGGTTAGCGGGACGCAGGTGACGCAATCCGCCGATCCTAAAATTTCAGCTGGCCTCAGGTTCTTGAAAACCTGGTCTCGTCAAGCTTGCTGCCTGTCGGCGACTCTGGCTGCTGACAAGACGGATGAGGGGACGTGGTCGCTTCGCTTCGCTGAGGTCTCGCTGACGATCTAATCTGATCTGTTTCGATATTCGTATCCTATGTCCTGGCAAATTATGCGGATGCGGTGCGGTCGGTGGCTGGGAAGTCAACTGCGCGCACGTCCTGCAAGCGGTTCGGTCTGGTCGTGAAACGTTGGACTGAACGATCGAGCTGCCCGTTTCTTGGTTTCTTGGGTTTCTTAGGATGCAAGATGCTTCCCGGAACTCGAGCGGGAAGCGTCGCGCTAACAGGGGTGCTGGCGGGCTAGTGGGGCCGCAGGTAAGGGTGTGCGCACTGTACTAATACTGTATAACTGCCGAAGGACATCATTGACCATGGACGTTGTCTTCTGGGCCCAGTTGATCTCGAAGACTTTTGCAGTAGGGAAACTAACCTTTTGCTATTGGAACCAGAGCTATCGATCAAACATGGTATGGATACCTAGGTAGGTATTTGATGTTATCAAAACACCTATCTGGAAGCTAGGCTGCATAAATTACGGAAAGATGTGACAGCTCAGATCTTAAGACCAGACCCTGCTTGACGTGTGATGTCCAAAGACCAAAAAAAGAAAAGAAAGAAAAGAAACGAAAGCTCTAGCCTTATGTAATCTGCCCACATAAGATGAGAATGAGTAGCATTAATATAAACAATCATTATGACATATTGTAGCAGGAGGGTACTTGGGCTTCAGCTTCATCTCCATCAAGACCTTGGCTACACAGTCACCTCACACCTCACTCAATCAAAGTGGGTATATACTGGCTCTCATGTTACAGTCATCATCATGATCTCATATTTTATTACTATACTCCCGGCTCACGACTTGGCCGCACCGGCCTTGATCAGCAGGATATCACCATCTTCAACCACATAGTCCTTGCCCTTGGTCATCATCTTGCCCTTAGCCCGCACCTCCGACTCATCACCCAGCTCCTTAAGCGTCGTGTAGTTGTACACGATAGCCTGGATGAAGGTCTTCTCAAAGTCGCTGTGGATAACGCCAGCGGCCTGCGGGGCCTTGGTGCCGGCGCGGATAGTCCACTGCCGCACCTCGTCGGGGCCGACGGTGAAGAAGCTGTGCAGGTGTAGCGCCTTGCGCATCTGTACGATGACCTTGGGCAGGGCAGAGTCGGCACCGACTCTCTTGCACTCTTCCTTGGCCTCCTCCTCGCTCATGTTGGCTAACCTGTGCTCGAAGGCCGCCGAGATGGGGATGATGGGGTCACCCTCGGCGTGCTCCTTGACCCATTCAACGATCTTGGGTAGGTGCTTGTTCTTCTTGCGGATGAAGTCCCGCTCAGACAGGTTCACCAGGAAGACGACGGGCTTGGCCGTCAGAAGGAACAGAGGATTTATGGCCTCGACCTGCGATGTATTAGCGTGTGTACACAGCAAATGCAAACTAACAAGAAAAGGCAAAAAAAGTGAGCTTCCGTCTGCTCAGACTCAAGTTTTTATCTCATGAAGCCTCAATTCAGGAGGTTTCGACGAGCTGGGTTTGAAGTTCGGGCCTTGGGCCCTTTATCATCATAGACGGGAGAGAGAGAGAGAGAGGAGGGCGGGGGCGGGGGGACGCCCGAGGTGGCGATGAGTAGAGAAGAACAAAGGAAAAAAAAAAAAATAAAACAAGACCTACCTCCTTCGGAGTCCAGTCGCCCTTGCGGACATCCTTGCCATCCTTGAGCCAGGCCAGGACCTTCTCCATGGTGGCTTCTTCCTCCTTCCACTTCTTCATCTGCAAGCTCTGGCCGCCCTGGCGCGTCTTCTTCTTCTGGGCCTCGAGCGCCTTCTCGACGAACTCGATATCCTTGAGCCGCAGCTCCTCGCTGATGATGTTGAGATCGCGGACAGGATCGACGTCGCCCTCGACGTGGATAATCTCGGCATCATCGAAACACCGAACGACCTCGAAGATGGCATCGACGGCGCGAATGTGCGACAGGAAGGCATTGCCCAGACCGGCGCCTGTTGACGCACCGCGGGTCAGACCGGCAATGTCGTAGATGGTAAGATTGGCCGGCACGCGCGACTTGGGGTTGTACTTCTCGCACAGCCAGTCGAAGCGGTCATCGGGAACGATGACGCGGGCCTCCTCGGGGTCGATGGTAGCATAGGGGAAGTTCTAGGGAGAGGCGCGAGTTTCACATCAGCGTCGGCCCTTCATCAACCATTGACAACTAGGTGTCGGTGCATACAGCAGGGTTGCCCAGGTTAGACTTGGTGATGGCCTGGAAGAGCGTCGACTTGCCGACGTTGGCCAGTCCGACCTAATAATCGCGCGACGCAGAGCGTGGTCAGCATGGCCGACGACGATGGAGAGGCCAAAAGCAGCCCATCAATCATAATCACGCGCAACCCACAATACCGCTCTTCAGGTTGTTGCCGGGGCGGCCCAGGAGGACCTTCTCTTGCGCGGCCTGCTTGGGAGGCATCTTCTTGGGCTTTGCGCGCTTGGCGTAGGTGCGAGTGAAGTTGTAGTAGACGACGAGCGTGCAGTTAAGCACGGGATGGCGGGAGCAAAACGCAGAGCTAGCTGCGAAGGGGCGAAAGAGGGGGGAAGAAGAAGCGAAGAGAAGCGACCGAAGGGATGAGGACGCCGTGGTGGTGAAGGGTGAGCTCGTGGTCGGATAGCCACGAGCACGACTGACAAATTCGCAACCACAACCACGCAATTGGCGGGCTCGTAATCGCTTCAGGTGAAATTGGCTGCAAACAAATGCGCCGCGTTGTGGTGATTGAGAGGTGTCCGGCACGGGACGAAAGCAGTTGGGGGTAACTGGTGAGGTTGATGAGGGAGTTGAAAATTTTGGGGGGTCGAACGCGGGGCTTCCCCCCCTTCGCCCAGCCCAGCAACGAAGTGGGGTAGAGACGAGCCAATGACGTTGATTCAAGAGGGGCTCTGGCCAGGGTTCCAGACCCACTTGGCCCTGGCGGGGTCGAGTGTTCTTGGCTGCAGCTCGGGGTCCAGCTGTTGCGACAGCGCTGCAGCGAATCCAACTCTGCTCCAAGTGAAATTTAGTCTAAACGCCGGCGTTCCAATCGTTGTCGTAATTAACATGCGTATCGAGTATTGCAGCGCTGCGTCCTTGTGTTGTTGGCCAACCTTACTATTGAGCTGTGCCCTCATTGTTTATTGATTCCCTGGTGCCCTCGTAGAGTTGGATGGTGGCGAAGCTGACGCTGACCGCGCCAACTGCTCTCACCTTGCGAGGCTAAGACGGTCAGAGAGTCCTCCTCTCTCTCTGACTTTCTGGAGCAGAGCTCCTCATCTGGCTCGGGAAGCCCGGCTTTTATCGATCTGTTGCTGGAGCGGGAACGACTCCAATTCCCCCAACTCTTTGTTCGGCGTGGCCGATTTCAACATCGACCTTCGAACATTCTTCTCCTTGCATCAATTGTTCTTTTTTTTTCTTTTCCCTTTTTTTCCCGCTTACCAACAGTACTAGCCAGTTATCATCATCACTCCCGCCGATATGTCCGATCCAACTCCCACTGGCAAAAAATCCCACCACAAGCACAAACACTCCCGCTCGCACCGCACCCACCGCTCAACCCTCTCCCTCCAAAAAACCGAAATTATCATCAACGTCTACGACCTCCTGCCCCCCGGCCGCCTCTCCTCCGTCCTCTGGACCCTCGGCACATCCCTGCTACACTCCGGCGTCGTCATCAATGGCAAAGAATACGCCTACGGGGGGCACAACCGCCCGGGCATAACCGGCGTGTACTGGACGCGCCCCAAGACGGAGCCGCCCGGCGGCCACTTCCGCTGCGAAATCCTGCACGGGTTCACGATCGCAGCGCCGCACGAGATCGAGCGCATCATCCAGGAAGTGTCGGAGGAGTTTCTGGGGCCGTCGTATAACCTGTTGACCAAGAACTGCAACCATTTTACGTCGTACCTCTGTCAGAAGCTGACGGGTCGCCCGGGACCGGCGTGGCTGAATCGCGCGGCGAGTATTGGCGTCAGGTTTCCATGCGTCGTGCCTAAGGAGTGGGTGACCGTGCCGGATTTTGAGACGGCTGAGGGGGAGCTGGTTGATGAAGATGAGGAGGAAGGGTATGGGTATGGGGTCGGCGGGCATGGGGGCGACGAGCGGTCTAAGATGCTGAGGTCGTCGGATGAGGTGCCGAGGCTTGTTGGGCAGAAGCCGGCGGGACCGACAGAGCAGTTTGAGCTAGGGAGTGAAGAGGATGAGAGGAGTGGCAGGGTAAGGGCCCCGGCTGTCAGGGACGCCGAGGGAAGGGCACTACCCCCTGCTGAGAGGGCGCCGACTTTGTGAGGACGAGAGTCGCTCTCGCTGGTTTCATCCTTCTATCTTCTAGTCTTGGATTGGTGATTTCGGGAAAAGTTAAACAGGCCGGGTCGGCGTTGTCTTGGAGTTGAGGGAAGGGATCATCCTGGATTTGTTCTTTCGATACCACGGTATAGGTACCTACCTACCTACATACATACATACATACACTCGGCGAAAACAACAAGGGCCAAATAATCTTGGGCCAGTTGTTTCGGGGACGGCGTATGTATGTATGTATGTATGTATGTATGTATGTATGTATGTGTGTGTGTGTGTGTGTGTGTGTGTGTGTGTGTGTGTCTCTTGTGTTCTGATTATTTGATATATTCATATCAGTCGCTACAGAACTGGACGCATGGACGGAAAATATTCCTGGGTGGGATGGCTCCCGGAGCATAGCTTAGATCTTGTGTTGCCATACAATCCAGAATTCGAATTCGAAAGGTATTGTATTACCTTCCTGTTATCGAGCTGCATCCCGAGGGACTGTGAGGTATGTCGGGGGTTTTACGGCCGATATGCATGACTCTCTCGGAGTGTCCTCGGGGCTTGGGAGAATATCCTGAGTGTACGAGGCTGGCTGTTACCATTCAGCCTTGTCAGCTCATGCCTCAAACTCATCATCTTGATGCTAGCAGCTGTAAACACACCGCGAATATCTTGATTTGACTATATTCACCATTCCCACACATACACATCCCGCTTCATCACCAATTTCTCATCCATTCCCCCCCCTCCCCCCCCTCCCTCCCTCCTCCTCCTCTCTCTCTCTCTCTCTCTCTCTCTCCTCTCTCTCTTTGACTGACGTCCTGATCATCACTCCTCCCCAACCATCTCCCTATTCCACCTCAAGACCTGCTCACACACCCCCTCAATCGTCGCACACCCACTCCCATACCCAATTCCCCCCTCCTCCACGCTCTTCCTCGCCTCCCGATCATCCACAAACGCATGACTTGACACGCTAAACACTGACGGCTGCAGCAAATGCACATCCCCACTGGGTTCCTTCCAGCCCAGCGTCTTGCTCAACCAGGGAACCTTGGCTAACAACAGACACCAGCCCTCGATCATATGCGCAAGCAGAAAGAGTAGGATCGGAGGAACGGGTTTGACCGTCGTGGGGGTTTTTGCCAGCGTCATAGCAGCGAGGTAGACATCGCCGTAGGCGGTGGGCGGGCCGTGGTCGGTGACGACGAAGGGTTTCCCGGCGCAGGCGGGCATTTCCTTGCGGGCGAGGGCCGCTTCGAAGGCGAGGTGGGCCTGGGCGACGTTGCGCGAGCAGACAAAGTTTTGGATGATGTGCGGTGTCCAGGAGACGTTGGTACCGCTGCGGAGGACGATACCGACGACGGGGTCGGAGGGCTGACCGTAGATCGGATTGCCGGGGCGGATGGTACCCGTGCGAAAGGCGGGCGTGTTGGAGGCGAGGATGAGCCGTTCGGCTTCAGCTTTGGTGTAGGCGTCTGGTTGGGGAGTTAATCATCATGCTCGACTTCAGGTGAAGGTAAAAATAAGGGGTACGAGAGAGTCTTACAGTTCCCGAAGAAACGCCCATGCTCTCTTAACGGCTTCCCCCAGTCCCTCTCATCGATAACCTGGAAATAATCCTTCGGCCCCTTCTCCCACGGCCAGACCCAGAAATTAGGAGGGACGAGCGCCACGGAAGCAGACGACGTAGCCACAAAGATGTCGGCCCCAGCCTGTTGAGCCGCCTCCATCACGTTCTTTGCGCCATCCCGATTCACCCGGCTGCAGCGCTCATAGAACAATATGCTGCGCTCCTGGGGCCGGATAACTGCCGCGGTATGGAAGACGGTCAGAGGCAAAGTCGCGACAGAGGTTGGCCATGGTTTGGCAAAAGCTGCTTCGACCGACGAGCGATCTGATATGTCGGCCTTGACATAGTCACATCCCGTCGCGGCCATGTCAGGCCGTTGCGGGGGGGCAAAGTCTACGATGCGGATGCTCTCGGCCGGCTGGCCGCGCGCTAGGAGGGCGAGGACGATGTCACCTCCGACGAGGCCTAAGCATTTGTCAGTATACACAGCGCTCTATTGTGAGGGGTGAGGTGTAAAGTGAGGTAAGAGGTCTCACCTGATCCGCCGACGACTACATATCGTCTGTTGAGGCGGGGCGGCAGGAGCTTGTCAAAACCGAGGGGCTGTTTCTTGAGACGCTCGTAGGTTTCCCTGATCTCTTCTTTGGCCCAACGGTGAGGAGATAGCTGGGCGATCTCGGCTGGGACAGAGCGCATGGACGCGTTGATCTTGTAGAGGTAGAGCAGGGCCGCGAGGGCCACGGCCAGGGGCACCGCCCACCACATGCTGCTTGGTTGGCTAGGTGTGCGAAAGTTGGGTGAAGTCGTTGTTTTTTGTTCAAGAGCGATCAGACTTTTGGGGGAGGAAGAGTCATTGCGCAGGAAGCCGTTTTCGACCTTGACTGTGATGAGGCCAGTGAACCGACACACTGGCCACGTTGAAGGGTCGAGGACGATGGGACGAGGAAGATGGATGAGAGACAGGCTTCTTAAGCAACAATACAAGCCGCATTTTGCATTTTTCTCAGCCACAACTAACGTGGTATCCCGAGCTTGAACGCACTCGGAGAGTTCGCCCGCGAAGGAAGGATTCTCGTGATGTCTCTCATGTTTACTACGTGAATTCACGTCCAAGATTGCCCTCAACTACAGCCTCCTTAGTCTCATAAATTCCCAGCTCAGTATAAAACGAAACATAGCACATGCTGCCCTCGGCTGTTCAAAGTTTGTGCCGGTAGCCAGCGTCCACAGGCTCAGACACAAAGTCCCAGTCTCGGCTCTGCGGAGAGACACACAACGCAACATCATAGTAGAGCATGTGCAGAATACAAGGCATTACAAGCCCTCTGTGCGTCCTGAACTCAATCATAATGTTAATGCTACACAAGAGTAGTCGACGAGATCTGTGTCGCTGATCCCTGCGCTCCTGTGGCCCTGCGTCATGCCCAGAACGACGAACACAGCGGAAATACCCAACTGGTGGAGAGTGTGGCCGACGCCGGTGGACCTGTGGCTGGTTGGCCTCGGATGGCGTTCCACGTCTCCCGCAGCGTGACGTGAATGTCGAGCCATTGACCAATCAGGGAGCAGGTGACGGGTCCTGCAGAAAAAGCTTGGCCGCCAGGAGATCTTATCGCACGTGGGACGTCGAGGGCGACCATCTCCCTCCGCGATGATGGTAGTCTGTTTCTTCTCTCTCTGACAGGGACCATCATGAAACGCTCGAGGGACCCAAAGGGTTCACTGCTGTAACGGCATGGAGGGACGCTCCCGGTCCCTCCCTGTTTCTGGAAAGCTTGTAAAGCATATGTCTACTGTATGATGCCACCGTCGACAACAGAGAGAACGGATAGCGCATGGTGCATGATTGAAACCGTGCCGTGGCCCGACCCCTTGCAATTTGCGCCACGGTCAAGCCGCGTCCGAGTTCAAAAAAAAAAAAAAGTCCCATTCTATCGTACATGTTGTCTCCATGAGTTCTTTTTTTAAGGTGGAGCAGACATCGACCAGCGGAGATCAATTTCGATCGTCCAAAATTTGGGTTTCCAGAAGAGATGAACTGAATGTCATGTGCCGCGTCGGGAGCTATTGGGGAGTAGAAATTGTAAAGATACGAAGAAAATCATCAACCTTCCCGGCCCGTATTGCTTGATGGATGGATACGTAGTGTACACATCGCTGTGCTGAACCTGCATACCCGCACCTTTGTCCACCCACCCATCCAGAGTGACTTCAGCGGTGGTCAGGCGCCGCTCCCAGCTAGTGACAGACCGCTCGAGAGGCCGACGGAGTTGCGCGGAAACCAAGACCTAGCAACGCAGGAACGCAATTAGCCAATGAGAGCACTCTATAGGGACGTATCAGGATCCACAATGCCGTCGGGTCCCAGCTGTTCTGGGGTTCCGCGAGCGACCCTCACTGGCCTTGGCAGGTTCCGGCAGGTCCTCTCAGACCCTCGCCTTCCTGTTTTCGAGCAAGGAACCTGTCCGGAAAGCCGCGAAACGGCTGGGGTTTAATCAAGTCCTCACTTTCCACCTTTTCGCGGTGCAAAAGTGCGACTGACCAATTCGACCGATCGACTGTGTGGTCTCTGGGGCTCCAGGCCAGACCGACTGCCAATTTCCGGCATTTTTGATAGCGTCACCATCCTCCCCCCCTCTCTCCCCCAAATCTGTTTTTCTACCTTTCTCTTCCCGCTACACCGGCGCCATCGTATTCTTTCGCTTTTTCGCAAACATCATTTTTTTTTTGCTGAGCCAGCAAAAAAAAAAATATACGTTTTAATTTAGAGCATTTCTTTGCCTCTCGCTCTACCACAAATAACAACTCCTCCCAGCCAAGATGCGCTCCATCGTGCTTGTCGCGCTCTCGACGCTCGGCGTCGCGGTCGCCCAGTCCTCGAGAGGCAACTTTACCATTGACCCTGCGAGCGTTGAGCCGAGGACGAGGGGTACGGACATTCCGGTTGTTGATGATGATGATGATGATGATGAGGATGGCAGTGGAGGATGATTTGGTCGCGCTGGCGGATGCTGACTTGTGGTCGCTCAGCCGAGTGGTGCAACGCCCAGTACAACTCGTGCCGTACTCTCTGCGGTGGCCGTCCCAAGTCTAACGATTGCGACACGGTATGACGCCCTCTCCCTACTTGCTGCCTTGCCCCGCGACCAGGCCGCTGACGCCACACAGGAGACGCTCGAATACGACTGCACGTGCTCCAACGGCACGGCCCCCGGCCTCGAATACTACATCCAGACCATGCCCACGGTGAGTTGCGTCACTCGAGAGTTGCACAGCCAGGAGGACACCAGAGACTGACGAACGAACCCCTTCCCCCCCTTCCTAGTTCATCTGCGAGCAAGCGTATACGGACTGCATTGCCGCCAACACGGGCAGCTCGAAGGCTCAGGATGATTGCAAGACCAACATCAAGGAGAAGTGCGGCACCCTGGATCCGAATAAGGCTCAGGTCGATAGTGGCGACGGCACGGGCAGCTCCAGCAGCGCCTCTTCCACTGCCTCCGCGACCGGTCCGGCTTCTTCGGCCGCTGTCAGCTCCTCGACCTCGGCCGGCGGCGCTGCCCCGACTGGTGCCTTCCTCCTTGGCAACGGCATTGCTGTCGCCGCTGCCGGTGTCTTTGCTGCCATGCTCTAGCAGTGAGGTAGCTAATTCGGTTGGGAGTGTTGGCGATCAGTCCATGATCGGCTAGCGTGTGTGTGTGTGTGTGTGTGTGTGTGTGTGTGTGTGTACCAACTCTTCGATATCGCTCTGGACATTTTTTTTTTTTCCATTTCGCCAGATTTCTTTTTCCTTCCCATGCGTCGGCGCTATTGTATGAGGTGCTGGACGATGGGGGGGGGGCTAATGCAGTGACGACGGAGTCATGATTACTGATGATGATGTCGTACGATGAGATGGCGGCAGGACGGGCGATGTAATAATGTCAGGGTCTTCGTGTTTGGGAGGGGGCGTTTGTTGTGGTGGTAGAGAAGAACAGTATCATATTCCCACATATTCTCCTCCAGGTTTGGTCCCGGTCCCCGTGTCTTGTGTGCTGACTACCTATGTGTGTTGTGGAGGCAGTGTGGTTGACACTATGGATACAGCCTTTGACAGGCTTCCTAACAATAACACAGCCTCCAGCCTACAATACCTTTGTGATGCCATTATTGCACAGCGACCTTGTGCCCACCTTTGACCTGGATTCCTGTCCTTTGTCTTCATATAACTGATTCGCATATTTCCAGTCTCAATATGATCCTGACCGGCTTGTATGAGGTGGGTTCTGCAACTTGTCTACTCGAGTCGACGTTCGATTCAGACCGAATTTTGATTGTTACGCCTTACGCCTTAGCCATTATCAGCCTCAACTCAACTTGACTCAACACAAAGTCACAATGTCCACACCCCCAAAGCCAACCCAAACCCTCCCTCCGGAGATCATCACTTCTATCCTCGAAAAATACTACTCCGAGCCCCCTCGCTGCGCCTTATCCCTGCTATGTCCCGAGTGGAAGCTCTGTCCGCGCAAGACCCCTGCGCTGGACGTCCTCCTGCGCTCGGTACGCATTGATGTGTACACGGCGCCGTTGCAGAATCATAAGTGGCTGTTTGTTGATCGGGCAGATGGGCGTGATGATGAGCTGGAGGAGGAAAGTGTGGTGCTGGATGAGGGGACAGTGGAGACGAGGTTTGGAGGGAGGTGTTTTTGTTCGGAGGAGGGTGGGGGTTGGGTGTTGGTGGGGGGCGTGGGGGATCCGGGGTGTAGGGTTGCTAGGGGGGCGCCTCGTCCCTCTTTGGGGGGGACTAGTAAGGGGCCTTCTTCTGGGAGGAGGAGTGTGCTTGAGAAGGGGGTGATTGATGGTAGAGTTGGGAAGAGGTCTGAACAGAAGAAGCCTACTGCTGCTGCGACTACTGGTCTGGGTTACCGCACTCCGGATCGGTGGATGTGTGCCCTGGACAAGTTTTACCAACGCGAGATGGTTCGTCGGTGGGCGTCGAACGCGGTCTTTGTTGTTGGGCAAGAGATTCCGCGCGGCCCGTTGTTCCGTCCCGAGGTGGTGCACTGGCCTGGGGTGACTGAGAGGAGATTGGTGTTGGAGAGAATGGTGCGGTTGAGGAGTGAGGAGGTAATGGGACTGTTGCCGTTTAGGCTTGATTATGTTACGGTTGATGAGGTGAGGGAGGATGAGGAGGACGAAGATTGGGCTGAGGGCGTGGTCTGGAGAGGGAGGAGGGTTTGGGCGGATGACGGACTTGAGAAGGAGAGATTGCCGATGACGGTGGTTGAGGAAGGGGAACAGGAACCGATTTACACGTATGTCTTTCAGTTGATCCGGCATCTCGTCGTCAACACGACTCCGAGCGTTACGGCGTTGGACACTGCGGAGGTGTACTCCCGCCGGCTGGGGCAGCTGAAGACGTATCTTCAGCAGTCTGCTGCTGTTTCGCAGTCCTCTCCGACCAACGAATTCGACGCTACGCAACCGAACTTTCTTAACCCTCCCTCCTCCGACCACAACCACGAAGCTTGGGTGTACCCCTCCCTGAGCGACAGCGACATACAGATTCTCCAGCAAGCCCATCTCGACGAGAAAAGACTCCCCTTTATCATCGACTATTCCAAGCTTCCAAACCTGGAGACGCTGTGCCTTGATCTCAGGGGTCTCTCGTACCCTCCTACTGCGGCGGCGTCCCAGAATCCTCGTCTGCGACGACCGAAAGCTTTCTTAACCGAGCGAGCCGTCTGCTCCAAGCTTCGCGATCTTTGGTACCGCGGGTTAAAGCTCTTGGTGATTGCGGGGTTGAGGAGCTGGAACCGATATCCCGGGCCCGAGCCGGAGGGTGAGCTTAGGACGAGGGCTGCTAAGTGGGATGGACGACGCTGCTCTTATGTTAATGAGCAGGGGGAGGTGGATTGGTGGGCTATGCTGAGGCGTTGTGTGAGGCCGGGAGGGAAGGTGGTGTTGGTTGATGTTGAGGGGGAGGAGGTGGGGGCGCCGTTTCAATGATGGGTTAGGGTTGGGGGTTAGGGGTCGAGGTTAGAGACAGAGGGGTCGGATGGCTGGGAGAGATACAAATCATCCAAGGCAGGTTCTTGAGGTAGGTGGTAGGTAAGTTCCTTTGTTTTTTTTTTTCCTCTGATTATAGCTTTGGGAATGTAGAGGATGGGAGTAATGTTTGTTGAGATCTAGTCAAGTTAAGGAGGAAGGTAAGGGGTGGGATAGAAGCTTAGGGTTGGGGTTAAAAAAGTTGGGTTAGGGAGTTTGGCCTGCTCTTCAGCTCTCCACATTTCATCGTGCAGGCTCCAAGTGTTGTTTTCTTCTACGGGTTTTCCTTCACTGCTTCTGTGTAAACCAGCATCGCCCTTGCCCATCATGCCCAGCAACCACTGAGCTTTTCGATCCCTTTCTCCGCTCTGCAGGTCACCAGGGTAACCAATCACCTCGTTACGCCTCATGGCCTAAGGAGCAGAGCGAGAAGCGTCGGCCACGGCCCGCGATGCACGGGATACGTACACGTAAGTGGCCGTTTAAGGTACAATACGGCCAATCACGAGAAGATGGCAGGCCCCATTCAAAGTCCAGTAACAGAATGAATGGCGAGCTCGAGCATAGCTGGGAATTTTAGAGAGTGTGTGGGAGAGAAGTGTGGATGGGGCTGTCGGGCACCCATGGTTCGAGTTGTATGGTATGGCCTCGTGCTTCACCGTTCTGATAATCTTTTCACTAGTTCAAGTTGGTGAATATCTTTGCTAGAGGGGATTGGGAATGCTGATTCCAACTCTACATTCAAACATGTGTGTCTTGGAGAATATTAATAATAAAGAAGAAAAAAAAGGGGGGGTGGAAGAGGGAGGGAGTCTCTAACTGGCAGATTTCCGTTTGCACACACACACCGCTGAATTGGGCGATGTTTCTCTAACCTGAACGGGCCTCACATCAATCGGCTATAGCCACTGTAAAAGAGGGGATGCTTCTGCGCTTCCCGATCTTACCTCGGAAATACGTACATGGTTTTTTTTTCTGCCTTCCAAAGCTCAACTCTCTCAGAGCCTCATTGTTCCTCCATCTCAGACCCTTGTCCATTCCGAGTCCAAGGCACCCAAAAAACACCACCTGACCATAACCACATCTCTCCCCTTTCACAACTCAAATATGAACGAGTAGCTCATGAGACTCGTTGCAGCTCAGCTCTTTGCCCGGCGGGCCGGCTAACTGTCTGAGCTACTGACTGGCGGGGACTACAGCCCGTGCCACGTTTTTGCTACTGCTGTTACGGATTGCAGCTCTTTTTTTTCCTGCTGAGACGAGTCACTTACTCGCTTTGTTTTGTATCTATGCAGTTTGCATCTGGGGTATGGGGCTTTGAAAGCGAGTATATATTCACTTCAGGGCAAAGCCAAGCATCTCGCAATTCTGATTTACCATCAAATGGGATAACTGGACAAACTTATCATTGTAATCTTCACCCCTCGCAATCCTCTCTACCTGACTCAGGCTGCCTCACCACTTCAACCAACATCACTGACTGGGAAATACCACGATCTACCGATAATCGGCCTTCCTAACCAGAACCTTTAACCCGAATATAGCTGGAGCACCCGCCAATACCGCCACCAAACTGGGCAACGACCAGAGTGCCCTCCGCACCAGGATGTCCGCCCGCTTCACGCGGTCCCGCCGGAACAGCAGCATCGGCGGGGCCGGCGTCGGCGAGCAACAAGATCCAACATCCTTGGGGACTGGGAGGGAGAGACAGGAAGAGGAGAGAGACAGTCGGGAGCAGAGCGACGAGGAGGAAGAGGAGGACGAGGAAGAGGAAGCAGAGGAAGAACCAGTTGTTGTTACAACTTGGGTGTCTGTTCTGAGATGGCCTGGGAGGAGAAATAGAGAAGAGACTCGGGAGCAGCAGCAAAGGCAACGGGACAGGGAAGGAGAAAGGGAAGGGGATAGGGAGAGGGCGAGGGATAGGAACAGGGATAGAGACGGCCGTGAACGGGATCGTGATGAGGAACGGCATCGAGATCGACACCATCGGCATCGTCATCGACGACGTCGACACCAGCACGACCGTGACCGTGACCGTGACCGTGATCGTGATCGCGAGGACCATGACCGCCATCATCATCATGATCATCACGAGCACAGGGAGCATCGAGAGCGGGATCAGGATCGAGACCGAGAACGAGAGAGAGAGAGAGAACACCGGGAGTATAGGGAACATCGGGAACATCGGGAACATCGGGAACATCATCGCCGGCGTTCAGTCTCTCATACTGCCCCTCACGCAACAGACACAGCAGCAGCAGCAGCAGCAGCAGCAGCAGCAGCAGCCCCAGACGCAGTCCCAGTCTCGACGCCAACCTGAACCCGAACCTCAACCACAGCCGACGATATCCCGACCAAGAGCATCATCTAGACCATCCAGAGCTGAAGCACACAGCCAGCTGGTCCAGACAGCTCATCGGCGGGTGCGACAGGCAGATCCTGAACCTGCACCGCAGCCTGTTCTTCAAGTAGCGGCCCAAACAATGCCCCAGCCGGCACTTGCCCATCAACCGGTAGCCCAGCCAATGCCGGCTCAAGCACAGACAGCCACGGCTCGCGACAATCTCTCCTCGCCCGGGGCGACCACCAGGCCAGCGACGGAACCGGCACCAGCAATAGCAACAACGCCAAGGAGCTTGACAACAGCGACTCCGACAACGTCGACAGCAGAGGGTCTAGCATCTGAACCACCACGAGAACAACGACAGCATCAGCAAACACAGCAACAAACACAACAGCCACCAGCACCATCTCGACAAGCAAACGGCGGGCCTTCCCGTCCTCAACAACAGCAAAGGCAAGGACGGCAAGAAGAAGTCCGAAGCGCGCCAGCGACGACGTCTCGACCCAGCCAAGGGCAGGGTGAACCCTCTCGGCCACCAAATCCTCCAACACTGCGAGAGCCAACCAGACCTACCACACCCCCCGTAACAATCCATCTCCAGCCCCTCGACCCCCGCTACCGCCAGCTAACCTTCCCCATCCCACCCGGCGTGCCGCTCCATACATCCCTCACCCTCACCCTGCAGACGCACTACTTCCTCTCTCCCGAAGCGGTGTTCACATTCTACAACATAAAGGGAAAGCCGATACCAGCTGACGAGAGGGCACCCCAGAACCGCCAGGGGGTAAACAATGCCCTGGGAGGAGGGCACATGACGGTGTGGTACCGCACGGTGAAGGGGACAAGGCAAGATACGCGACATTGGGCGTTCAAGTTCACTTGGTGGGAGGGGGACCGCAAGGGGGAGAGGTTAGATTCGGCGATGGAAAGGACGCTAAGGCAGGAAATCGAGTCTGGCGCGACGGTTGGGAGATTGAGGCAGGTTCTTGGGGATCTGCTCGGGGTGTTGGATAGTAACAGGGTAATGTTGGTCGCGGTAGATGGCATGCGGCAGGGCGCGTTGCAGGGGAATGGATGGGAGGTGAAGAAGATCCGGGAGGGGTGGAAGGGGAGATGGATCGGTGTCGATGTGCTCCCGCCTGGGAGGTACATCCTCCTTAAGAGAGGGAATCAGGCGAGGAAGTATGTGTTTCACCCGGCCAGGGGGAAGATTGATGCGGGGATGAGTGTGGGCAGGTTGGGAAGGTATGTGAAGATGAAGATCTTGGAGGGGGCGGCGAAGGGAGGGTATCTGAATTCCCGACTGCCGAGGGAGGAGTGGGAAGTGATGTTGGAGATGGACGGGCAGAGGCTGAGAGATGATGTCCAGGTGCAGTGGGCGAAGATGTATGAGGTTGTGCTGCCGGGGAATATTGAGCGGGCGTTTGAGCGCGAGGAGGAGTGGTTGATTGGCTCGACTGCCACGTGCGGGACTTGTTTGGAAGAGAAGACGAATGATGAGTTCCTCTTGGGCAAGATCACGTCGACATGCCGCCACGAAGAGATTGATATCCTTGATAATACTATCGAGGACCGCCATCGCATCTGCCGCGACTGTCTCCAGGGTTGGCTGCGCGCCCGCAGCGATCGCTGGGGTTCCTCCCCACCGCGATGCCCCATCACTGGTTGCAACCAGGTGCTTAGCTATACTGACGCGCGCAAGCACATGACGGAAGACGTGTTCCAGCGGTATGACTATCTCGTTCTGCGCACGACGTTAGGCCAGCTGGATGAGTTTGTGTGGTGTCTGAACCCGGATTGTCAGTCTGGCCAGCTGCACTACCCCGAGGCGGAGTGGTGTCCTGAGTTCCAGTGCGGGGGCTGTCAGAGGAGGTACTGTCTCACGCACCGAATGCCCTGGCACGAGGGGCAGACGTGCGAGGAGTTTGATCGGAGGACGCATGGTCGCAGGAGGGACGATAGTGAGGCAGAGGGCCGCAGTTGTCCGCGGTGTAAGAAGAGGATTTATAAGGAGATTGGATGTGATCACATGACTTGTGAGTTCTCGCTCTTTTTCCTCAACACCCTTTCGAGATATCCGTCAGCAGCAGTATACTGACTTCCCCAGGCGTCTGCGGCCAAGAATTTTGCTACCAATGCGGCGCTCTCTACCCTCCAACACTACCCGGCCAGATCGCCCGCACAACTCACTTCCCCAACTGCCCGCACTTCGAACCAGTCCCCTTAGACCGCGCTCCGAGCCCCTTTCTCCCGTTCATTCTCAACCGCTTTCGTCCCCCTGGTCTCCTGGGCGGCGGCGGCGGCGACAACGACGATCACGACGACGAAGACCCCTTTTTCCCTCCCCCGCCACCACGACAAGCCAGACCTCCCTTCTTCTCCCCCCCGGGCGGACCTGGGCCTGCCCCTCTCCCGGGTCATGTCCTAGAGAACGGCGCAATCCGCTTCGGCGACGGGCAGTTCCAGCCTCCGCGGCTGCGACCCACGACGCGGGCGCGGTCTCGCGTTCGGCCGGATGGGAATCCGGGCCCCCCAGTCCCTGGTCCAGCTGCCCCGGCTCGGCGTAACACCGTCGGAGGAGGGGCCCCGGCCCCAGCACAGACACAGGGTCAGCCCCCCGCGAGGATAATCGGCATTGCGCCTAGGTTCCCCTTCGACGTACATATGCCTCCTGCTCCTGTTCCCCCTGAACCAGAACCGGTGCAGGTACCACAGCAGAACCTATGGCAGCAGCAGCAGCAACAGGAACAAGAACAAAGATGGCTTGAGATGCAGTGGCAGCAGGAAGTGAATGCGTTTGATCCTCCTGGACAGGGAAGGGGGAGGGAGTTAGGAGGGGGGCATGAGATCGGGCAGCCACAAGTACATTTGCATCCACAATTGCTCGAGCGTCCACATTTTCAATTTGATAGGGAGGATGGTGAGAATTTGGTGGTATTTTTGCCTGCGGCGGGGTTGGTGAACGGGAGGGCGAGGTTGGAGGGGAGCAGGAGGAGGAGTCGGAGGAGGAGATGAGGGATTGGGTTGGGACTTGGAGTATGGATGGGTGGCTACTACTTAGACACTTATATGAGTTGGATTTTTGTTAGGTTTGGGATTCGATGCACTGAATGAAACATATCGGTAGGCAACATAGGGAGAGTCTGTGTTCTATGGTATGGCATGACAGTAGGTTGGTTGATACCGCTTAACATTGGGCGGCTGAAAGAAAAAAAAAGGTTTTTTTTCTATTACTATGGGTGTTACTACGGAGTGTGGATGGTTTGATGTGGGTTAGTGTCCTTTTTTTTTTTAAAAAAAAAGGAATCCAACAAGAAGATTGCTACCAACGCAAGACACTGAACACTTCAAGCGCTCCAGCACATCATCGTACCACTGTCTGCCCACAGATCAACCACAGATCGGCCACGCAGCAAGCAATCAACCAAGCAAGCAACCAAGCAACCAAGCAGATCGGTTGCTGCAAGCGGTAGATGAAACCGTTTGTTTCGATCATCAGTCAATCGGTTACACAGCCGAAGCGCCGAGCTGGTCTCGTGAGTTCTGTTGCGTCACAGCCGATTGGCATCTCATCTAGGCACGCACGGCTCAGGAGCAGCAGATCTGAGTGGGATCGTCCGGAAGGGAAGGAAGGGAATGGGATTCTTAATCGGATTTATCCCATATCTATACACGGTACTTGCGATGTGTGAGAAGCCGAATACATAAGAAGGGGGGGGGGGGCGGTAGGTAGGCTAGTTGTAGCTAACCTACCTCTTCAACCCTCATCTTATCCTACTGTATGCGCTTAACGTCAGGTGAAAATGCTGCTACTTGTTATCGGGCAGTGTAGCCACCTAGCGTGACGTCCGCGTTTATGTCTTCCGTCTCCATCTGCAACCGTTTGTCGCGCGCCTCGAGCCGTTGCACATTTTCCTCAGGAGTGGGATCATCGATCGCCAAGAAGTTACCGATCCAAAAGACCCCATGACCTCATGGTCGCTGCAAAAACGCACAGCTCATGCAGGAGAACAGTGCAGATGGATGTCGTGCATCAATCGCGTCGTGGGGATCGGAACATCAGGTGACATTGTGGATTTTGTTCAACGGCGCTTATGTATGCTAGTGTAAAGAGTGCTAAATAAATCAAAACCCACATGATTTCGGTGAAGTATGGGCGATTACAGTACAAGTAGGTACCTAGCGATGTCACTTTGCGATGTGTGCTTGCGCTGTCGTCAAGTGTACAGTTGTATGCATGCATGGATTGGGGGAAAAGGGGGGGGGGGTTCGCTCGGCGGCTTCGGATGCGCAAACGGAGATTGGGGCTTTTTTGGGGGGTAGAGATTCGAGTGAGGGGAGTTCTGCGATGGGAGATTACCGGCAAAGGTATCGATTGTTGGAGACTTGAGATTTTCTAAAAAGATCATTTTCCAAGACCAAGCAGTTTATAGGTTTTCTGTAAGTCGACTTCAAAGTCAACTTCCAAGACAAAAGACGATTGCGAGCTCCGTGATAAGGTTCGCGATCGCAGCTGTTGAGGGCACAGTTGCCCGCGGCAAGTAATCATCTGGGACGCTCGGACCCAACAGCGTGGGAGCACAAAAGTCTAGGCAAACCTGGAAGCTCCACGGCCAAACAAACACACGCGGCCTTGCAGCTTGAGCTCCCTCACAGAGCAATGACAGATTACTTCTCAAAAACATCCCAACATCCCTTTTCTGCTGCTGCATTCCCTCAGCAAGATCGCCGTCTCCACATCTGCATGCTCGCAGAGTCTGATCCAGAAGTTGAGGGGAATCTGATTCTAATGAACATGTGACGAATGCGCGGATCTGAAGTGACGACAACTGACATCGTTCCTGCATTTCTCCTGTGTAGAGAGCTGCAGGTGCCTTGGAGAGTGGGCGGTCGTTGCTCGCTCTCATTGGCCAGCTTGCCAGGGGCACAAATTGGCCCGTGGAGCCCGTGGATGGGGTGATGGTCCGTGCTTGCTTAGGTGGACCCTCAACCCACCACACACCTCCCTCCCCAATCCAGGGCGGCCCAATTCCATCCAATTGCGCAAGAGCATTGCGATTGGCGCCGCTGACACCTTCCCCAGATGATGGCGGGCCGCGCTCACCGTCCCTTTGAGCTCCCATTTGCTGGGCTAGCTTTACTGCAAGCATCCCTGCTACTCCCCTGCTCTGCCAGGTGTCGCCGCCTGTGGATTCCAAGCAGACGGTGAGCACGCACAACAGCGCGGTTCCTGGTTCCTCGCTGGTTCCTTGCAGCGGTTCTGGCGTCTCCTTTCCCAGCTTTCCCCTTTTTGCGGGCCGCTTTTCTCGTCTCTCGTCCCCTTCCATCTCTCTTCTGCCCTCTTGTGTGTCTCGCTGGCGCATACCGCAGTCTCTGCCATTTTATTACGGCAGTCCCCCTCCCTTCCCCCCCCTTTTTTTTTTTTTAATCTGCGCCAATCGACTAGCCAAGCTGTTGGTTGTGCGCCATGAGGCCCAATGCGGCAGAGCGATAATCGCCAACAAAGCACCTGAGACTGAAGACTAGAGGAAAATATTTCTAGAGAAAGAAGGGAAGAAGCCCCGGCTGGGCGTCGATAGAGTCGGTCATTGTGACCGTTGCACGTTACATCTGCTGCATCCGGCATCTGGCATCTGGCATCTGTTGAGAGCTGAGAGCCCGCCTGTGGTCAAAGAGAGAGATCGACCACCACACACCATCTCGGGGGTACTATTCTTAACTCGTTTTTTATATTATAAACGGACTCACTAGTCGACGCACCCCTATGGCCACCGTCGACCCTCCGCACGAGGGGGTCCCCCCACACCCATATCCGTACTCAGAAGAGGCACACTGGCACCGGCACGGTCTCCCCGACACGGACCCAAACTCGGACTTCTACTACAGCCAACGCAGCCGCCTCGACTCGTCTGCATCTCCTGATACGGTATCCGCTTCATCTGACGTCGTGCCCAACCCCAACGACGCGGACTCGCTCAGAGATCTGCACCTACGCCTGGACCCTCTCGATCCAAGCCCCTTACCCGTCCCTCCTCCACGCGAGCAGCCGCATCCCGCCGTGTCACACGCTAAAGCCGTGTCACTGTCATTGTCACCGTCACCTTCACCCGTGTCATCGTCGCACGCGGCCGTTGTTGAAACATTCGACCCAAAATCACACGAAACAAACGCTCATCCCAACTCAAGCATTCCCGGCGTCGGTTTCGGATTGAATAAACAACTCCCTCCGCTTCCGAGTCCTCGCGCCGTCCGCTCTCTCAGCCTTGCCCAGCTCGCCGGTCCCGTCAAGCGGAAGCCCTTGTCCTCCGCAGCGTCGCCGACGGCCATCCGTTTCTCGCTCCGGGCCGGTGCCGCGTCAACTTCATCCCCATCCTTGCCCTACGACCCCGCGTCGCATGTCTCGTTGCCCGCTGATCTGCCCAGGCCCGAGCTGAGGTTTGCCAGATCTTGCTCCGTCGACAGCCCCACCCTCTACGAGTTCCCCCAGCGCAGCTTGCCGGCTCCGAGTGCGCTGAGGGTTGCCATTCCGGACCAAGACCACAGCGAGCCGTAAGTAGTACCTGTTCATTGTCATTGATGCGCTTATAATGCAACGCTGCCATGCCCATGGTTCAAAACTCCGGGCGTGATGTTCCGGTTAAATGTACGTACGCCCCAATATCCCGCTAACCGAACCATACCAATCCACACAGCTCGTCTCCCGGCTCCCCCAGCTTTCGTCAACAACAACAACAACAACAACAATTACACCACCACCAGGACCTGCCCGTCCGCAGCCCGCTCGACTCGCCCGTCCATCCCGTGCAGCTGCAACAAAACACAGCCGTTTCCAGCTCCGCGGCGAGTCAAACGTCGCGCACGCCGTCCTTGGTCCACGAGCTCGGACAACAGAGTCCAAGCGACGAAACGCCCAGCGTCGTCCACACGCAGGACTCGGATCAGGACTCGGACCCCTACGAGCTCGGGTCTGTCTACTCGGACCCGGCGGAGCCTGACGCCGAGCTCGACTCAGACTCACCGCATACGTCACAGCGGGTCAAACCCGCCACGCCCATCGAAGCTCATACCGGCGCTATCAAGACCATGTCCTTGTTCTCGCGGAAGTCGCCGCCTCCGCATCTCAATCTTCAAGCGTCGAACCTGGATGGTCAATCCATCGCGTCGCCCACAAGCCGCGAGCCGAATCTCAACAAACCGTTACCAAAATCACCTGCCTCGTCCAAGCTCAGCGCCTTCTTCGGCTGGGCCACGTCTCCAGCACCGCCGACCACTCCCAGTGACTACGAAGAAGACAAGGCGCCCTTCTCGCCGCTACCCCCCCCTTCGCCCACTTCGCCGCCGAAACGCAGTGGATCCCTTGCCGGTGGCGAGGCCGTCCAGACTCCGATCACGGGAAGGAGTTTGACGTTCCCCAATGTCGGCGATCAGGCTAGCTCGTTGCAATATTGCGAGTCGTACCTACAAACACCAGAGCAGAGCACGACGTCCTTGGGACAGATCGAAGAGATGGAGGACGAGCTGAAGGCCATCAGCGCCGAACTGGCGTCGTCTATTCGACGCGAGATGGACCTCGAGGATCTCGTCGAGCGCCTGCAGGAACAGCTCAACAACCCGCAGGCCCGCGACAAGCGGAGCAGTGACTACTTTTCCGACTCGGGGTACAGCTCAGCCAAGTACAGCGATTATGATGCCGCCAAGGAAGAGATCTCGACGATTCAGCGTCGGGCCGAGCAGGAAAAGGCCCAGATTCGTCTCGAACTGACCCAGAAGCTGCAAGAAGAGCGCGAGAAGCGCCGGCTATTAGATCAGCAGATCCAGGAGCTGTCGAGGCGGGCGTCGCAGATCGACGTCGAGCAGATTAACAATGCCGCCATCACCCAGCGCGTCAAGGAGCTCGAGGCCCAGTGCGAGGATTTGAGCCGCAGGTTAAACGAAGAGCGCCAGGTCAAGAGTAACTTTGAGGATCTGCTCAATGCCCTCAAGGGCGAGCTGGAGACGGCCACAAACGAGCGCGACAACCTGCGCGATGAGGTCATCCCGCAGCTGCAGGCCCGCGTCGAGGGCCTCGAGGCCGAGGCGGCCGAGCATGCCAAGCTCGCCTACGACACGACCAAGATGCAGCAGGAGCTTGAGCAGCTCCGCGCCGAGCAGGCCGAACGCGAGCGGCTCATCGCCGACACGGCCAAACTGCAGAAAGAGATCGAGGCCCTGCGTGCCGAGTGCGCCGAGCATGCCCGACGCGCCCAGGAAGCCTCGCGGTTGCAGCACGAGCTGCAGATGCTACGCTCCGAGAATGCCGAGCTCAAGATGTCGGCTTCTATCGGGAGCCCGCCGCCTGCTCCTCCTCCCCCGCATACCCGCATGTCGATGGGCCTGTCGCGGTCGGCCTCCGTCACCGGTAGCCCCGGCCTGCGTAAGGATCGGCCGCAGTCGTTGGCCAGGTCCAACACCATCAACAAGCCGGGCGAGTCGCGCGAGGTGCTGGCCGAGAGGCTCAAGGACGTGGAAGCGCAGCGCGACGCCCTGCACAGCGCCCTCAAGAGCCTGCTGGAGCGGCAGGAGCTCCAGAACCGCGAGAATGCTAAGCGCATCCGGCAGCTCGAGATGGAGCGCGACCGGCTGCTGTCGGCCTCGCCCAAGAAGGCCGGCTACGAGCGCGAGGTGGCCAAGCTCCGTGACGAGATTAACGTCTTGCGTCGCCGCGCCGAGGACGCCATTGAGCAGAAGTTCCAGGTCGAGAAGGGTCTGATAGGGTTGAAGATGGATCTTGACCGCGCCCAGGAGGAGATTGCTTCCCTCCGGCGTCTGCTCAAGGAGAAGGATATTCTCATCCCCAATGCCTGGGACCGTCCTAGCAGCAGCCACTCGGAAGAGGGGGATGAGCAGGTTCACCTTGGCGTCCCCGTCACCTCGTCTTCGCTCGAGAAGGCATACCAGGATCTGCAGGCCGCCTATGCCGACGCGCTGAAGCGGCTGAAGGGTATGGAAGAGGCTGCCGGCTTTGACGAGAAGATGCAGATGGCCATGCAGCGCCTCGAGCAGGCCCTCGCCAACGCCGTCTCGGATCGCGACCTCGCCAGAGCCGAGGCCGACTCGTACCGCGCGCAGGTCGAGTCCCTGCAAAAGGCCGAGAAGGAGCACCTCGAAGCCGAGCGCGACCTAGCCGAGCAACTCGAGCAGGCAGCTCGCCGCGTCGAGGACTTAGCAGCCCAAGTCCGCGCCCAGCTCGACGCCAACGCCGCCCTCCGCGCCCGCCTGGCCGAAACCGTCGCCCGCGGCGAGGTCGAGCAAAAGATCAGCACCGAGCGCATCGCCTCCATGCAGAACCGTCTGCGCGCCCTCGAAGAGCAGGTCATTGCCGCCCAGACCTCCGCCGAGGAGCGTGTTGCTCGCTACGAGGAAGAAATTGCGCGGCTGAAGGAAGCCCACAGCGCTCAGCTCCAGCGCCTGCGCGATGTGGCGACGGCCTCCGCCCGCGTCAGCAGCACCATCGCTGGTGCCTTGTCGCCCCGTCTCATGCCTCCCAAATCGCCGCTCCTGTCGCCCATGTTTAGCCCCCGCTCCGGGCGGTCGTCACCTGGTCCGCGTCCTTCGTCCCGCATGTCGCTGCCTGGTAGTCCCGCCGCCCGCCCTACCCTGCGCCGCAGCCTGACCGGCGAGTCGCCGCTGGATATGGCGAGCGAGGTGGAGCAGTTGAGGAAGAGGGTGACCGAGTTGGAAGGCCAGTTAGCGGTGGCGGATGCCGAGATGCAGCAAGTTGTGGAGAGGGTGACGCAGAGCCAGATGGAGGTGTTTAGGCTGCAGGAGGAGAGGGATGAAGCGATGAGAATGACCAGGAAGTTGCAAAGATGTTTGGAGGAGGAGAGGATGAGGGTTTTTGAGCGGGAGTGGAGGGAATTGACGCAAGCTCAAGGGGGAGGATTGCAGGTGAGAGTTGAGGCGGATGAGTGAGTGAGTGAGGGGGAGTGAGTTTTTGGGGTTGTTGGGGGGGGGGAGGGAGGAGGAGGAAGGCTCTGATGCGAACCAACGTAAGAAAATGGAAATGAGGGATGCTAGACAGCTTTGCTGTTGGAGACATGCGAGTTGATCTGGTCTAGTCTGGTCTGGTCTGGTCTGGTCTAAGGACTGGTGTTTAGTTTCGTTTCTTTTTTTTTTTCTTTTGTTTTCGGTTTCACTTTCTCTTTTCTTTTCTACCGTCTTATACCCTGTCTCGAGTTTTGGGATATCAAAGGGTTTTTGCATCTCTGTTTCTCTGTATACCATTTTTTTGATTCGTTTTTTTTTTTTGCACACAGCGGGCTTGTCCAGCGACCTTTTTTTTTTTTTTGGAAGGATGATTGGGAAATATGGACCTACTGGATAGTACCTTGTAACTTGTTTTTGGTAACTTTTGAACCTTAACCTTAGTGTATAGTTTGTACTGGCATAGGGTTGGATGGTTACAGGTTGATGATAAGCCTGTTGAACCTGGATAGAAAGAGAGATGTTGGATGGATGGATGGATGGATGGATGGATGGATGGATGGATGGATGGAATAAGTACAGACTAGGAAGTACAAGTACCTAAGAAGTAGGGTAGAAAGGAATGGAATGAAGAGATTAAAAATAAAACATTTAACAATGTTAAACTACTTGTAATATACCCGACAGATGGGCTCGTGGGGATTTGGTTCAGGCAAATTGTGAAAAGACGTGTCGTTGGATGTGTAACTACCGGCATGAACACTTCGACCTTTCAAGACACCAAGGAAGCAATCATTCAAGCCCGGCATGGAGGTATCGGCGAGCAATAAGGTAAGCCCTTCTATGAAGTGAGCTTGGGCTTCACCTCCTTTGTCATACTATCTACTCGCATATGATGGAAGTCTCCCATCTATACTTCCATCTATATAATCGGGGCCATTAGTCAGGAAGAGAGGTGCTACTGATTTCGTCACCTACCGTGCCCCCAGATCTTCCCGAGATATAACATAATCCAATCGCTAAACTCCGAGGTATATTGCTTCAATGTAGGTGTGTATGAAACTTCCTTGTCTTGCGAATTGCTACGGCAGTGTCCTAATCTCTTGGGTCTGGGATGTCACTACACTTGGAGTCGCTTTTGTTTTGTATTTGTTTGATGGCATGGTTCATGTCATCTCTACGACAGGCCTTTGGCATCTGGTTCGTCGAGGTTCAGCGAGCTGGTTGTCCACCAACGACCGGTGACCGCCATAAATTACATACACTACTTTGTGAAGACCCCAGTCCCTCAGGTTCTGGAACCTGGTTACTACCTTCGAGCCCATCTCAGCAAGTTGTGGAATCGTCACAGTCATGATCTGTTAACGGTTGGTATGGGGTTTTCCTGTGCAGATTAGCACGTTAGGGGTTGTAAAAAAGCGGACCATCTAGTCAGTAGAGGAGGCGTTCACATGTATATATATATATATATATATATATATATATCTTATACGATAGGCGTGAAAATCATGTTGCATTATGTTAACACCGGGCTCTGAACAAACATCCTTGTCAACAGCAGTTCGCACCGACGAATCGAATCAAATACATAAGCACCTATCCATCTCGATCTCTATATCTTCTGGAGCCTTGATCCGTAGTGTGGATCGAATAAATGCCCGTTCAATAACAGTTCATAATATAATAGCATATACATCCCTTGATGTTCCTCCAACAGCTTCATCGACTTTCTTTCGGTACGCCAATGTGCCAATACTCTCTGCACGGAACTGTCTCTATTGCTGACTGACGAGTCCCCGTCATGGCTCAGGGGGATGGGTGAATCCTATATTCTATATTTGAAATTTATACTTCAACCCGTTACTATGCCTGCCTTGTTACCATTGCCTGTTTGGGTGTTTGGGCCTTGATGATGACGGTTTTCTCGCAGTTATCGCAGTGTATCTCAGTGCGAGAACTGCGATACCTACACCTGTTGACGCTACTTGGGGGTCTTCCCATCGATCCCCCTGCTATGCTGTCTGCGAGGCGGCTGCTGACCCCCCGTTACCAGCCGTGACAATGACCACTACCAGCCTTACGATTAGGCGGATTTCAGGGCTGTGGTAATACATCCGCCTGACCTCTGCGCGTCTGAGTATTCCAACTTTTCAGCCTCCTCTTCATTGTTGGAGTCGATCATATTCCGTCCATCGTTCTTTCGAGCACACACCCTATAGGTGAAACTTCGACCCGCAGTCTACAGCATGAACGTCTTCAACCTTCCCCTAATCACGGCTGTCGTTGCTGGAACTTGGCTGATGCCACTGTCCGTTTTGTGGTACAAGATCGTCTGAGTGAAAGGCAGTAAGCGGGATCCCGGTTGGGTCAGGGTACAATTTGTGAAGGCGGTTTTCACGCTCTGGCTGATATAAGTCCAGGCTCTCCTGGTGTTATTCTTCTATTTACTTACACTTACAGTCATCGTCAGCTGATGTCCAGAAGCTTTAAAAGACGTTTAGGCAACGTACTAACGTTTGTCTCAAGACTTTTAATCGTTTTCGTTGCCAAAGGTGGGAAATGGTACAGTGGAGAAGACGTTCCAACTAAGCGATGCCCGCTGTTGTCATCTCCCTCTGTCAAAACTACAACTAAGTCATCGCCAGTGGCGGGTTTTCGTTATCACTCCTGAATAGCTTCCAACATGTTTGGTCGGTCATTAGGTTCTGTTATGTGCCTTTAGCTATCGCGCTGCTGGTTCATGGAATGAAGCTGCTCTCGGATTACTAATTGGTACGAAAACAAAAGGGGATTGAGGCCCATACTATGGTAATCTATGGGGCAGTGTTGGCGACGAGTGTGCGGGTGTTGGGATTGGCGCTCTATGTTTGGTGGAAGGGGAGAGTGAGGGGGTAAACCTGTTGGGTGAGTCTCCATGTGTACCATCTGCTCCGTTGTCGTCGGCTGTCAGGCAGGGCTAACGGATGATAGCTGTGCTTAATTTTCGAGCTTTCCCCTCGTCGCGGCTGCCCTCAACTGCGCTCGTCAAGTCTAGCAGCAGCCACGCAGGTTAATGTAAGCTTGAACTATTTCGGTATCGATGCTTTAATTAGAAGCTATCTCTTCACTCCTTATGTATACTGAATGCTAGTCCCCACCTTCGACTTCTTCATGAGTACTATCCTCTGCCTGCTCTATATCATCGTAGCACGCAAGGACAAGCATGGCCTCTGGTCTGGTGGCTCCCGTTTGACACGACATGATACATCTTCCGAGTGACAAACCCCTCCTGGAGCGCAAATGACGCCGGATCTCCCACCCAGGGTAGCCGAACATGAGGAAGCGTTCCGGGGTTTAACAACTGCTTCTCTCGCCACGCCTGTACCACAATCTACCACCGGCATGCCAACCGCAGCAGTTCCAGCAACACAGGGAGCAGGAGGAGGAGCCATCTACGTCTCCCTTCCCGCCACCGGTACTCTAGCTCCGGCATGGATCCCCCAAGGGATGGCCCCAATGGGTGTGGGAGGTGACGTCTCCGTTCTCCTCCCCCAACAACAGCAGAGTGGAGCGGGAGCACCGCTGCCAGCTACCATGATAGTACCCTCGCAGCAAGGATATTGTGTTTACTTTCAACCGCACGTGCAGGCCCAGAGTCAAGGAGTTGTTGAGCTGCCAACGCAGCTGCAGCAGTTGTGGACTAGGGTTAAGTTATCAGAGGGGAGGGCGGAATTGAAGTGAGATGAGTGGTTTCAGCAGGGATGAGCAAAGGGATTGCTTTGTATCAACTTTAGACTGGACACTCGTGACTCAAAAGATATTTTTAAAAAGTAAACAAGGCATATAATGCAGACAAAACCCTTGTTCTCCATCTCGGCAGTGTTTACTGTTCATCTCTTCTGAAGGTGCTGCAATCGAAATGGTTATTCATGTCTGTGTCTGGATAGTTTCTTTATTTCTGATCTTATTCAAACAATCATGGTCATTGGCATGAGGAAATCTAAAGGAGGATGGCAGGCATGGATGGAAGAGACAGTAGTAGTCTACTCTAGGATGCCTAGTGAACATGCAGACAAGAGGCTAGATATATTGGCCACAAACAAACAAGCTCCCTGTGCAGCGAAATGACCAAAAAACCAAGTCAAAACCTTAAAATGGCTCAAAAGACACCGAAAACAGTCGAAACACCAAAACAGCATAAAGGCATGTAAGGCCTGCTGTATGCAAAAACATGAAGCTCAGATGTACATCTGAACCCAGCAGAAAATGGGCAGCTCTTTTTTTTTTTTCCCTTTTACAGGAAAGATATTATGTTTATGCGGGATTCCCGGTGAGCATGTATTCTGGACGCCAGATATCCCGGCTAGCTGATAAAAATGCTCTATCAAAATACTGAACATGGCCCAAAGCCCAACGTCAAGTTAAAAGGAGAAAAAAAAAAGAAAAAGAAAAAGAAAAGGCTCCGAAAATTCTGTAAGGCCTGCAGTGATCAAAAACAAGAGCAAAGATCAGGTGAGCAGGCATTTAGTTTAAAGACAGAAAGTAGATGTCTCCCTCAGCGCTTCGCTTCAGGTCTAGGTAATCTGCTATGGTGATCCGTGATAATACCCACAGCACACTCCATGGTGATATGCTACGTAGTTAAAATAGCAAGCTGCTCTTTTCTCAACGAGTTTGTTCGGCAAAGTCCTTGCTATGTCAGTATGTGTCAGATGCTCGGGCTGGGTACCTACTTGGTCATACGCATGTATAGCTCTAGCCGTCAACGATGGCTCTAGGCTGAAGGCTAGCTAGCTAGCTACGTGCTACGGCTTTCTGCCTGCTTCTCTTTGTTACCTGTCTCCTATATAGCCTTGCTTTAAGTTCCAGGACGGTTGGGTTTCTAACCATGATGTTACCTTATAAGCAAGGTTTACCATGTTGGTGTTATCCCCTACTCTTGACCCTGCGGTGTTGCTTCTTCCGCATTGAAGAATGTCTGAGGCAAAGCACTGAGTGGGGGCTCTTGTTACCACCGATGTCGCGGTGTAGAAAACCCCTTTCTGGAGGTGCTGGCCTTGCTGGTGCCTAGCCTGGATTTAAGCGTCACATTTAGGTGAGCCATGCTTTGCTGCGTGGATTGTGTCTGATAGATTGGTAGATAGTAGATGTTACAAATTCTTGTGATAACAGGGTTGGATTGTTTCAGGTAGCCTCAATGGTATGTTGGTTGCTTTAAAGTAAACAAGGATGAAGGAATAAGAGAGTAGGTGAGTTCAAGCAAGCTCGGAGGATGATAACGAGGCACAAAGTGTCATGTTCATTCTTTCTTTCTTACCTGTTATCTTTACTGTGGTATTAGGCTCTTACGAGTTGGAAAGTTCATTGTACTACAGAGTCTTGGGTGCTCGTTCCCAGGAACCCGTTCTACCACAGCTGAAGAGGACCGTGTTTTCTTGTCAAACTCATTAGCTTATTATTTTTTTTCGAGATATTGGCTTGAGAACTCGGCAGATTCCTTGAGTTAGATTTCACCTGGGCAGTAAAAATCATTATCTGGCTCAGGCTTCAACATTGGCATTGCCGCTGCTGCCTAAGAGATTCCCTCTTCTTCAGCGCTCTTCTTCAAGTTGGGATAAGGATAAGGGTGGGGGTCCTCGCCACCACTACACATAGTCTGCCTTTCACTGCGCCTCTTGATCTGCGGTAGGCCTTTCCATAGATGTATGTGGTGTAGGTGTGGGCGATGTGCATCACCAACAAAAGCCCCCTTACCCACGCACACAGCCAGTCTATACCTAGGCCGTGATGAAATCCATGATGCGGCAGTTTTTCTTCCCTCTATTCACATACACATACGGGCACATATATTTCCTACCTATTACTCTGCCATCTGCATGGCGTGCATTCCCCCTCCATCTCGTGATGCTTGTTCCAGCGTTCTGGTTGGCCAAGCAGGCACCACTGACAAGCTTTTGCAGGGGCGGATTTGCTTCCGCCCCTCTGGGACTGTACCTAGCATTCGCAATCTCTGGTTCTGCTTCTTGATGAGATTGATGAGATGCAAGGCGTCTGGTCTATGCATTCATGCAGAAGGAAGAGGAGGGAGAGCAGATGGCAAGGTGATAAGACTGGTTGTTGGTTGTTTGGTGGAGCAAGATGTAAGTTAGAGTGCCGCGCCGAGTGCTACGTTTGGCGGGATGAAAAAAAAAAGGGAGGGGGGGCATTGGAAGGGGATTGGTTGAGGCGAAGGGGGAGAAAGTTTGGTTGAGTGGTCCCAGGCGAGAGGGACGTCTGTGGGAGTGAGGCGAGGTTGGGAGAGCCAAGATGATTGGCACGGGTGCGACGCCGTGCCGCGTAAGAGAGCCTCTTGATCTTCCCATCATGATGGTTCTCATCTTAAACACACCATCATCGTGCTTTCTTGCAGGCTTCTAGCAAGACATCAACCATCAACGCAAGACATTGCTCCGCTATCTGTTAAAGTTATGGAGCCCTCCCGTCTATCGGGATTCTGGCCAGACCATTCTCTTAGTCTCTGGCCCATGGCATGGTGCAACGGTGTCAGTGGTGTGACTTTGCATGCTAGGTCCTGCAGGCTCTTTTTTTTTTTTTTCAAGACAAAAGGAGGAACCAGACTAAGGTGACACGCTTTGCCCCGTACGGTTTTTATCTGGGGAAAAGTTGATATCGCTGTTACTGTACCCATTGATAAGGCATTGAGGCCCATTTCGCAGCGTTGCCCCGTTGTGACTGCATGGCCGAGCGGATCAATCGATTATGGAAGGGCGATCGGAACACTCGGCAACTTAATAAGGAGCATTACTTGCCTAGGTCAGTCAGCCCGTAAGACATGGGGATAATCCAGCTGTTCTGGGCCAGTGTCAGTGTTCAGTTTCCAAATCGAAGAGGGAGGGAGATAGGATAGGGATTGGGGCGGATGAATCAATGTTTCATTCTCCGTTTTGCTGATCCAGATGTGCCGCACAAGCGCCCGCGAACAGACCTTTTCACGCGTCTGTGGATTAAATGCCGGCAGTAGCCATGATCTTCCATCCCGTCCCCAGGCCCATCAACCCCAGACCGAGACTTTGTTCCTCGTCACTAACCAAGAGAAAGCAAAGGCCAAGACAAGAAGACAAGGCGGGAGGCGGGCCAAGGCACGCTGAAAGTGGAGTGGGGGATCCCTGCCATGCCAAGGCTGACCCCCGCGAGTGGACCCCTGTTCGTTATGCATCCCGCCAATCGACCCGAGGCGTTGGAACCAGGGGCAGCAGCCAATCAGGCGAGGTTCAAGTGTGGATCCAAGTCCTTATCTCGAGGCGCGGGGGCTTGGCATATACCCACCTTCCGCACTGGGGGACGCCAGTGTTATCGCGGGGTGTGTTAGGTGACTTTTTTGTGTCATTGTCACCACCTCACTCGGCAGGCCATTTATGATCGAGGATTGTGGATAGCCTTTCTGCAGCGTCTGCGCTGAAGGATCGGTATTTCGATGGTATCCATTACGGATGGATGGATGATGATGGAACTGAGGAGATGGAGACGCTGGATGAGTGGTAAAGCTCTCACAACAGCTTTTTATACTCTTTTAGGACATGTAACTCAAAAAAACTCCAAGCTGACAACTCGATTCCAGCTTGATCATGCCAATCCCAAACAGCATTATGATCTTTGCTTGAGTGAACTGCAGGGGCAGGACGTTGCCAGCAGCAAGCCGGCCCACCACTCAGCTCGGCTCACGGTGCTGGTCAACAGTTGACCAGCTCGAAACCTTATCTCAACCTTCTCGCCCACGCTGCCCCGGTCCCTGTCGATATGGAGACCTTGTGCAAATCCGTCTAGTCTGGTCACACCGTTACGGTTACGGCCAGGCCAGAAGAGGTCAATGATGATCGTGATGATCGATCCTCTGTTTGCATGTCTCACACACACACACACACGCCCCCTTCTCCACTCATCTTCCCTTTCTTCACTCCCCTGCCCCCCCCTCCCTTCTTAGGAACTAAGGTCGGTAAACGGCTGCATGGTCACACGATTTTGCTCCCGTCTCGTCCTGTTGCTTTTCTAGCCCATTGCGAAAGCCGCGATCGGAACCTTGTACTGCAGTGTTGTGCTCGTCAGCAAGTGAAAAAAAAAAAAAAAATCTTGCTCGTCTTGCCACAAAGCCAAGTAACCGAACAGGCGGCTGCAGGGACGGGAAAGACGAATAAGGTAAGGCTGGGGAACTGCGCATGGCCTATGCAAGCCTCGTGCCACAGAGTTGGATGGGGGACGGGATGGGGCAGGCAGGGCAGGGCACAGCAAGACACGGGAGATGGGGGCTTGGATGGATCAACATGGTGTTCCCAAGCGGAGGGTGTGACTGCGGCAGGATTGATATTATTACACGATGTGCTCCTGTGTCTGGTATCTAACAGGACATATTGATCTTGACCAGTTCTCTCTCTTTTGCTATATTCTCTCTTTGCTGCCGTACTACTGCTGCCGCTTTTGTTGATGTGGACGTTAACTTGACGTCCCTCGACCTGGCTCAAGCCCAACTGACTGCACACGAAGAACAAAAAAAAAAATAAACACAGTCCAGACAACTCGTGGACATCACATAGTCTGATAACCGCGATGGACGGGGTAGACCTAGACCACCTCCCCTACTCGCCGTTGGTGCCATACAACGGCACCGGCAGCCTCGGCGGCGACCCGTTGGAGGAAAACCTCAACATCTGGTACGAGTCGGGCGACATTGCCTTCATCATCTTCTCGACAGCCCTCGTGCTGCTCATGATTCCGGGCGTAGGGTACGTTTTCTTCCTCCTGCTCCTCCTCTCCCCTCTCAGGGTCTCTTGACAATCTCCCCTAACAAGTACACAGACTCTTCTACTCCGGCCTAGCCCGCCGCAAATCCGCTCTCTCCCTCATCTGGCTCTCCGTCATGTCCGCCGCCGTCACCAACTTCCAGTGGTTCTTCTGGGGCTACTCCCTTACCTTCTCCCGCTCCGGAAGCCGCTTCATCGGGGACCTCTCGCACTTCGCCTTCCGTGACCTGCTCGCGGCTCCCTCGGTCGGCTCCCCGCGCGTCCCGGATCTGCTGTTCGCCGTCTACCAGGGCATGTTCTCTGCGCTGACCGTCGCCCTCGTCACCGGCGCGGTTGCCGAGCGCGGACGCATGCTACCCTGCGTCGTGTTCATGTTTATTTGGAGCACTGTCGTGTATGACGCCATTGCCTGCTGGACATGGAATCCGAATGGGTGGTCGAATCGCATGGGCGGGTTGGATTTTGCCGGCGGCACGCCCGTACATATCGCCAGTGGCGCCGCCGCCCTGGCGTACTCTATGATGTTGGGTAAGAGGAGGGGGCATGGCACGCATGAGTTGAATTACAGGCCGCATAATGTCACGCATATTGTGGTCGGGACGGTGTTCCTCTGGGTTGGGTGGTTTGGGTTTAATGCCGGTTCGGCGCTGGCGGCGAATATGAGGGCGATCATGGCGGCCGTTGTGACCAACCTCGCTGCTTGTGTCGGCGGTGTTACCTGGTGCTTGTTGGATTATCGTCTGGAGAGGAAGTGGTCAACTGTTGGCTTCTGCTCGGGCGTCGTAGCCGGCTTGGTCGCCATCACCCCTGGCTCCGGTATGTCCTCTCCCTAACCTTCCGCCGCTTATGCTACTATAAGCACTCATGCTAACGACCGTAGGCTTCGTCCCCGCCTGGGCAGCCGTTCCTTCCGGCGTGCTAGGCGCTGCCTTCGCCAACTACGCGACTAAACTCAAGTTCCTCCTCGGCGTCGACGACGCCCTCGACATCTTCGCCGTGCACGGCGTGGGCGGCCTGGTCGGCAACCTCTGCACGGCCTTCTTCGCCGACAAGAGCGTCGCCCGCCTAGACGGCATGAGCAACCCCATCGGCGGCGGCTGGCTCAACCAGCACTGGATCCAACTGCCCATCCAGCTGGCCGACTCGTGTGCTGGTGGCGCATATTCGTTTGTCATGACGTGTCTGATTCTGCTCTTGATGAATCTGATACCCGGGCTGCATCTCAGGGTTGAGGAGGCGGCTGAGATTGTGGGTGTGGATGATGCTGAGATTGGTGAATTCGCATATGATTTTGTGGAGTTGACGAGAGAGGTAGTGGTCGATGTTGATGCGACCGTGGCGGGGAGCTCGAATAGGGGTAGTGGAGGGTTTGGGTATGGGGAGAGCGCTAGCATGTTCTCGAATGGCGAGCGCGAGCAGGCTGGGCAGTACTTTAAGGAGTCGAGGATGTATCAGGTTGGGATAGCGCGGTAGGCTACTGCCGCGGGCATTGGATAGGCTGGTTGTTTGCTCCTTGATACCTTTGCTTTGGGTTGTACATACAAATACCAGGGGTTTGGCTTTGGCATTTCCGGCTATGCCGGGGGATTTTGGGCTGCTTTTGTAGAGAGATACCATTGGCTTCGTGTAGATAATAGTTAATTCTAGAGTATCTAAAAGTGTGTCCTCAGAGAGACTTTGAGTTGTTCACTTAGTGTCACTAGCCGCAAGTGCAACGTCTCCTATGGTCACTAACAGGGAGGGGGTAGGTTCTATATCCTTTCACGCTGTGTAATGTGGACTTTCTTCTAGAGTCTTCCCAGGACAAAAGTCCCCTTCCACATCCCCTTCCCCTCTTTCTTAGACCTGTCCTACCTATATCCTCCCTTTCCCACACACATAAATCCTGCAAGCCACCTCCCATTGTGTCCAACTCATTGTGCTACCTTCCTTTCCCGTTGTCACGTCGCACACCCTCTTCTGCAAAGTCTCTGTTCCTGCCGTTGTTTGCCAAATATACCCGCCCCTAAAGCTCATGATCCCATCCTCACACCCCCATCAACCCCTTCACCTCCTCCGCCGTCATGTACCCCGGGAATTCCCCCCTCCCAAATGCTGCACTCTCGTCCAACCAGCGAATGGTAATCGTCCCATCTCCCCAAACAACCCCGCCGTTATCTACAATCACTGCCAGCCTGCCCGGCTTGGCTATGTCTGCTGGCCTAGGGAGCCAGTCCAAGACTCGGTGCTGAACGTTCATCTTGCTGCCGACCGTTGCAGACAGCGGGCCCTGGGAGGGATCATTCCCCCCCTTATGGGAGGTTCGGTTGGTAGGCGAAGAAGAAGAGCGGGTGTTGAGCTGGAGAGAAGATGCCTGCAGTGAACTGACCGCGCGGGTATAGTCTGGCGCAAGGAAGGAAAGGATGTTGAGCAGGCCGCAGCCTGTTGACCAGCAGGAACAAGAGGGGCTCCCGGGGGAGGAAGAAGTGGTGAGGGGGATGCGGGCGTTGAGGAGGGTTAGAGTGGGGTTGTTGAGAAGTGTGGCGCCGCCTTGGAAGGTTTTGGGAGTGGTGGTGTTGTCGTGGGGAAGGGAAAACTCGAGCAGGTAGAGGGTTGTGCTTTGGACGGGGGTGGGGAAGCCTTCTGTATCATTCAAGCTAGGTGTTAGTCCTGTCTTGGATCCATTCTCCATCTATGCTTTTGAGATACTGTTGTAGTAAAGTTGCAACAGGCGACTCAGACCAGGGTAAAGAAAGGGGAGAAACACTCACGATATGCCACCGAACCGGGCCTTACAAACCCACAGCTTGCCCCCTGGCATGGCATGTCACTCATGATGTACCCATCAAAGGAAGACGGTATGATTGTATCAGCAAGCACTGTTGTGTTGGATGCGCTGCCTGTGCCAGTTGCGTTGAGGTAGGACAGGGAAGAGCCGAATTTACTGATGAGAGCGCTGTTAGGGACATGTCATGTTGATCAAACAGGTGTAATGAGGGCTGATTCCGTAGCAGGAGAGGACTTACTTGGTTGATCCTGAGGAGCCATACTTTCCGAAGAAGACCAGGCCTTGGGCCTTTTGTTGTGCGGCGTTGTAGTAGGCTTGGCGGATGACGCCTTGGTGGAGAGTGTCTGAGGGGTCTGGGGATGATGATGGGATGCTGGTGCTGAGTGATGTTGTTTGTGTCTGTATTGTGCTTGATATGCTCGTAGTTATGCCAAAGCTGGATTCGATGCTTATTGTCCCTTCATAGAGGCCACCATCTTCAGTGATTGGATCCAATGCCAAAGTGCTTGTGATTGGGTCTGGAGAAGATACTCCGAGCGTATCAATGGTGCTGAAAATGGTGACAGTTGTTGTCCTCGTGGTTAAACCCGTCACCGTCGACATGGAAGGATACACAAAAGTTGTAAAACCAGCCGTGGTCTCTGTGACGGTGACAAAGACTGTTGACTTGGCAGGGGATAATAAGATGGAGCCATCTGAAGTTCCTCCCACTATGACAGTTGTCAAAACCGTGCTTGTAACTATTATTGGCGCTGTGACGGTCGATGATAATGTTGGAAGCACCTTCTCTGTCACGGTAACAATGCCGCTAGTCACGGTGACAAAAGCAGTTGTAGTCTCAAGGGGGTCCCGCCTCTCAAGCCCTTTTTCTCTCTCCTCTAGTTTATCGTCTTGGTCATCTGTATCAAAACTATCATCGGTGACGGTATCTCCATCTCCCAGACCATCTTTAGAGCTTTGAGAGCTCTCAGGGTACGACCTGTCTTGATGAGCTCGACCAGGTGTGGTGTACACCGCGATTTGCTTCAGGTTAATGGGGCCACGGAAGTAGAGAGCCATCTGGTCATCTCGCGTTAGTGGTCGACTTCTTTCTCGGACCGCCCCATGTTTTTATGACTCTTTCCGCAAGTAGTAAACGAAGACACAAGTAAAAGTAGGCAAACGACTCACCGGCTCATCAAAAGGCCCCAACAATCCCTCCACCGTCCGATTAACTAACGTGCACTTCCCCGTGGTCTCATCCACCCCCTTCACATCCAGATACCGTGTCCCAGGCAAAGCACTAAGATTATAGTATGTAACCTGCCTTGTCTGGGCACAGTATGCTGATGAACCTTCCGGCTTGCCGCCGTTGACCGGGCCGTGGCATGGCAGTAAGTTGGAGGAAGCATTAACAAACAAGGGGAATGGGGATGGTGTGGAGATGCTGCTTATTGGGGATGACGGAGAATGGTTCGGGATGGCTGGGATGATGATGGATGATGCTGTTGTATGGCTGGAGGCTGTGGTTGGTGAGGTGTTGTGAGATGGTTCAGGTTTATCAGTGATGGGGATCACTTGGAGATAAGTCGGGGAGTAAGAACTCTTGGTTGACGTGAGAGCCTCGTGGCCTTTGGGATAGGTTAGGACCAGCCCGAGCGGCAGGGAGAATGCGAGAAGGATGTTGGCCTTCATACTTGCCGGAATATGGTTGATAGGAGTTGGTAAAGATCAGGAGTGAAAACTCCATGAACCAGGGAAATGTCGTTTAATACCCACCTAGTCTGGCCTGTGAATTAACTGTGCAGACCTGAACAACGAGGGAGTTGAGCCACGATTGATGAACAGAGAGACAACAAAGGGAATAGCACAACCAAGATACTTACGATCTGGTCAACAAAGGGTGTCGCGACAGGTAGCATGTGCGAGGTGAAAGTTGTGATGAAGCCCCTGAAACACCTCCATGACCACGAGGAACAACACAGAACTTGATCAATGGACAGCACACCAATTAATCTCAACCAGCACAAAACAAAGAAGCCTTTCAGTCAATTACTCTCATCCAAAAAGCTCTAAAAAGATCCCAAACTTCTAAAACATAAGACGCGCTAGGCTGTTGCTCCGGTTAGCATATGAACATCTGGATATCATTCCCCCTGACCACTATCTATCTCTCAAACTCTCCTCTAAAACCCGTCTCAACACCTCATCCTCTTCATCACCAGCCGGATTGCTTGGCCCAACAATACTTCTCCTTGACTCTTCCTCTCGCTCTCTCTGCTCCCTCAACCTCCGAAACTCCTCCTCGGCCAAGCTCTGCCGCTTGACATACTCCAACACAATCTCCTCTTCTGACCTCTCTTTTGCCTGTCTCTCCTCTTGCTCCCGATGTTCCCGCGCTGATTGTTCCAGAGCCAGACGGAGTTGTTCATCTTCGTCGTTTGGTACTGGCACTACTGGTACTGGCACTGTGACCATGGGATCGGGTCTCGGGGGCGAGGGGGTTGTGCCAGATGCAGATGTGCTTGTGTGGCTTGGGAGAGGAGGGGATGTGGTTATCGGGGGAGCATAGGCTGGAGCCGGGTTAGGGGAGGGGGGAACAGATGATTGTTGAGTAGGTGAGAGATTCGTATGCTGAGCGCTCCAGAGACGAGCCTGCTCGATCTGGTGCTCGATCATGCTCTGCCGGATGGCTTCTTCGATTAGGGCGTGGTATTCTTCGTCAGAGATGTTTCTCAGCTCGTAATCTGTGATGACTGGACTGTGATCTTTGGGATCGTCATGCCGAGTGATAGCCTGCTGCGCTTGCTGTTGTTGTTGCTGCTGCTGCTGCTCATGCACCCGCCGCATCTCCAGCAAACTTGCCCTGATAGCCGCCTCAACCATGGCATCTTCCTCCGCATTACCAGTTGACGTCTGTTGAACAGACTCCTTAATCGCCTTCTCCAGCGCTGCATCATCGTCAAACGGGAAACTCACCGTCCCTGCCTGACTCTGTCCAACCACGGCCTGCCAAGCAGCAACCTGACTCTCCCCAGCCCCCTCTGTATTCCCTGACGTCGTCGGCGTGGCTGGCACGCTCCTCCTCCACTTAAACCACGACCCTCTTTTCCCCTCCCCATCCCCGTTTCCTTCATTCTCCCTCTCCCGATCCTTCCTCCTCCAATTCCAGAACTCCCTCAGCTCCTCCCCCAGCGCACCCCATCTCCTAATAACATCCATCTTCTCCCCCTCGGTCGCCAAACCATACTCCTCTTCCCCCTGCTTAATCCTCGCTGCCACAATCCCCATCATCCCCTCTCTCCCCCAATAATTCCTCATCTCCTTCTCAACCCCCTGCATGACATATGCCGGAAGGGACCACGCCGCAGCCGCAGGCTTCAATATCAGACCCCCAATCCCCTTTCCTATCCCTTTAATCAGCCCCTTACTGCCCTCCTTCTCAGCCCCCCTCAACGGCTGAGTCACCAGCCCCGAGATCCCGTCATACATACCCAGAGTGAACTCCTTCCCCGCTACTTTCATGCCCGTCGCGAGGCCGGTGACCTTTTCGGACTGCGGGCGGACGGTCTCGTCGTTGTACAGCCGGGGCGCGTTGCGGAAGCCGCGCGCGAGGGAGAGGCATACGTTGGGCGTGAAGCGCATGCCAGCGGTGAGGATGCGCGCTGCGGATTTTCCAGCTGCAAGGGCTAGGTCGAGGTTTATGTTCGAAGAAGAGGGTTCTTTCTCGTCGGATGAGGGTTTAGGTGTTGAGGGACGGGGCGAGGGGCTCCGGTGCTGGTGGGGGGTAGGAATCTTTTGCAGGAGCTCATCGAAGGAGGTTGCTGGGCCGTGGGAGGAGCGTGGGCGCGGAGCAGGGGGTTCGGAGACGAGGGTTGTGGATGAGGAGGTGGCTGAGAGATGACTGTTGGACTTGGCGCGTTTGTGGGAGAAGGTTGATGTTGGGGAGAGGCCTGAGGAAGGGGTTTCAGTGCCAGTTGTGGTGTTGGAATCTTTGCGGGAGACCCCCTTGAAGATTTCACGAGGGAAGTCGGCTAATGCCATGGTGAAGGCGCCGATGTCGCCAACCAGGGCCATCGTCACCGCCGAGATGGGGTCCCATGGACGTTCCTCGGTGTTGTACTCGATCGGACGGTACCTGAAAGGTCAGTAAGCCCCAAAGAATACCAAAATTACCAGCAGAGAGTACTTACAGCTTCAAATCAGAGTACTTCAACACCCCCTCCTTCACTAACACGGCAGCAGCAAGCGCACTCAGCCTGACCTTCGACCGCCTCACCCTCCAAACTGCAACCCGACTTGGCGCCAACGAGCACCGCATACTCTCCACATTCAGAAACTCATGAAAACTCTTCCCTCCTACATCAGCCCCCTTCTCAGCCTTAATGCTCTCCCCCAACTCCGCAGCCCTCCTCTTCACATCCGGCGTTAGCGCAAACTCAATCGCCGCCGCTAACTTCTCCGCAGTCAGCTTCTTATAAGGGATCGGCGCCGGCCCGGCCCCCGCCCGCGCAATCATGTTGCCCCAGAAGATCTGGTCTCCGAAAAACGGCACAATAACCGTCGGCTTGCCGGCTCGGATGCCCGCCGCCGTTGTCCCCGCGCCACCGTGGTGCACGACAGCAGCGACATGCTTAAACAGCCAGTCATGAGGGCAGTTCCCGAGCAGGTACACCCCCTCAGGGACATCAAGCGCGTCGCCTCCTAGACCGCCCCATCCCTTGGACACGAGGGCTCGCACGCCAGACTTGATGATCGCGCTGAAGATGAGCTTCGTCAGCCCATCCGGATCGTCCACCACGATCGAGCCGAAGCCGATGTACACTGGGGGCGGGCCAGCCGCCAGGAATGCCTGCAGTTCCGGGTCGGGGACGTAATTTGACTCTAGATCGAGGAAGTAGAACCCGGAGACGGTAATTTCCGGGGCCCAGTCTGCCGGTTTGGGGGTTAAGGAGGGAGACCAGCAGTATGTAGCGGGAATCCGGAGACGAGTGAGCAAGCCGGGAGCGCCGAGCAAGGAGACGGGTTCGAGCTCGAGGACTTTGGTGCGGAAGCGGTTGATCACGTCGCCCAGGCCTTGCCAAGTGAGCATTTCGACTAGGGCATAGGAGACGTAGTTCGATGTGGCCGAGTCGGTGTTGGTTGAGGCAACGATGTCGGCTAGGGGGTGGGGGAAGGTCTTGGTTGGTGTCCAGGGCATGCTGAGATTTTGTTAGTAAAGGGTTGATAGTGTGCTCGGAGATGGGGGAGCGAGAGAGACGTACGTGAACATCATGTGCAGCGGAATCCCCAGCTTCTCCGCTATATGAATGTGCGCGAAGCTCGGGGGATTCGCAATAATGGCATCCGCAACAAACGGCCTCTTCCCCTCTGGAATTATTACCTTCCCATCTTCCCCCTTCTCCGGCGGCGGCCCCATCCCATCGCCCGCCTCGATACAACTTCTCCAACATCCCATCAAGATCTCCTCGATCTCCTTGCGTCTTCTCTTGATATCCCCACTCTTGATCGCCTCAAACCCCGGCACTAGCCCCGGATTCTTGACCATAAACGCCATCAACTGCGCCGGGTCCCCGCCGATGTTGAAAAACTCCAGTCCATTCTCCTCCACAAAGTCCTTAAACGTCGCGTGCGTCGCTAGTCGAACCCTGTGCCCATAGGTATCCCTTAACACCTGTCCCAGGGCTACAAAAGGCTGGACATCACCCCGGGAGCCGACGATTTGGATCACGACATTCAGGCGTGGTGGAGGGATCTGTCCGGGTTGACCGCCAAGGGAAGGGGGAATGTAGGGGGGAGGGAGGGGCTCTCCCGTTACTGGGGAAGAGGGATGCGGTTGGGTGATGCGGGCGTGGTGCTCGCGCTTGAAGGACGGGGCCAAGAGCTCAGTAAGACGTCGGTTCTTCTCGGAGATGTAGATGTTGACACGGCCGTTGTCTAGGGAAGTTAGTATCTCTTGTCAGGACGCTGTGAGAAGAGGGATAAGGGGGAATCACTGACTGTTGACCGAGGCATCAGCAGCGAAGCCAGACCGAGAGAACTGCAGCTGGTGATGGTGATCGCCGTACGGTGGCGGCGGCACATCAAGCTCGTCGGTCTCAAGCTCTTCGGCCACCATGGGGACCGCGTTGGTCTGCACAGGGAGAGAGTTTTCAGGCATGGCGATGACCGTCAGAGACTCTGACCTGTCCAGGGGTATCAAGCTCCAGCGGTCATGCAGTCATGAGTTTTTAGAACAAGATGGTGAGAGATGTGCCCACACTCAATTGCGACACTCAGAAAATTCAACGCAATGCAATGGCGTCGCACAACTCGGTGTTCCAGCATTCAAGACAGTCTGGCACCAATCAAATTTTGAAAGAAGAATTTGTGCCTGCTCACTGGCAGAGAGCCAGCGAATGGGCTAGAGCTGGTTGGCTGAGAGCTAGCAGCCTAGACACGGTCAAACAGGTCACTACTATATACGTACCTTGGTTTCGAACGAAATGTGAGATCTTGGCAATCCCATATGTATTGTGTAAGAAGGTTGTTAAAACACAAAGAGCTCAGGAGGACTTCGGGGAGCTCGGAGAAAGGGAGGGATCTTTTTGGGGGTTGGTCCCAATGGGATACTATCAGGGGCTCTTAAGGAGTACGATCTGTATAATCAGATCGGTAGTGCATAGTTCTCCGACTCCTTTTGAATAGGTAACTTTTGCGGCTTAGCACTGCCCGATACCAACCTGACGAGTATGGCTGAAACTCTCATATCAGGACAACACGATCATCTCACCATGCTTGAGGGTATAGAGGCAAACGCAACAAAGCGCCAGGAGCGTGGCGGTGTTGGTGCCCAAGACCCCAACCCCATTTGGGCGCTGGAGGTCTCAGCCCCATAGCCCCGCAGCCCCGCAGCCCCGCACGTTGCAGCCTGGAACCTCTTTAGGCCCACTTACCTTGCATATGCAGATCTACTCTACATACGAGCTGACCTATGCATTTTGTGCGACTTTGAGTTCTATGTATACGCGTACCGCCATACGCGCGCATCAAAAGTGTTTGGTTTGTTGGTGCAAACCAGAGGCGGCTAACTGGAACAAAACGATTGCCTTGGATAAACGAATGATGACCTTGACTCGGTAGCATAAGCATCGAGCATTGAAGAAAAAAAATCACAATGGCAGTCAAAGGTAGGGAGGGCACAGTTCTTACAAAAGTGTGTGTGGTACCTGGTGCTTCAGGCTTGAAAAGAGGCAGCATGGTATCACAGCCACACAATTGACACCCACCAAAGTCTCCATCTCCAGTCATGCCAGCCCATTCACAGCAGTACTGTCCCCCAACCATGTCACTCAGGTGGTGACAGAAGGCTATCCTTTTAAACCTCTGAACACTCATTTGTAACTATAAAGCTCGAGCTTGATCAGTTGCAAGTTGCCGAAACTGTTGGATTCCTTGGAACTTTTGAGCATTGATCACCCAGGCTGTACCAGAGTTCATAGCTCTTTACCCTGTTAAAGATAAGCTCAGTGACTAATGGTTCCCGACTTCAGACGACTACGTGTGTTGAGTTAAGAAGATAGTGAACAACTGGACTCTTAGGGATGGGCCAGGAAGATGGTCTAGGTCCTCAGGAAACATGGGTAAGTGCGGCGTCAGTGAATGCTGTAGGATGAGAGAAGCATCTGGTCTTCCATTATCAGACGTAAATCTTGAAAGCCTAGAAGTCAATTAAGTCCCAACCAGGTGCAGGATATCAGATTAAGACCCAAGATTACCTAGTGTTAAGTACCTACCCAACGATCTTCCAACCACTCGTCCCAAAGCACCTGAAACTTACACCAACGACGCGTACCAGTCGCAGAAAGCTTGGATTCGGAACCCACACTCGATCAGCCGCATTGTTTCGGCGATCCTAAGTGCTATGCCATAAATGCCATGCTTGGCCATAAGAGTCAAATATCTAGACGAATTCCTTGTTTGCGGAACTAAGCCTATACTTCTGAAGTTATGTTCCATCAGTCAGTTCGAAAATGGAAAACAGGGCAACTAGTGTGCCTTCCTCGCATTGTCTCCGCGAAGATCCGTACTAATCTACGAACCAGGATTTCAAAAGCCGACACATCAGAAACAGGGAGTGACTGAGAGGACGTATGCCGTTGCTTAGATCAGTTGCATGTCCGGTCCCAGATCTCTCTGCTCCTCCATCCATGCATGCCTGCTGAATCCGACACTTTGATAATCTGCGTGCAGCCATCTTTAGCTCTTTAAGCATTTGACGTCTATCTGAAGCCACCGTCCGTCTGAGACCACAACAGAGGTCGTCCCCAGCAGTTGCCATAGCGCTACCGTATTGGTGACCAGTCCGAGTCGATGGATGGGACTAGCATTCCCCATCATAGAGCATACATCAGCTTAGCGTTACCGTTACAGTAGAAGCAGCCTAAATAGTGTTTGTGGTGCATAATGACGACATAAATGATATAACATTGGTTGCGGCCCATAGGCCGATCTGGCAGATTTCGAATGCAGCCAGTCTCAGCACGCTCTTATATACATGAAAACTCACTCCCGTTATGGTGCATTCAGGTGCATGCAGTGACGACATGAACAACCGGTTGTAGCCCATAGGTTCATTGAGATGATCTCAAGTATAGCTAACCTCAGCCCGCTGGTAGCTAACTGAGAACGCATTCATGCGAGTCTGGCCGATAGCTCTGTATCGGTAATGCAAAGCCGCAAAGATCGACCTCTGGATCATGGTGTGCTTCAAGATCGTCCTCGCTACCAAGAAGCAGCGCTGACCCAGTTCTTTTAGAGAGCTGAAGGGATCAGAAAGACGGCCTAACTGATCACTTGATGACTTACGCGACTTCGTTAACGATATGGAAAAGTATATGGGTCGCTTCAGTGCCTGAGCCCTTACGAAAGAGCACGTTATTGATGAGAAGATTGGCCAGCTTCGCAAGAATATTGCTGACTTGAACGACACACTTACCAAGCTCCTCCGGTCCATGGGCTTTATCAGCGGAGGGGCTGCCTTCGGTGCTGGTGCCGTCGTTCCATCTATCTGGTGCGTCCCTTCCTTGATGGGTTATACCGTCAGCGTCGGCCTGATAGCTGGCGCTGCTATTTCCGTGACTCTTTTGTCCCGGAGCCCTCGCCGTGGCCAGCTTTGGCAGTGCAACTGGAGGTTGACTGCGTTTCATCCCCTCATCCTCCTCTCAATGTGTTCTCCGTTGGGGACTTAGTTATCTAGCCCGATGTGCAGTCCTTAAGGACTAAAGTAACTCCAAGAGCGACAGAATAAAGGAACTTGAGCAGGAAAAGGCTGCGATTCGGAAGTCGCGCGAAGAGCTCATAAGCCTCGAAAACGGGCTCAAAAACGATGCCAGCTCTGTTATCCACCTAATACCAAGCTTTTGGAACCTCTGCCAAATCGATGCAATAGACATTAAGGAGTACCTTGAGCCGGACATGAGGACATCAAACTCCCTACGTGTCTGGCCCCGAGGGGCGGCCAAGGCAGACAGTGCCTGCAAGCAACGCTTTCTTGACAATCCCATCCACTTCCCAACTTACTAGAGCGATTGCTGACAGGACTCTTCCAGATTTTGTGGTCAACAAATGATTGACCAAGTTTGTCTTGGTTTGGCTGATCACCGCCAGCCTGTTCTCACTTTTCAGTAGGGCAGCATCTTGGATATGCTACGGCTCGTCGTTCTTCCTGGTCTTTGTTCCTAGCCTAGATAGGTCGCGAGTTCAATGCCCAACGCACTGCTCAAATGCCTAATTACCTAGTTCCTGTTTGGTCGATCACTGCATTGGCTATAAGCCTGGTGGCTCTGACTTCGTAGCTCTCTTGTCGACAAAAACAGTGGCTTCCAGACAGTTCCTTTTATCTGTCTTGCCAGCCAACTACGACTGCGAATGTCGGCTTTATCCTCCTGAGAGTCGAAAACTGTTTGAGCCGGAAACCCGAGGCTCTGGCATCCAGAACTGTCACCCCAGCCACGGAACCCTAATAATACAGTACTAGGACATCATCGACAGCTCTCTCACCGCCCTCACCGCAATCACTGCTGCGCAACTTCCTTCTTCGACGGTGGTGCCGGCCCCCCCGTCGTCGGAAAGCCCATAAAAATCTTGAAATAATCCTGACCAGAGTCAGCGTGAGACCTCTCAAAACCACCCAGGAAGGCACTCACATAAATCATCCACTGCAGCCCCGTCAACGTCCCAATCATGACAATCCTCACCCCCAACCCATTCCACAACCCCAGAAACCCAATATCCTTATAGATCCTTCTCACCACCTCGCCAAATCCCTCCTCCGGCTTGCGATACGCATTCAATTTACTCACCATCACATCCGCCGGATGCGACACCAGAGCACACAATATCCCCGCCAGATACCCCGCAGTGAACGACACCCCCGTCTGCGCCGCCTTGCCATAATCGCTCTTCTTCCCAGGTAATCCCTTCTCATAAATCAGCTCAACAATCGTCTCAAACGAAGCGAACTTCGTCATCGTATACGGAATCTGCCTGCCCCATAAAGGGTACAATCCCTTGTACAGCCCGCCCACCACCCCCTCTGCGGTGGTGATCGTCTGCAACCCGTCCGTCATGCCCTTATAAGGGCTCGGAATCCCCGCCTGCATCCTCACTTTTACGGCCTCGAACGGACATAGCGCGATATCCGCCAAAAACTCTGCTGATGCCGATGCCGCAAGGTACATACCCGTCTTGTACCGATACGCGTTTTCCGGGCCGGCCAGGTCGGAGTACGTCTTTTTGAAGACCTCGTACCACCCGTACTTGAAGGAGCCCTGTGCCGAATAGCCGAAGAAAGTGGGCACCCATCCAGTAAAGATACCGCGGAGGCCAAGTTCGTGGCGGTAGATGTGCCGTAGACCGCGAATGTTGGAGGGGTAGAGGGATGAGTCGACCTGGCGGCGGACTTTGACTAGGTCGAGGGGCGTTACTAGGGTGTGGGTTAAGCCCTGGGACACAGAGGTGAGCTTTGGTTGTCGTTTTTTTTCTTTTCGGGAGGGAAGTGGGATGTGAAAGGGCTTACGCAGGCAAGAAGACCGCCGAGTGTGCAGGCCGCATAGTATTGCCCCGAGTAGAGCTTGATGTGACCGGGCGAGGGCTTGACAACCGTAGTCGTATTAGAGATAGAACATGCTGGATAGAGGTTTAGACGGGCTTCGTTTGGTGTGCGTCCGCGTTCAATCGGCCTTGTTGGCAGCGAAGTATTTGAAGATGATCTCCCCAATCTCTCCTTCATAGCTCTGATGCTTGGGAAGAGAGGCATGATGAACTATGTCAACGCAAACGCACTGGTTCAGGTGAGTAATGGACACTGGAAGAGAGAGAATGGCTATATGCAACGTAGAGAGAAGTAATGTTCCCCCATTAGAGACGGCAAGTAAGCTTCAGGAAACCATACATTGAGCAGTCATCCAGCAGAAGATGACGACAGGAGTTGGACTAGCACCAACGCCATTCTGGTTAGGTTCCATGCGTACTTGGATTCCCAGGTATGGGTTTAGTACCAGTCATTCACAGATTGCATGACCTCATCCTGTGTCTGATATGGGAGCGCAATTCTTCACTTTTTTTTTTTTTCCAGGCTCAAAGGCCCTACTTTTGAGCAAACCAGTGTCAATGACTCGGTGCATGAAATATCTGGGAAGGGCTAAAACAGCATTCGCTCTGACTCGTAGCATTATATTATCTTTCTATTACATCCTTTCTCAAGTCTAGACCTGAACAGTAAAGAATTACTGATTGACCTAACTTTGTTCCTCAGGAAGATGGGAACAGGGTGAAACCGTACGGTGACGTTGTTGGCTTACTGTTGGGCGATCGGAAACAACCGAAGCCAAGTGGGGCACGATTTGGGTACAGTGCCCAAGACTGTTCGAATTATCTACATCTTGCGAAAATTAAATGCAATATCCCTTCATACAGAGACTAGATGATGACATTGTGAATCTAATTGACTATCTTGCACGATCCTCGCCATGAAGCCCCTTTCATCCAATGCTCTCCCCCTCCTCTCCTGTACTCCTAACCCTAGATTTCTTTTACATCAACGGCGGCCCACTTAAATTTCTTCTCTAATTGGTTGATTCATTCCCTTTTAGTGGGTCCCACACCACAGTTATTGATCAATCTATGCCACTGATCACCGAACGGAACAAAGATAGCATGCTCTCTTCGCAACTCCAACGGCCCATCGCTCTCACCATCATCAGTCTCACGCTGCCGCCGACGACGACGACGCCACCACTAACGGTCCAACGAACTACCTAGCTACATCCAAAAAACAATTCACGAATCGCATAGAAATAAGTTTACCTAGACCTTGGATCTGAAAACACGAAAACAAAATGACCGACGTCATCTCCCAACCCACCCAAACCTTCGTCTCCAAATGGGCCGACCGCTATCGCGGGGTACGCTCTCTGCCCTCCCCGTCCTCCCCCCTTCCCAATCCTCGAAGCTAAACCATTCATCCCACAGGCAACAGTCGAAGACCTCGACCCCCCTGCGGCCCTCTCCCTGACCCCGTCGGACCCCATCTCCCTCGCTTTGCTCTCCGCCTTCGAACGCGACTACACCCACCTCACGGTCGTGGACTCCAAGACCCGCAGCCTGCTAGGCTACCTCTCAATACCTCACCTGCAGACCCTTCTCTCCTCTGGGCGCGTAAAACCCGAGGACGAGATTCGCACGGCGATGATCCGGTTCCGGCGGAAGGGACGCAAGTACAAGGTGATCACGATGCAGACACCCTTGGAGGAGCTCGAGGCGTTCTTTGAGGGGTACGAGACGGGCGGGCAGAAACAGGATTTTGCGGTAATTACGGACGAGGGGAGGAGGTTTGTACTCGGGGTGGCGACGCGGGAGGACCTGGAGGAGTTTGTTAAGCGGCGGCCAGCATAGGATGCTCATCAAGAAGAGGTTAAGGGTTGAGAAGTACGAGGGAGAAGTTCTGTCTGTCTTTGTGAAGTATTCTTAGAGGGTATATCACCTACCTAGGCGTTGGGCGGTTCTTGCGTCTGTTGGGTTGCTTTGGCTGGCCGGATTAAAGCACGACTGCAACTATCATTATCATACCAGGGCATTCAACATGGACGGGCTGGACTGCATGGAGGTAATACCTCAGACTGATGGAGGAGGGATTGGTGGGGGGGGAGGGGCTCGGATTCACCTCGGAGCTCGGGCTTGTCTTCTGCTGAGCAGCAAGACTGGAGCGTTCAATAATATCGTATTGCTCAAACTCTTTGAGTACTAAACACACAACCAAACGTATTGGGGACAAATGCCATCCAATAACCAAATAGCTCCTTCAGCTCTGGAGCTGATTCGTATTATCTATGCAAACCCTAAGCAAACAACCTCCCGCAAAAAAGGGGTATTCCTAATGCTATCCATCCCTCAACGAACTATCACCAATTCAGTCGCTCCCGAGGTAGTCATACACCAGCTGGATCTCAACCCTCTCAGCACCCTTCTTGACCACCACATTCCGGACATACTTCCTCTCGCCATTGATATTCTTGAACCCCCAAATCTGGGTCGCCGTCCACCCGTTGTCGTAGCTCTCAACGTGCGAGATGATGTGAGTCTCGCCATTCGGACCCTTGGCCTCTTCCTCGCCCTCCAGCCAGCCTTTCTTGAGGAACTCGTCGTCGATCTCCTCCGTCTTGATGAAGCGGCTCTGGCCCTTGACGTGGCCAAAGATCCAGTCGCTGTGATCGCGGAACGTATAGTCCAGGCACCGCTTCTCTGTCGTGCCCTTCATGCCACCAGTACCAGTCTGCTCGATCTCGATGTGGGTGACGGGAGGATTGGCCGGGTCGGCGGGCGGAGAGGGCGGTGCAACAAATTGCTTCACGTGCAGCGTCAACGTGGCGAGGCCGATGATCTTGCGTGTCATCCAGCCGACGCTCTGGAGCTGAAGGGCCGGGTCGACGGAGTCGGATTGGGCCTTGTTCTGGGAGGTGTGAGCTTCGGGTCTGTAACGGGGGTTTTGGTATTGGAGAGGGGAGCATACCATAACCCACTTGCCATTGAGGTCACCAATGTGCTTATCCGCCGGGGCAGCCATGTTGGGCGATGTGTTCGTTTGCTTTTTGCTTTTGCTGAAGCTATTCCAAAAAGACTGGTTGGTGTGTAAGATCCCGTAGCGATAGACAGACTCGCAGACGGCGGGGGTAATGGATGGACGGCGCGGGGTTGTTCGCGACAATCAGGAGATGTGTAGCAGAGGAAGAAAAAACAGAAAGGCAGATACCAAGCGGGAACATGCTAGATCTTATAATCCCTTTTCCCCCCTCCCCTTCCCTGGGCTCAAAAGTTTCCTCTAACCTCTTAGGCCCCGTCGTTCCTGACACAAACCCCCGGGGTACCTGGTAGGTGGGCGCGTGGTCCCCCCTTCAGAGCGGGTCAGGGACAAAGCAGCAGTTGCAATTCGGTGGGGTTTACGAACAAACGAACGAATGAATGACCATCCAGGCAGTCCGCGCACTCCCAGCTTCTTCCTACCGCCCTAAAGAAAAGAGTCCGGCGATGATGCACCGCAGCACACAACTCGGTGTCATGCAGCCTTAACCTACCGCATCTAAACTCTGTTGGTGTGACAGACGGACCTAAACAATAAAGGGAAGTGTAGCCCGAGGCCCTGTTGTCTACACTACCCATAAAACCAACGACATCATCGGGCAAGGCCTGAAAACAGCCATCATCCTTCCCTCGCAGACAGCACGGCCACAGCTGGAGCTCCGGATGTTCATTCCCATCCAAGTAAGACCTCCACCGCATCTAAGTCTTGTTCCATGTCCCACAGTTTCTAGTTCTGGTGTGATTTGGTTTCTTCCGCATGGGCAGCCATCTGGGGGATGTAAGATGAACATGAGCCTCGTTCCCAATCATGCCAGACTTGGATTCATTCCACATCGCGCGGAGAGAGGTTGCATCCCGCCATTGATGTGCTCCGACTGCAGGCAAGTTTGTTGAGTGCAACCTCTCTCGGATGTAATCCGTAGCTGGAGCCTCGGATTCGGGGAAGAAACACAGCAGGAGGATATGTGTGGTTCGAGCTTCAACTTTCGGTGTGCCCCCTCGTTTATCGTCCTGTCACGAATCATGATCTCTTACTTCTCCCGGCCTTGACTCCCCAAGACACAACTCAAATATCGATAAGCCAAGTCCTTTTCTCCGACACCTCAGTCCATCAGTTCATATATTGAAGAATATCCAGTTTCAGGTAGTACTCGCGAAGGGCGATGTAAGCATGGAACTCAGTTCTTGGATTGGTTTGTTGGGGCGGACCGGCAGACGATGCGGGGCAACCCATCCGTCCCGGGGTAAGATCACCGAGGTGGCATGTGAAAGCTGCCAGGGTTCCCGCCTTGGGCTTACAACTGAACTTCAAACGTGTTAACTGTAGCAATACAGAGAGAAGTTCATGACATACTGTTGCGTTAGAAAGTTGGTGTTTAGAAATTGTTTGATTGAGTCTTTACTGACCCAAAACCCGAAATCTGGAAATGCCAACTTCAATTCTCCAGTCTCGAAGGCTTTGTGCTCTCATCTATCTCACAGAACGTCATTTTAAACTACCGAGTCTGAATCACATGCAAACGCTCCTCCAACGTCCAGCAAACCCTGTCTCTCAGGATCAAACAACCCCCCCCTTCCTTTAAGAGATCTGGTCTAAACGCCTAACTAACCCAAACCAGAGAAGCGCTGGAAACAAGGCCCGATGAGAACAATGAGGGATATTAGCTAGTTATAGTGTAGCTATTTCCAAGATTGGGATATCTCTGATGATGTTCGATGATAATGAGTAGGTATTATTACATCATTTCAAACCAAAACCCCGTCTCCTTTCTCTCTCTTTCCCCCTCTCTAGTGTCTTCCCTAACATAGCAGACAAAATCCCCGTTTCAGCAATGATAGTTTCTTCCCTTTCGACATTAGATGGTGTGTGTAGATTTCATATCCTTTCTGTTTGCTGTCCTTTCGTTCCTCAGTTGTTGGTTGGCTGGCCGGTTGGTCGAGTCGGTGGTTGGCTTGACTTATTTCAAGCCTGGCTCGTTCATCTCAGCTCGTTTACCCACCCACCTTTGTTTCTCACTCGTTCATCTCTAAAAACCTTATCCAACCCCCTTTTCTGTGCCGTTCATGAAAGTAAAAAAAAAGGACGGGGGAAGGAAAAAAGAGAGAAAATCGACAAAGGAAAATTGCCGCCCATGAGTCCAAAAAGCAACACACGCTCGTCCAATCATCCATGGAAAGGGGACCCAGCCCCACCCGGGAATATCCTTTACCCTCCTCTTATACTTCTCAAAAACTCAACGGCTTACGGCCACCAGTTCATCTTCTTATAACTCTCAATCACCTCCTCGATCAGCTCCTTCGTCATCTGCGGCCTCTCATACTCAAAGCCCACCACCTGCTCGAGCCTTGACCCGTCCATACTCAGATCGGTGTCCTTCAACAACTCCTTCTCCATAAACGGCGTCAGCGGGCCCGGCTTCGTGATGCCCGCCTCCTCGAGCAGATCCGACCATGGGCCCAACAACTCATCATTGACATCATCCACGACACTGTCCAGGTTGAGCTTAGCAAACGTGCTGATCAACTGACCCTGAAATCCGGTCTCAATCCCGAAGATTTCGCCGATGATGTCGGCCAGGGTGCCCTGCGTCGTGCAGCCGTGGTCGACAACATTGAAGATGGGAATCTTGCCCATCGAAGACTCATCCCAGTTGGCCTTGCCCTTGGCGTCGTACCAGTCGGCCACGGCCCACAGCGCGCGCACCACGTCGTGGATGTGTGCGGTGTTGGTGCGCAAATCCTTGGTCCACAGCCACTTCATTTCGGATTCAAGGGCCTTGTAGACGCGGGCCATGCAGAGAGCGGTGGCAACCCATTGCGAGGCGTACGGCCCGTAGACGTGCGGGAGGCGGACGATGACGAGGTTGAGCCTGCAGAGGTAAGTATCTTCCTGCAAATGTCCGAGGAATGAGTTGGTTGTACGCACCCCTCGATCTTGCTCAGCTCCTCCTCGGCCTGCAGCTTGAACACGGCAATCTTGCTCCACGGCTTGAGTTTATCGCCCTCCTTGCTTGGCTGCGAGTCGGGCTTATACACCATGCCAGTGCTTAGCTCGACGAAACACTTGACGCCACGTTTAGCGGCCTCACGGCCAATGTTAAGAGACAGGCCCAACGACCGCAGCCGGTACACCTCATCTTCCTGCGAGTAACGCGTCTCGCCGCCGCAGTTGAACACGTAATCCCATGTCTTGCCGTCGGGCCGGTCGAATATCCGGGGGAGGGATTCTGCACGGCACGTTGTTAGCTTATTAAGAAGCTATAGCGTCATCCGATAAGTAAACATACGCTCCCGGCTGGCATCAGCCTGCACAAACTTGGAGCCAGAGCAGGCCTCCTCGAACTCAGGCGGCAGCCAGGCCAGCTGCGGCAGCACCTTGTCGACAATGCGCACCTCAGACGCAAGGTCGTTTTTGTGGATGTAGTAGGCCAGCCATCGGCCAATGTACCCGAGACCGCCGATGATCAACACCGACGGCTTCTCTGCCATTTTGGCCTTCTATGCTTTCTGATGTGTTTGGTTGTGTAAAAAAAATGTGTTGTGGGTAGATAAGTACGTTTGCGGTCTGCTTTACTGGCTGTGCGAGATCGGTGGTCGCGCGACAAAAAAGTGAGAGGGGCGGGGACGTGTGTGGTTGAAAAAAAGGGGAAGAGGAGGTGGTGGTGCTTGGTTGTTGGCGTAGGACCTCGAGCGGGTCGGGACTCAGCTCAGAAGAGAGGGGTTCGCGCGGGGTTGTTGCAAACTGCGGCTCGGCGATGGCGCTGGCGGCGACGTTTGCTCTGAGGGTAGATATCTGCGAGATTGGGGTCGGGCAGGTCGGGTTGAAAGGCGTCCGGTGAATCGGTCAGCGGTTTAATAGTCAGGAGAGCCTGGAGATAGACCCTTGAAGAGTTGTGAGGGTAGGTATATCTGGGGACACAGAGATAGAGATATGCGGGGGCGTGAGAGCGGTAATGAAATTGCCAGACCCTTTTATAAGAGGATATATTTTCCAGTGTCACCCGGGGGAGGAGTGGCAGGTAAATTATGAAAGGAGGGCTTCCCAGGAGGCGGCGGAACTTCGGTAGACTTCTCGAAGCTAGGTCGGCAGGGCACGAACAAATCCTGCGCTGCCGCCTGGCCTAGGACGGGGAGGGGTCCCTAGGAGGGCCAAACAAGAGACCAGGACTAAACACCTGTGTTGTGGGCACTCTCAGGTCTGCTGCGACTGGGTGATCAAAAGAGCCAGGGTCCATCCGAGCTCCAGAGGACCAGAGGTCCATCCACTCCACAGCCGCGAAACCCGAGCACCTGGGCGAGCCATAGGCCGGCGAACCACGGATGGCAGGAGCAAAAATTCTCCAGGTCCATGGAGCGTCATGGGGCGTCATGGGCGCTCGCAGGTGCAGCCCAATTTCGCTGCTGCCGTGCTGGGCCCAAGTCGTGGCAAGGGTTCCTACCCGTCAACGGTTGCCGGGACATTTCCGGTCCAGTGCACTTCCTCCCCACATCGACCTCTCTGTTGCAGTGCCACCGTTCATCAGACATTGTAACAGGTAGTCCTGTCAAAGACAGGCTCAATTTGCAATCAACGCAGTCCCTCTGCTGATGTTGGGTTGCACACACCCATCCCAAGTGCACATCCGTTGTTCAGCAAAGCCTTATGACAGGGGCCAATATCGTCGGTCCCACCAACTCAGACACATTTAACAATTTCTGCAATTTACAATTGCTTTTACAGTCTCCATAAAAAAAACTTTGTCTTTTGTTTTATCAGGCTTTGCCCAACGGCTGAGAGGGAGGTCAGCGGGGTTTGATGCCACATAGCATTGAAAAGGTGACGAGAGAGTGTGATGATGTTGGGAGCCTAACACATAGCATGCTGGCATTGCTTTTCTCTCAACTTTGCGGTTTCAGATGTCTGCGAACTCCAAACTTTCATCCCAACTCTAGGATCCTTTCTTGTTTTAAGGTTCGCGGTCCGTTTTGTCTCCTTTTGGCCGCACGGTCCATCCTGGTCCAGCGATCACGGCAGCACACTGGGATGCAGGCTGCTGTTGTGCAGTGGGGTCCCCTTGGTTTCTGTGCGTTAAGAAATCGCGGCGGCTCAGAGTAGACAGTTTCTCACTAGGGTCACCACTTCCATCTCTCAACTTTGACCACCAATACGACGACATGACTAGATTCCCTTGACCTTTTTACCACAGTATTCTGTCGTCTCGTGACCGCTAACACAGAAGCTGTACCAGTGTGGTGAGACACGGCAAAATCATAGCCGCCCGAAACATTGGCGCCGTCTCACCCAGATAGGTGTCCATGGAGTTCCCCGCAGTCGCAAAAAGTCCGAAGTACCCTCGGCGCCGTCGGACTGTAGACAGCGTCTATGAAGCTATCCTGTCTAGGGATATCACGGAATATTTCCGGTCTACGAGCATGAAAGTCTCACGAAAGAAATCATCTCGTACTGCAGAAGTCTGCAGCTGTGAGCAGAGCAATCAACCGCCAACTGCATTCCAATGCCTCTTTTTCCTTGGGACCGGTCTGGTGTCGCCTGCGCGAGCGAGCACGAAAAAGGTGCGTGGTCAGCAGCCCCTGCGTCGCTGCAGAGGAAATACGTCACGCAGCTAGTGACTCGCTTTTCCGACGCTGAGTCTTCTAGCTACTCTCTCATCAACCGTTGATCATCATGATAGCCCTCAGAGCCAGTTGCTTGAGCCCAATATCTGGGTCTCATTTCCAAGTGATTCAGCCCCTCTTCCACGGAGTCCTGTAACAGCAACAAGCAACCATGCCAATCCGTTCGTTGGGGACGAAGGATCACAAGCCAGGCACAAGACACATCGTTGGGGTGGCACAGAACCCCAGCACGGACGGTGTGCCAAGACAAATAAAACCCTTGCTTCCCCGGCCAAGGCACTCAGAACGGCGAGACGGGCTGACGGGCCGAACTTCGATGGCTTCTAGAAGGTTTCCCAGCTCGGAACGATGTTTGGCGGCTGGCACCTCCCATTTTTTCTCGATCACGATGACGCGGTTCGGAAGATCTAGCAAGGGGGAGTCTGGAGGGGACAAAGGTCCAAAATCGGATACGATAACCGAGGTGGGCCGTACTCTCGGGTCGCTGGTGTCATCAACCCAAAACGCCGCGAAAGATCAAGATCCAAAGTTTTGGTTTCTGTCAATAGAGATCCCATGTCCAGCAACACCGTTGTCGAAACGGAAGCGCCGACGGCGTGCCGGCCCTTCGACCCATGTGATACGCTCCGGTGCCTGAACCCAATGGTGCTCTTCAAGCAAGCCACCAGAGCGAGTGTCTAAGAGCCGATTAAGACACAGCTGCAATTACAACAATTATCTTGTGAAGATTTTTCATTTCAAAATCCTGCTCATCTATTTGATCCTTTCCTCAGGATCCACGGTGGCAAAGGAAAATTGAGTTCGCGGCATGTCTCGGCTTGTAGCAGAAACTAATAGTCCTATGCAAGGTGAAGGCTTCTAGAAACTTGCTACGCAACTCCCCAAACTTTTTGGTCCGAGCTTCAAGGTAGCCCCCCCCTTTCACATGCAGATTGAGCCAGGGTCGCTGAAAGAAGAGTCCTGCAGGATTCTAGAAAGAACTGACCTGATGTGCAGGTTTGTACAAGCCCTGGCCGTTGCTAAGAATGGCGTTCAAGTAAATGCCCAAGCGGAAGATCTCGAGCTCGCCGCTGGCCACTGTTTGTAGATCCATGGCCCCAGTCTCAGGATGATGAACGGCGGATCCACCAATGCAAGACAAGAACGTTCATAATACGGGGACAGACGAATATAGAACACAAGAGAGAGCCTCGTCTCTCGATACAACCCTGTCATTAAGTGAAACAGAGCAACCGCGCGGTGCACCGAAACCACACATCATCAATATTACCCGATCCCTATGTAGCAGCGTAGTATCAGCAAATCCTAACACCCCTCTAACCACCCAATCTATCCATCTACCTCCTCATGCTCCCAATCAGCTCGCGCTGCGTCTCCCGGTCACGCAGCGTCTCACTCAGACTGCCAATGCTGCGCAGGTCACCGACCACATCCTTAGCCTTACCAAAGTACACCTCCTGCAGCAGGTTCCGCATCTTGAGCTCCATGTCCTCCACAAGCCGACCGATGTTGGCAATGTGGCTGTCGTCGTTGTCCACGGGCAGGTCCTGCTCCACTTGACGCGTCATGTTGCCGGACAGATCCAGCTCGCCTAGCGAGGAGCCTTTCGTGGCCAGGGACAGGATGACCGTCGAGGTCAGCCGGTAGTTGGATGTGCGGCCGCGCTCGGAGGCTTCAAACACGTGGATGGAGTCCCAGACTCCAGAGGAGGTGGCGTCGCCTGGGGTGGAGGCTAGGGATGTTAGTGAGAACTGCAGCAGCTGAATGAAGCGATGGAGAGATGCAAGTGGGACAACATACTCTTCTTCAACAACACCACGCCCGCAAATCCGTCGTCCAAATTCCACAAATAAACCGACGACACGCCTCCCTCGTAATACAACTCCCGATACACATCAAATGCCTCATTCATCTTAATCTCCATCCTCCGAACCCTCTCTCCGGGAACAGCCCCTTCCCCAGCGCCCTCATTGGTACCCCCGGGGCCGACGCCCCCCACTGAGGGCGCGTCGTCCAGCGGCGGGTCGAACTGATTGCTCCACGGGGAGCGGTAGCTGTCACCATCACGGTTGTAGTCGCAGAGGAGGTAGTCACGGCCGGTTTGCTTGCAACGGCGGATGGTGAGGGGCTGGTCCACGGAGGATAGGAGGTCCTCAGCTAAGTCAGGGGCGAGGGCGATAATGTTGTTGAGGTGAGAAGTTGTGTGTTTGGGGTTGAGACGGCGGAGGAGGTCGCTGGTCGGGTTGATTAGCAGGATTGCTAAGTAGGTAGCTGAGATTGTGAGGTAGGAGAGAGTCGGCGTTGGGCTAAGGGGAAGATAGGATAGGGCTTACAGGGCCGAGTCGAAGGGGTCCACGGCCGCCATGTTTGCTGCTTTCTCAATGCTGCCGAAGTTGGTATTACTTGTGTCTCGTACTGTTTATTGTAACTCGTGGGTGCAGCTCGTCGTCGTCACTCGTCGGGCGCCGCAGCTGGTGTCGGGGGTTGTTGCAGGCACTCGCTGCCCTCCAGGAGGGCACTGGTGTCCGCCAATGCATGCCGCAGGATGAAGATGAGACGGGACTGTGGGGCAAAGCGGTGGGGCCCATCAGATATTGTGGGGTTATGGTCCGTGCGCGCCAGGGGAGGGTACGTACCACTGGACAAGGGTCAATGTGATTCTTGGGGCCGCATGAGACTTAACGGCTTTCATCAACAACCTCATGATCTCATCACATAAGTAAGCAAGCTTCGTGTCAAGAGCCATTCGAAGTCATAGCCGGGATGGTATCACAGAGGAGCACAAAGCCTGGCATAAACAATAAAAATGAATCAGCCAAAGAACTCTCATCGTCAGAAAGCCAACTCACTCGCCTGCTAGGTGAGTCCTGCCTTCATCACCTCATTTCACGAAAATCACCACTGACATCTTATAGACAGCCTCCTAACCCTCTCCATTCCGGCTCTAGTTTTTATCCACCTTCTAGTAGCCCCTTATACCAAAGTAGAGGAGTCCTTCAACATCCAAGCCGCCCATGACCTCATCGTTTATGGCACACCGACCCGTGATGTCCATGCCCGGCTCTCATCCACCTACGACCACTTCACCTTTCCTGGGGCTGTACCACGCACCTTCGTGGGCGCTATCTTGCTGGCCGGGTTTGCTCAGCCTCTCCTAGGGATTGTCGGCTTCCAGCATACGCAGTTTGTGGTGAGGGCCCTGTTGGGGATGTTCAATGCTGCCGGGCTGCTGGGGTTTGCAAGAGGATTGAAAAGGGCGTATGGGGCCGGCGTCGCAAGATGGTATCTGCTTTTACAAGCAAGCCAGTTTCATGTGATCTTCTATGCGTCCAGAACGCTGCCGAATATGTTTGCTTTTGGGCTGAGTATATCCCCCTTCGACTATCTCAATGAGCACAACACATGCTGACCTCCCTGCCAGCAACACTCGCTTTCACCTCCCTCCTACCAACCCCTGCCAATCCTAGGCTCAGTCTTCCCCGTCAACGGCGGGCAATTGTTCTCCTCGTCTTTGCGGCAGTTATTTTCCGTTCGGAAGTCGCCCTCCTGCTCATCACAACAGTCCTGCACCAGCTGATTCTCCCCACACTCTCCCTGGAGCGTGTTTTTTTCCCCTTCACTGTCGCCTTCATAATGTCCTTGGCCATCTCGATTCCCATCGATACTTACTTCTGGCAGCGGTTCCCATTCATCTGGCCCGAGCTGTCGGCCTTCATCTATAACGTCTTCCACGGTAACGCCTCCAACTGGGGCATTTCCCCCTGGCACTGGTATTTCACCTCTGCTCTCCCACGACTGCTGCTCAACCCCCTAAGCTACATGCTCTTGATCCCTTACGCAGCACGGCATCCAGCACTAAAGTCCGCCGCTCAGCACTTGATCATTCCCCCGCTCCTCTTCATAGCGATATATTCCCTCCAACCCCACAAGGAAACCCGCTTCATCTTTTACGCCGTCCCTCCTCTCACAGCAGCAGCTGCATTGGCAGCCAACCGACTCTGGATCAACCACTGCAAGTCCATCCCCTCCGCTATCCTGTCCATCGCCCTTCTCGCCTCAGTCGCGGCAACCTTCGTCGCCAGCACCGGCATGCTCGCTATCTCAGCACTGAACTACCCGGGCGGCGAGGCTATCAGCTACCTCCGCTCGGCTATCCTCCCCAACAGCAGCCATTCTACTGGGGGTTCAAAAGGGGTCGTGTCCATCCACGCCGACGTCCTAACGTGCATGACAGGCCTAACCCTCTTTACCTCGGCCACGGCGCACACTTTGTCTCAACACCGGCAGCACCTCTCCCTTTCTCACGAAAGCCCTACCAGGAAAGTCAAGACCATCTCATCTACTCCCAACTCCAAGTCAGATTCGAACCTCCCCCGTTTGCTAGTCGACAAAACCGAGTCCGAGTCCGATTTATCCCGTCCCGAATTCTGGCGCCAATTCGACTACGTCCTAACCTCCACCCCCCAGCTCCTCCAACAACGCCTCTTCCTCCAACCTCCCGACCCCAGAAAAGGGGATACCACGCGCTGGGAGGCGGTTGCTGTTGTCAAGGGGTTTGCGGGAGTTGAGATTGTCAGACCCGGACGGGGCGACCCCCTTCCTGATGAAAGGGAAGGTGTGAAGGTTGTTGGACGGGGTGCAATGGTAGAGGGATTGAAGAGGCAGGTGATGAAGATCACAGGGGGTTGGTGGGTTGGGCCGAGGATGAGGGAGAGGGTTTGGATTTTGAGGAGGGTTAGGGGGGGCTGGGAGGGAGAGAGGAGGGAGGCGAGGTTTGTTTGAGTGAAAAGGTGCAAGGAGTGCTTGTGTTAGCAAAAGGATGGTGTGCTTAATCGAGCAGGGTAGAGCACTGTCTGCTGGTTGGATGTGTGCCCTAACCCGGGAAGGTTGTGTTCAGATCGGTGTTGTAGTTCTCTTCACAGCCGACTATCTGGTTATATCTACTCGGATTCTGTTTCCTTGTAGAGTAAATCTTAATTCTGTGTTTCACATAGCTTCTCCCTAACACCACTACTATTCCCATTGGCATGTAAGGCTGAGGCCCCAAGTCTATACTCCGTTAACGTGACCGATCCACAGATAGTTGTAGTTTCGCCTATGATGCCGTCAACGGGTGTCAAAGACCATCATCCATTCAACAAACGCAATGAGACAATACAATGTCAAACCATCACATTTAAGCTTGTAGATGGATCGTGTCTGATCTAGCAAAATCAGTGTGTGTTAAAATTTAGATGCTAACAAAAATCAAAAACGTACAGCACCCGGGATTCGCTGGTCGTCACCGACCCAACTACTAACCGGGCCCTCAGTGGCTTAACTAGGGCAGAGCGGACGGGATGCCGTGCTTTCCACTGGGTATGGCCGTACGTGCCAGCATGTGGCCGGAACTCTCCTCGTAAACCCCCAATTGCTTGTCAATTTCCAAGAGGCGACACCTAGGAACGAGCTTTCAACAAGGATTGCGCTTCAGCAGCCATACGTGAAGACACAAATTACCTTGTCTAGCAGTTAGTTACATGATCGATATTTTGCGAAGCTCGCGAGCTATTAAGCCTAGCATCATTAAGGATTTGGAGCAAGCTCTTAGGTCAAGATTGTGTCAATCACGAAGCCAACCGGGTGTCGTCTTCGACTCCCAGTTACACCATGAAAAGTATCGAGACTCGAAAGTAACTTCCGAGTCTAAACAATCATGTCTGACAATGAAAGCTCCACAAACTTACCTCACCTTTGAACGTTAGAAAGTTCCATGTGATACTCCTTTACCTCGAATATCACGATCAAGATGCACATCTTGGTGGTTACACCATTTCCAGTAACATCACCACAATCAATCTCTTCAGTATCCGTAAAGTGGTTACGTACGTACCTCTCGGTATAATTATTCCCGAGCACATAGTGGGGATGAAACAGCCCAGCACTCAACTGTTGCCTGTGTATCCAGATCAACAAGGAGATTGGAGCGCCACTGCGATGAATTATTGCACAATGAATTCTCCGTCGAGTACCAAGTAGAAGCATGTATGTATCATGTGTGTGTATATGTGTGTGTGCATGTCAGGTTTCCCATTGAGATACCATACCACACAGATCACACACATGAGCCGGTACAAAAGATCCGCATCTACCGGGCACTACTTACCTTTACCTACCCGGGACTCACAGCGGGCGGAAGTGAACCACCGATCTCTGGAGATGGGCACATAGCCACCTACCAGCCGCTTGTATATGCTGTATGTATGCTAGATGACAAACATCTAACCAAAGTGAGGTGGTACTCTTCTCCGGGGAATCGACACTGAAAAGGCCTTTATCCATATTAGATGACGTTGACCAAGCAAAAAGACACAAAGAAAAGAACCAGAAGTTCCCCAATGTTATACTGTGGCGTAAAAACAACCGTACCGCAACTGACCCTTGTTCGGTACTTGAGGTTTCTCTAGAAGCCTATGATGCAACCTTAGGCGGAAATCTTCGGTTGGTGCGACCCCAATTGTGGGGTTGAAGCATCGAGTAGATTTGTTTCAAGAACCATGGTTGTGCTAGTCGGTCACGGCCGGGGGATTCTTGGGTATTTTTCTGTGTTAGCCGTCGGCTAAACCTATGATGGCCGTGAAGCGAATGCTTTGCGGGGCGGCTTCGTAGTGCTGTGTCCCCTCGTCCATCTCAAAGGGAAGGAGCTCATGACACTTCATTGGATGGGAATCATGATAGCCACCATCAGGACGGCATTTGCGCGCTTGCAACGCCCCTCTAAAGGGAGCTCATGATGTCCTCCTGATCAAGGTGGCACCCTACTCGGCGACTGCCCGACAAGAGTTGCGTTTGTGTAAGGGACGAGATCGATGCGCCCATCTTAAGACCAAGCCCATGCCGCCGTAATCACGAGGTATAAACGCGGGCAGATTTGAATGTCTGGAGAGGATCATGACCGCAGCATCTCAACTCAGTAATAGCTCTTGATCCACCGCCACGTAGCCAAGATGCAACAAGGAAAGTGCACGTTATTTTCGGCGGTGCATATCTTCCGCAGAGCCATGCTGGCGCAGTGGGCACACATCGAAAGAGCTGAAGTGAGCTCTATAAGCAGTGGCTAAGCATCGGCACGACCGCTTCGGTCAGGTTGTCTGCGAGGCAGATCGTCCTCAATCCGCCAGCCATCCAGGAGCAGGCCGGAAGCTTTACCACCGTCAGCATGGAAGATTTCTGCTATGCTTTTCTGCTGAAACCGGATGCCGACTCATTCATCCCATATTAGCTGTCTCAGGCCCGTCGAGAATAGCAGCGCAGATGCTCCCCACGGGGGCGGATCATGCCCGTAGACCAATGGGATCAACAAGCGGCCCTCTCGTGGCCAAGCGAGCAGATCTGAGAGGTCAGCGAAGCGAAGCGAAGCAGCAGGTTAGGTGGAAAAGACCGCGAGCTGGAGCGGACGCGTAATGCCCAATATATGAAAAAGAGTTGTCCGGGAGAAAACATCATAACACCCATTGCAAGTTGTCCACGACGCTGAAAGCAGCAGGCAATATTTTTCCGTCGGATTGCTGGAGGGGGGAATTCTCAGAAGGATGCTGGATAATATCCAAAGAACCCTTCGTCGACCGGGAATGGACCTCTCGTCAATAGCGACGGGCCATTTTTCGGCAGGCCGTGGTTACTTAAATTCCGATCTCAGAGTATCGGAAACATCGGCGTGGGATAACAATGTAGTATTGTGGATACCATGGTTAATCCCAAGATTCTAAGGCCCAGCCAAGCGCTTGCCCAGAGTCGCCCAGCAATGCCCAGAGGCGGATCAACAAGGACAAGAAAAGTCAAGAACTAGATGCATAACTGGACATTTCCTGCGCCGTTGAGCTGGGTCGGAAAACCGCGAAGGCGGTGCCAGCGTGTTTTGGTGGCATTTGGATGGCCTGCAGCTATGCCCCTGCTGTCGGTGAGAGATGCTGTCGCCAGCGAGAAATCCAAGACCTACATCGCCGTCTTCGACAGGGCGGGCAGAATAATGAGAGGTCGGTGTTGTGTGGCACTCCGACGCTCGGTGACTCAGCGGCCAGCGAGGCATAATCTTGAAAGCTGACAGTGTGGGGCCTGCCTTCGAGCACTTCAGAGCCATGAGCGGTCAAGACCAGGAAGATATCGGAGAGGACGGCGACGAACTAGGTTGGGTTGCCCGGATAGATGGCACCATCGCGAGAAGGCCGGTAATTGCACCATCGCCCGGTCTCGGGTTACCGTCGTGTCACAGAGGACTTCCGTGGGCATTAGGGCCGTGGAGCCGCGAAAGGCTGAAGGTGCGAAGAGGAGCGTCATCTGGGTCTTCCGCGTCTCGATTCCTGGGACCTTTGGCACTTGGGACTGGACCCTAGGAGCTGGAGGAGCACCCAAGACACATACATTCCGTGTGTGTGCCACGCTTTTTACCCGCCGAGAGAGAGCGAGCCCAAGAAAAACGAGACAGCTCGACCACGACTTCGAGTGCCGCAATATCCGAGATCTGCGCTCCCTTTGAAATCTGAACATCCAGCGAGGGCGTCCGTGACAAAAATAAACCGAACACAGCTCCGCAGCTGTGTGAGACGGGAATGCCCGTCAATGGCGAGCAAAGCCTGCTGCATGACGAAAGATCGATAGAGTGTGAGTTGACGCCAAGATCCCGGTCAGCTCACTGCGAAATTCTGGCAGCTCGGATAGGCCGGCTTGGGTTCGAGTCTCCTTTTCTTGGAAAAAATTGTCACATTGTCACACAGGAATCAAAAATCCTTCCTGCAAGCCACACTTTCCGAAAGTCTCAGATAGGTGTCTGTTGGCGAAAAGAGGTTGTTGGATGCTCCACGCTCCCCACCATAGCTTAAGTCATCTTTGCACCAAGCACCCTGGAGCTCAACGTCTCCGGAAGTCACAATGGTCGCCATTCCACCTCATCTCCCTTCACAACCATGCACAGTGCACTAGTGAATACGATAGCGGTCAGAGTTTTGTTTCCAATTCCTCTTGCGACACTAATTTCTCCTTTCTCCAACCTCCAAGAACAATTGAAAACACTTATTGCGGTCTGCTTCTCGCGCCCCTTGCTCCAAATGAAAAAGCCTCCTGTGAGGCAACCAGCTGAAGCTCTTGGCTGGTGGCAGGCGCTCTATGGAGCCATTGTCGGCCCAGGTGGCCCGATGCTCAAGCTGGCTGCCAATTGGCACGACGTCAAAGGCGCCCCCCACACATTGGTCTGCCCAGTGCTCAACCCTGCCGAAGCTTACGAGCCTGGCGGATGCCCGGGGGTCAGAATGGAGACGTCAAGCAGAGCCCAAACCCAACCTGGAACATTCCAGGTGCCTGGCTTACCAGATGAGCCGGGGTATGGCTTCGCTAGCGCCATCTCTGCCATCGTCAGCCCCAGGGCCCCAGCACCGACCATCAGCTCCCGTCAGCCCTGGTGGGTCAGAATATTACCTCAACCGGACGCCCTGTAGGGCGGGGTTTTAGTTTTACACATGTAGGGTGGCAGGGAAAATCTCGATGCGAAGAAACGCTCTGATGTACGCTGACCTCAGCTGTTATGTTTCATTGTGGACGACAGGCAAGGAAAGTCAGGAAAAAACAGACGAAGCGAGACAAAAGAAGATCAACAAGAGAAATGGGAAATTCATGCGATTGGAAGTGGGAAGCTAGAAACTGCGGCCGTTGAGTCTGGGTCTGATGTTCGAGCGCCGTCTCATCCAAACATCTCATCTCCCTGCTCCATCCTGTTCACAGCTCGGCTGTCCCTGGCTGTCCCTTGCTTCCATGCGTTTTCATTTCCGGGTTCTGCGCCGTGTGCGTGTCCCTACCGTGCCGACATGCCCCGGGAACGGAGATCACCAGTGGCCGCTGTTTGGGATTGTGTCACCAGAGATGGGGTTGGAGGATTCTGCCCCTTTTCTTTCTGTGCTTCGCAGCACTCTGTTTACTCTGTCCTCCCCTTAATGCCGCGAGGACACACGACTAAATGGCCGACTTACTTACACGATCGCGTCGCGTAGTAGCAGCTTGGCTTGTGCCACGTCAATTAAATGGAGAGCAGAAGTGCAGGCCGTAAAATACGGATAGCAGTTCGGGCGTCCTGTAGTGTACACAAGGTTTAGCTCATCGCTCGTCACCTCACACCATCCCCCCCAGCCCGCAAGACCCCGCTTCTTTAAGTACTCGCACACAGTAACACCCAGCCAAAAGCCCCCCAACGCCATACTGTGGTTGATAGTAGCCTTGAATCCCAGGATCCGCGGGCTGCAGCGGTGAATCCATGCTCCGTTGCCATTCACCACGCCCAGCTGTCCCGGCTCACATCATCAAACTCAGGCTCAGTCTCTGATTCTATGGACAACCACAAAGCCAAGAATGCCGACTAGACAGGACAGCACAGTCCAGGCCAGCTCTCGTGTTGTCGTGCAGACCGTGCAGCCGTTGTTCCTGATCTGGCCAATTAATACGGCATGCCTTCCCTCCCGTCCTCTCATCGTCCAGTGCTGGGCTCTCACAAATAGCCTTTTCCAGAGGCTAGTGCATCTCACCAGCATCTATTGGCGTACAAACAGCCAACAGCACCCCTTGCTCTGCTCACACTATTGCGTTTTATTTTCTTTGCGTATCTGCACCATGGCTGCACAGGTGAGACAACACAATGCATGGACGAGACAACACAATGCAAAGGGCTTACCGTCGTCATGGTTCATGGTTATGGATGGCCATACAATCACATTGCCATGATCATGTACTTTTGCTCTTCTGGGGAACCTAGATCTAGCATGTCGCTGACTGCCCCGCGCATATGTTAGCTGTCGGTTGCGTGCGCGATGGTGTGCTTTCGGACTGCTACGCTGGAAGGCTACCAGCCATAGGAGCCTGTTGGAGCCCATAGAAGCCTGGCTGGCCTCCGGGAGGGATGTGCTATAGCAGCAGCTCATAGGATAATGCGCAAGCCTCGCCGGCGTTTTTATTTTCTGACTATTTTGTTGGTTTTCCTTTTCTCTCCCAATCACTCGACGAGGCCAGCTCCAGCCGCACCGCAAAATAACGGTGGTATCACATCCGTATTGGGACATCCTTGAATTGGTATTCTGCGTCCCAGCTGTCACCAGAAGCGCCTTCAACTGTCCAGAAGCGAGCAGTAATTTGTGGGCAGCTGGCTGTGGCCATCGGGCCTCGACGATTCACTTTCGAGTCAATTCGATGCCGACCGTCAAGCTAACGAGCCAACGGGGCACTTTTCGTATATTACCCGTGGCTCAACAAAAAAAAATATAGTGCACAACCGGAACATGGCTCATTGTCAATTGACCCATTAAGGCTGCGGCTACGCGCGCTAAAAGCCCGGAGATGTCAGGCATTTTTAACAGCGTTACGCCCTCTCAGGCCCTCAGCCTCGGGCTGCGGCCCTGCGGGGGATCAGACTAGTGGATATATAGCTTAGTGCGATTTTTCATTTCCACCGAAACCGTCGTAAGGCACAGACCGCCCTGCGGGGACCTTGGCCGACCTTGTCCTTTTGTCTTCTTGCCCGCAAAGGACGAGGGTCAGGGGCCAGGGGTTAATACGGGCTGGTAAGCAGCCAAGTATCCATGTGTCCAAGTCCATTTGGATGTGGCTGACTGCAATGGGACATTACTGGTGCTCGAAATCCCTGTCCCCTGCTGTCCCGGCCATCCCCTGTCGTTCCAGCGCCATGTTCTGTTTTTTTTTTTCTGCGTGAGAACATCGTGCCCATCGTCACCACAGCAGCTGCCAGACTCCCGGACTAGGGTCACGGAGCAATTCAAGGTACCTCTTCGTGGTGGTTACTTGTCCATTAACAGCGCATTGCATGAGTTGGAGACTCTGTGATGCTCCAGATTGTACCGTTTACTTTCAGCTACCCACCGTCCTGTTTTACATCCGCAGCATTAAGTCGCATCGTCGCTTGCATCTTGTCCGCTCTTCCACTTGTTGCTCAGCTGCCTTTCCCACGTCGAGGAGCGCTGGGTGAGACCTTGTTTGCAAGGCTCTGTTGATTTCACGCCTCATTCCTCGTGGTAGACCCCTGTCTGCCGCCGTCATGGACTCCTTTCTTAATTTTTCTCACAAGCCACCATCGCGGTTCTCTCCACAATACTCTTCCATGACCGACGTTGCGTGGCAGCAGACAGACGATCTGCCTTACTCGTCCAGCAGCAGCTTCTACACCGCGCCTGAGCTGGACTATTCACACGAGGTACCTACCGTTGTTCCCAATTACAACCTTTGGGCACTTCACAGGCAGCGCCTAGAATGCCCTCGCCTTGAGTATTGTATTGTGTCCTGTTCTGACATTGCTGGGTGTCCCTCCCAACAGCCACAGTATCTCGAGCTACCTCCTCCTCTGCAACAATTTCCCCAACGCAGTAGTTCCCTCTCCCAGTATCAACGCCAGCATCAGCACCAGCATTATCACCAATATCATCATCCGTATCAGAACCAATATCAAGACCAGTATCAGCATAACCAGTACACTATGGCGACCGTTGCCGCTCAGCGGCCCCCTCTCCATGTCACGATCCCAACTACTCCCCTTGAAGGGGGTCAAACCCGAGCACAGAATGATCAACGCGATGGACAGGACAGTGATCCTACGACTCCGACACAAAAACAGAAAGTGAAATTCCTGGAGGACGACGACGACTCAGACTCCAAGTCAGACCAGAGCTCGATCTGCCAGTCCCCAAGTTGGGAAGGGTACGGGAAGAAGAAGAAGGATAAGAAGAAGGAGAAGAAGCAAGTTGAGAAGGAGGTCAAGAAGAAGAGGAGCCCGGCGCGCCTCAGCAAGCTTCCCCCTCCCACGACGCCGAATGGCAGCCGACCCTCCGGCCTTACGAACGCCGACCGGTCCAAGTCTGACACAGTCCTGTCCCAGAACTGGCAGCAAGGCACTCTCCGTCCTGGCCCCAGGCTTGAGGACATTGGTCGGGCCGTCTCGACCGATGACTTTGACCAGGGCGAAAATCACTGGACCGGTGCTGCCGGCGACCAGGCCTCGAGCGGTATCCAGCCTCGGAACGTACCCCGGCCCCCGCGCGATGCTTACCCGCCTGCTGGGTCCAGGACGCCCCAGGCCAACAGCAGGAGTCAACAAGGTTCTCCTGACCGCAATCGCTCGCAGGAATCACTGGCTGGAGATGGGTACGTCCTCCAGCACCGGGCGCAGGCTACAGCACGCGCCCTGGCCAACGTGGCCGACGAGCAGCTCATGCACGCCATCGAGAACTATGCGCCCAGTATTCACGAGCTCAACCAATCGTCACGGCGGACGTCGCTCGCGGTAGACCCCAAGGCCGCTGCGCTGTGGCTTGTGGGTAAGAGGCCGAGGTCGAGGACAAGACAAGACGAGATCGCTGTAGGGGACAATGATATACTGTCGTTCAAGGCAGTGCCGTACAGCCAGTCCAGCGCCAGCATGCCTCCTCCGAAGTTTGTCGACACCGTCCCGAACAAGGGGAAGCTGAGCCCGGAGGAGATTGCCGATCTGCTGGCCAAAGCGAAGGTGAAGGACGAAAAGAGGGCTGCGTCCCGTCGCGCGAGCCAATCTCCGCGCCAGTCGCCGACTCAACGGCCTCAGGACGTTGCTCCTGTAAGTTGCCCTCGTTCAGATACAGTCTTGACATCTTATATGCCTGCGTTGGTGCTAACGTCAGCCAGAACGCCACAACCACAACCACCACCACAACCACCACCACCGCAACCAAAACCACTGCCGCAGCTTCGCCATCTTCTGCTCCTGCCAAGTCCAATGAAACGAGCCAGCAATCAGAGAACTCGTCCTCATCGTCTGTGCTTGGCGACGTCTCGCCTCTTCCGTCCAGGACTTCTACTCCGGACACTTCACGGCCGCAGTCGGCTAAGGATGTGCCGATTTTTGGCGAGCAGGCGCAAGATAAGACAGAAAAGAAGGGCAATGGCCAGTCTTCCGAGCAAAGACGTAGGCAAGGCTCCGACTCAGACGGGTCAAGAAGCTCGTATCCAATCGATCTGGACGCCTACACCTACGTCACTCCTTTGGTCTTGAACAACGAAAAGGAAGCCCAGGCCTCTCAAGCCGTGGCCGGAGCGGCCTCTACTTCCGCTCCTAAGCCAGAGTCTCAGGCTCCCGAGCAGCAGCAGCAACAGCAGCAACAATCCGAAGCAGCCCGGAAACCTGGCTCGTCATCAGAAACCCCCGACCCTGAACGTCCCAAATCCCGCTCCCAGTCCCTCCCGCGCAAGGGCAAAGCCCGCGCAGCCCCTGCTCCCCTCCATCTCGACGGCAACAACAGTGACTCCCAACAACTCCCTCTCAAGCCTGCCCTCAAATCCCCGCGCCGCATCCCCGGCTCCCCTCTCTCCTCTGCCGCCCCCTCCACCCGCGCCTCATCTCCCGCCCGCAGCCCCCTCCGCTCCGAGTTCTCTGTACCCCCGCCCCCGCCCCCGCCGATGCCTCACAGCCCCGGTCTGCCCCCGGCAGACATGGCGAGCCTTCAGCCCCCCTCGTTCCCCGGCTCCCGACCGACATCGAGCCATGCTTCCGGAGCATCGACGCCGTCGCAAAGAACGTCGAATGCCAGTGGTCCTGTATCGATTCTCAAGAACGGAAACAGCAATGGAAAAGCTCCTGCAGCGCCGTCCGACGCTCTGGCGCGCACGTCCGGCCTGCCGCGACACCTGCAGCGGCCCGGCACCGCTACCCCATCATCCTCCACGTCGGGTAGCAACCCGGGGATGATGATGAGTATGCCACCCGCGATGCCGGTCGGCAAGATGTTCGTGGAGTGCTGCAACTGCCATTTCTACCACGACATGCCGGCCAAGATTTATGAATGCATGGCGAGACCGGACGCGGTGGTGGTGGCAGACGAGGAAAGCGGATTGAGCGGGCAGGTGACGACGATGGTGAGGTGTCCTTGGTGCGGGCATCCGATGAGTAGAGGGTGCTGTGCGGGGTATGTGGCGGTTGTTTATATCAAGGAGAGATTGCATTGATGGGAACTGTGAGAGTTCTGTTAGTGTTGAAAGGAGGCGATTTACGTTCTTTTCGATGGACGGTTGATTTCCTTTGTTTCTGGGAGGTGCAGCTTTGCTTTTCTCTTTTTTTTTTTTTTTGGCTTCTGGGTGAGAGAGACGTTTACGTTGAGACGTCAAGTTGCATTCCGTGATATTTCTTGGGATCTTGTTTCATGCTGCTACCCGTCTCACCAACTTTCCGGCATCGATTACGATTTCCTTATTTTTTTCCTCTACTGTTGCCGCAACCTAACAAACGCCTGGTAATGGAATGCTTGAGCGGAGGATTGGATATAAGCGGCAACACACACAATAAGATAGAAGACATCCCAGGTATTCAGCCAACAGACTCCGTACCTATCTCTACGTAATCGAAGCTCTCTTTTGTTGCTGGACAATTCAACATTGGACGAGCGTACATTTAACGCATGTACAAAAGTGGACTTTAGCTTGTTTCTTGCTCTTTGTATATACCCGACTTCTATTTGGTGGAAAATTTTTAGGTTGAAGCCCTCAATGACATTTGAGTTCAAATTCGTTTTTTTTAAACAAAAAAGGTTGGAGTTTGGACATTGTTTCCTTGTGCGTTAAAAGACAAGATTTCAGCCCAAGCTTCCAAGCCAAACAAACTGTTCGCACCTAGGGTAGTCAATTGCAACGGTTACGGCTGGATTCTTGTTCATCTCTCCTACCTCAAGTTCTATGGCAGTTAGATTCAGCTTAATTAGATTGAAGTCATTTTACTTGTTGCTCGATTAAGCAGGTTCGCCTTTTCAGTCTCCTGTGGAGAGACAAGCGTGGTTTTTGACTACAGAACTGGCCCATTGTGCCCTTGTCCTCAATATCTGCTCACACCGTAGCTCTCTGATATGTAATGCCATTGCTGGCAAGGAGACCAATTACTGGAGAACTTCTGCTCTCTTCAGAGAGGACATATCAGTTCTTCATGTCTTAGCCGGCAGGCCAACCCCCACTCCTCAATTCCTTGTGTGTTCCATCCCTCCGATGTCCTCATGTTGAACACGGATCGAACGAGACGCTTGATGCCTGATACACCGGTTGAATACCCCACGACAGACCGGCAACCGTGCTCAGCATCCAACTATTGCTCATGAGCCAACCTCTAACAACCTCTCTTGAGTTTCCCCGTCTGTGTGACGGCTGATCCCGAGCAATCTACACATATAGACTCCTCGGAATTCGGCTCGCGGACAATCTCGGATACTACCGACTCCCGTCTTGAGAAAATGGTCTTGGCTAGCAGCGACGCATGTAATTGGAGAGGGAAGAAGGATTGCGTCGTCTGAGTGGTGCGGGCAAAAATTAAAATGAGAGGGATGAAGTGACTGAAATGATGTTGATGTAACTTTCGTAAGGCTATACCCACCATCAGGAATCTTCGTAAGAAACCTTCTTGGCAACTGCACAGATCACCGACACCCGCACCGACTTCCGAGCCCAGTTTGATGCTTATCGAATGGACCCGCTTATCTCCACCAGCACGTGGCTCTCACGTGATTTTCCCGCATCTGATAAACTTGCACCCCCACACAAGACGGCCAACAAACAAGGGCAGTGACAACAAATGGCAAGCTCGGGCCGGCGCCGGTACTGAGCCCCACATTTTCTGTGTTCCTTTATCGCGGGCGGGGACGAGCGAGTGGCCAGTCGTTATCGAGAATCTTCTTCCATGACGATGCTAACACCGAGGAATCGGAGGGGACACAATTGAGACGAGAGACATTAGAGAAGGCCAAGCTTTTGACCTTCTGAGCTTTTATTACAACGGTGACGGCAGCAGCAGCAGCACGACATCGCGACATTGAGCGAGCGGGCTGACTCGGCGAGGGTCGAGACATCGACATCTGGTTTTTGTCAGAACATTTAATATCCTCCTCGGCGATTTGCCGCTGACGCCGAGCTCGTGACTTAGACACATCCACCGTTCGTCATTGGCAGGTGTTGGCGGCTCTTTTTTTTTTTTGAAGCGATACAAAGACTTCGCCATCGGGACACCCCCATTTTTTTCTACCTTCAACTCCATCTCAGCGACTCCTGCTCTTTAACTTCAACGGCGTCGACGCTTCCAGCTCCACACGCATGTGTGGACTGGACTGCGAGACGAGAACGTAGGATTGCCCAATCTCTGGCGAATCTTTGCGCAGGAATTGAGTCACCGTGCTTCGACGAGTTCTCCCGAAACCTGCCTAGTTAACCTCATATAGCCCTGATATCTAGGTAGAAAGCCGACCAGAGCACGCCAGAGTAGCTCAGCGCGCGCAGATGGCCTCATTTCCCTCCACGGGTGCGCACTCGTCCCCCGCCGATGGTCAGAACCATGACCGATTAATCGCCGAGATGCACAACCACCACGACCATCATCATCACCATCCCCACAATAACCTCCACGATAGCCACAACCCGCTAGCCTCTGCGATGGCTGATTCGGGCGAGATCACGGCGGTGCAAAAGATGCTCTCGGCCACGTCGGGCAGCCTGCTGACCGCGCTGCTGGCCACGCCGTTGGACGTCGTACGCGTGCGCCTGCAAGCACAGCGCATCTCGAAGCCGACCGCTACCCGCGCTCCCATTGACTGGACGCGCCTCGCAATCCCTTACCCAGCCAACTTCCGCCCTGCCGACCTCGGCGTTACTGCTTGCTGCCGCGAGGTGTTTTTCAGCGCTAACACCGCTGAGGTATGCATCCTGGGCCCGCACGTGTCTGTTGCTGGTGCTCCTTCGTCTTTTACGCCTACAACTTCCTCATCTACGGCAGCTGCCATCTCTTGCGCCGTCGAAGAGACCCAGCAGCGTACTTTCAACTCGACCATTGATGGCCTGCGCAAGATCGCCCGCCACGAGGGCATCACGACCCTCTGGCGTGGCCTCTCACCGACCCTGATCATGGCGATTCCCGCGAACATCATCTATTTCACCGGCTACGACTGGCTGCGCTACAATCCTTCGTCGCCCTTCCGTCGCATTCCCCTTGTCACCGATGAGTACGTGCCACTCGTGGCTGGCTCCGTCGCCCGCGTGCTCGCCGCTACCGCTGTTTCTCCCATCGAGTTGTTCCGTACTCGCTTGCAGGCTGCACACGGCCAGTCACATCCTCTGAGGGAGACGTTCCGCGGTGTCAAGCAGATGGTTGAGGCACATGGTTATCGCGCGCTCTGGAGGGGCTTGACACTCACCCTGTGGCGGGACGTTCCGTTCTCGGGGATTTACTGGTACGGATATGAGACGATCCGCGGCCGGTTGAGGGAGTGGAGGGAAGAAAGAAAGGCAGCAGCTGTTGGCTTCCCGCACCATCATCACCAGCACCATCTTCGCCACGTAGAATTCGCCGGTACCAACGACATGGAACGCGGCCGGACAATGGATAGGATCTCCGCGACACTCCGCACGCGCTCCCAGTCTCGCGAGAACCACCGCGAGACCTTCACCGACAGCTTCATCGCCGGCGCCATGTCGGGCGGTTTCGCTAGCGTTGTCACCATGCCCTTCGACGTGGGCAAGACCCGTACACAAGTCTTTCGCGACGCCAAGTCATCCTCCGCTGGCGCTGCTGCGGCTGCAAACGCTAAAGCAGCTGTCGCCCCCGAGGAGACAAACATGGTGCGTCTGCTGTGGCATATTTTCCGTGCTGAGGGCATCTCTGGCCTCTTCCGTGGCTGGATTCCGCGCACCCTGCGTGTGGCGCCGTCTTGTGCAGTCATGATAAGTAGTTATGAGGTGGGGAAGAGGGTGTTTAAGGGAGTGAATGAGCGGCACGCGAGGGAGCGAGGGCAGGTGCAGAGAGAGATGGAGAGGGAGCCTTAAGTCTGCCCTGATAAGGGTTAGACTCCAAAGGATTGTTTTTAAAGGAGTTGGACTGGTTCGGCGTTCGGTTACTGGCAATGGTTTGACAAGGATAGGCTATGCTCCCCTCTCCTCTCTCTGTTACGTCGCATGGTCTTTCATCTTTCTCTCTCATCGCGTTTGGCTGTCAAGAAAAAGCAGGCTCGAGTTTAAAGTAATTGTTTCGATTTCTGTAAACCTTCTCACATAACACAGAAGGGGATAAGAAAGCGATCTACAGGATCATCGCAAGCAGGAGGATAAGGGCGAAGATACCTTCCCTCATTACTTCTGATTTGGGAGGCCGGTTTTTTTTTTCCTTTCAATCTTTGTATGAGCGTTGTACGGAATTTCGGCGTTGAGGTTTCGGACAAGGACAGGACAAGGACAAAGGCACAGCAACAAGAAATCCACCTCCCAATTCCAGAAGGTCGGACGGATGAATGGATGAATTTTAAACCGGGGAAGCTCGGTGACTTGGTGGATGAAATGTACATCGTGTCATTATGTGTTGTATGTAAAAAGCGTGTTCAATACTCATTGTCAATACTCATCGGCATCAGAAGGACCATCAACATGACATCAGCATCGTGAAGCATGTTGAGGTGAAAAGGAGAAAGAGATTAGAGGGGATGGGAAGGGAATGGGGAGCGGATGGCCATGTAGGTCGCTATCTGCAGAGAAGGCACAGCAACAAAGGAGAGTTTATGTAGACCTAACCGTGGGCTTTTGGTTAGATGAGCAATGCAACGATTCCAATAAACAGCATGGATCCCACATACGGGCGGTCTTGGATTTGGGCGGAGAGCTCGAGTAGCCCTACAAATGCACTGGAGATATCATTGGCCTAGGTAAAATTGGCTGGCACGAATGGTCACCAATTTCACACTTGGCTCTCTCCATATGGACTATTTACGTAGTTCAGTTGGACATTTTTCACCAGAAACTAAAACTACTAGCGAAGAAACGAGTTGAATTCCATCGCTGCTGCTGGTTTATATACCTCAAACGCTGGGGGGTATCAAAGACTGCCATCCCAATCTCACATAACCTGAAATCCTTTCCAAACCGAAGAGACCGAAAAACCGAAACACGCTCCTCCCATTTCATCCCAACATACCCCTGACTACTCAAAACGAGGCCTTTTCGATGGCGGCTTCAACATCACGGCGTTATCTTGATGGTGCTTGAGGGTCGGCTGCCCGTTCGGACTGGGGACAGCCGACGCCGGGGAGGGGGGTGGTGGCGAGGGAAACACGGATGTTGATTGGCTTGGACGTAGGCTACTGCCATCGCCTGCGGCAGACGAAGTTGAAGGGCGCTGTGCGGAGGGGATAGCGGCGGGTGGTGAGGCAGCCACCGTCTTGCGGACGACGGTGCTTCCGCAGGCGCCGGCGCCGGACGAGGCAGACGGGCGCTTGCGCCGGAACTTGGCGGCCAGTAGGCCCGTGGGCTGGTACTTGGCTGCCGTTGCCCCAGCCGACTTTTTGGGCCGCCCGTTCTGGAGGCTCGAAGCCGGGGGACAAGACGGTATGATGGCTGCCGGGGCGGCAGCTGACGAGGTTCCCGAACGGGATGCGCCCTCTTTGGCTGGCAGGCTCGTGGGCTTCGAGAGAGAATGGCTGTTCACGAACTTGTCGCCGAACAGGTCATCCTCGTCGTCCCCATCGTCGGAGAAGAGGCTGCCGCCACCAGCCTTACCTGCCTCATCATCTTCGTCGTCGCTAAAGATGCAGATGGTGATCGCCCCGTTGTTGGCTTGTGGCTTTTGACTCATCCGGGAGTTGGGCTTCCCAGACAGCGTCCTAGGGGCGATAATTTTTTGAGGCTTGGAAGAGTCTGCAGAGACCGGCGGCTCGGCATAATAGGTCTTCCTTATCTGTTGGTTAATCATGCTGATCGGGGCACTGTTCAACCTGGTGGGAGGAATGTCAGGCCTCTTGACACGGAAGATTCTGGCCTCTTTCTTAGCCGCCTTCCTGATCTCTTCCAAGACGGACTTCTTCTTTTTCTCGCCATCTTTGTCGAAAGATCTGCGGCGTCTGGAAGCCATTCTAAGAGCCTCCTCACCGGAGATGATCGGAGTGGTTGATTTTTGCTCCTGTTTGTGATGGGCAGCTAGTTGCTCCTCTAGTCGCTTGGTGGCGTTTTGGATTTGTTCGTCCTGGATGCCCTTGTACTTGATGTAGACTTTGTGCCAAGATTTTGGGTTCTTTGGAACAAATTTGTGCTTCTCTTGTAGGAGGCGGAAGTCCTGGCGAATGAGTCGCTGCCAGTGTTCAGTTGTATCCAGATGAGGGCTATTGAGTTCGATTTCTCTGAGGCGAGCAGCGGATTTGACGTGTCGAAGGAGTTGTTGACTGTACTGTTCCGGAAGATCACCCATGTCATCTATGAGGTGAATGTTGTCTATGGCTACACTGAGCGCCATTTCCAGGAGAGAGCGAGGACCCCCTTTTATATCCATTTTGAAAGGCTGATTTGGAAGCCCAAACAAACACGTGAACTCTGTCCAGCAACTTGTGATGGATGATTTCTCGGGCGATTTGTAGTTTTTGATGGGATGAATCAATTCACATGCAGTTGTTTTTTTTTCCCTGCTGGTGCGATATAGCTGGGAGATGGTAAGCGTTTCACTCTTTGTGCAGAAGATTTGCACGTGCAGTCATGTGAAGTGTCTGATCTGGCGAATATTGTAGGTTTAAAAAACTAGCGCACGGCTGAGTTGGGAAGCAACTTGGTATGTGTCAGTGCTGCTATTTCTTGATTCAATCCAACCTTGGATCAATGGGTAATGTAAGGGAGGTGCTGAGAGCTCACTTCACCAACCGTCAAGTGTGAGGAACAATAGTAGATGAGGTGTTGGCCGCATCAATCACTGTACAGATTACTTGTAGGCTGTTTACCCAGCAGAAATTGGCGTGGAAGATATTGTTTGAGTGTTAGGGGGCATCGAACTCATCGTATGCCAAGCAGCTGCACCTCGATGATAGGAGGTTGAATCGATGTCAAGGGCTCTCACTGATGATAAAGAGGAAAGTCATCGCCATGATGTTTAAATCTGTAATGATGCTTGGCTCCACAATGCCACAACGACTGGGGAGTAGACCCACTTTTTACTATCTTCGCTCCAGATCATGGTCAGGTAACAATCATCATTTGTTCAAGGGTTAGGGTAATCAAAGAAAGCACGGTCCGTGTTTTGCAATGCTCCTTCAGCCCACAAAACAGATAGAGAACCACAGCAGGTAGATAGGGGTAAAAACGCAAAACATGTGTTTTCAGTGATGCACTTTGCATTTTTTTTGCCATTTGCATGTTTTGCAGATCCACTTCGAAACTTCATTGGGAACTATTGGAAGGTTACCCAGGGGGTTCGGACCAAACCCGGTCTTTGCTAGCTTACCAGGTGGTTGGCCTCTGCGCGGCGGTCAGTTATAGAATTATCCCCTCTGATGGGTTGAACAATGGGGGAGGTGTACATATAGTGCCCTTTCTTTGACTTTTTTCTCAGTTGTTAGGACATTGACTTGTGTTTAACTAGAAAACTTGGCTTTTGCACTAACAGAAAGATAGCAATTTTGGCAAGTTTTTACAAAAGAATTGTTAAGTCTAACCTTGCTTTGTCCTAAATTCATTGGTCCAGATCCATATGCGCTCGCTAAAGACAGAAATCCTCTAGATGCATCTAAGCATAAGTTACTTACGCATGACATTGCACATGACTTTTATGAGAAAATCCACCTCTTAAGTTTTACTTGGGCCATATACCCTAGGATAACCCAAGCACTCTAGGGATTTGGGAGGTGGTGAACATTTGGAATTTCTATTCCTGTCTGTGACCCTGATCATGTAGGTACAAGATTTCCATCTTTGGCGATTACATATGGTATGAAGTTTGAACTACCTGTCAGCAGAGAGCTAAGGTGTAGTGTAATCCCATTGCTTCCCACAAGGCTTACGGGCATTGGCCTCATGTTTTTCATGACCTTAGTCAATTTACAGTTGTGATCATCTTCTCTACTCAAAAAGTCTAGATATAGATCAAACTATATACGGCTAAAGCATGAACGTGGAATTGCCTGGCTGCTAGAAACTTCACACTCATCAGAATGGCGATGAGCATAGTTTAACAAACATTAAGTTGGACTTGACCCATCGTTACGCCTCTCCTTCTTCCCTAGCCGAGGTGTTGCTCCTCGGGTGTCTTTTGCTTACCTGTTTGAACCTCGGCACACCAGTTTTATAGCGTGGTGTTGTCTATGAAAAGCATAGTTATCCGTTGTTCCCTTTAACAACAGCCTTGGAGTTCAAACACTTGCCCAAGCCAGCCAGCTCTTTTCCACCCTCATTGTGCCCACTTACTTCTTTCCTGATCTCCTATGCATACTGCTAACTCATATTCAAAAGCCTGTTAACCATGTGATAGATGCCAAAGCCCTGACTTTTGGTTGGTTACTTGGCTAAATCGATTACTGTGATAATCGGTGCTTTCTTACTCTACTTGACCGCTGCAGGTGACTTAGCCGTCAACTCAAGGATTGTGTTTTTCACTAGACAACGTTTGGCTCTAGGCAACCATTGGCGGCCAGCCTTTGCTACGTTACAACCTTTGTCTTCTAGTTCCTAGCCCCCTGCGTATTAGGCAACGGTTTGTAATGCTGTATGTGAATCCCATTATGATAGTACTTTACTGTTGTTTTATTTCTTCCTGACTTGAATCTAACTTGTATCCTCTTCAACGCACCTTATCATGTTTCTCACAGTTTTTAGACATGATGACCGCAGAATCAAATCTTGAAAAGTGGTTTCGTAAACAATGTGTAAATGCGAGAAATGGCAACAGCTTGGTAACGTTGGCTTTGCTCAATTTAGGTATTGAGAGAGCCCAAGAGATTCAAAACCATTCCATGCACCCGAAACATAGTGCCACGTCTCCCTTGAGCCAGTACTCTGGGCTGTATGGTCCAGGTGCCAGTTATGTCAAATATCTGACATATTTTAGCGCCTTTGTAGGCAAATAATCTCAGCAGACTTTGAACAGTGTTTTTGATCCTTCTGTGGAAAAAAATGTGGTTAGAAGGCAATCGTTACATCTGGCGTGAAGTCTGAGAATAACTCACCACCTTAGTTAGTGTGTTCTTTAAAACTCCTTTACCTGGGTACCTGTTCATTCCCATTCTTCGCGCACCAAACAGCTCGATATCAACCTGTCAATTTCAGATGCCGGAATAGTCGGACAGAAGTTAGCTTGCAGGATAATTTGCAGGATAATCGCTGTTCTCTATGCCAAATTTTGGTAAAATATTGTTCATGGGTTCGGTCGGTTCGTATCGAAACACTAGACATTGACTTCGTTTACCTAGATGTTATAGGGGGAAAAAAATGACAAGTATTTTCAATTATATTGACATCGCAGACTCCTGTCAAGCAACGGAGTAGTTCGTTTTCTTTGTTCAGGCTGACTTCGTACTCCAACTGAAGCTTCCTCCCGCTCTTCGCCTGAGTTAGGTCAACTTACCGGCAGCAAGCTCACTCTTCTGGCATTACTAAGTGCCTAATCTAACTTGAGTGAAGATTGAGCGTAGCAATCTTGGCATGTCCTGCTGTACTCCGAATGGTAGCCTGTCTTGCCTATTCGAGATATTCCCCAAACTTCCCCGCATGTTAGCAACCTCGGCTGCTTCCCATGTGAGGAGAACTCCCCGCTCGCCGAGACCCTTCCTCATGTAATACAGCGGGAAAGTAGACATAAGATTTCCTGAAATCTAACACTGTTCTTGAAAAGGAGTGCCCCTTTATTGTTTTCTTAAAAACTCTCAGAGCCAGCGCGTTAACGCAATATCGCTTGATTCAACTCGACAGATCACCCAACAACCAGAATTACGACCGTATCCCTTGCCAGTAATCGCCATGCCTATGCATAATGCTTTCCTCCCTCGAGAGGGCTTCAAGGCGGACGCTGTCCTCAAAATCATTCGCAACACTGCCCTCAATCCAAAGCTCCTCTTGCCACTCCTGCTATTGGTGAAGTATACCAAGAAGGGCCAGGACTGGGCCGTCTTACATCCAAAGGCTTATTCACGCCTCAAGAAGCTTCTGGTCTTTAGCCTCATCCGCTGTATCAACAGATACTTCTCCCGGGGTGTTTTGAACAATTGGGTTGATGACAAGTATGACTGGTCAAAGGAGATCGTGGTTATTACTGGCGGCGCAGGTGGCATTGGCGGCCAAGTTGTCCAACTCTTGGCTGAAAGGGGCATCAAAGTGGTGGTTTTGGACATCCAGCCCCTTACCTACCCAGCAGGTATAAAATGGAGGACCACAAGAGAAATCCAACACATCTCCTTTCTTGCTACTGACAAAATGTTTTGACCAGGTCCCACTGTTTATTATTTCAAATGTGACATCACGTCCCCCAAGACTCTTGCGGCTGTTGCAGGAGAGATTCGTGCTACCGTGGGTGAGCCAACTATTCTTGTCAATAACGCTGGTGTCGTTCAGGGGCGCACCATCCTTGACGCCAGCGAGCGTGATATTCGATTCACCTTCGACGTCAACACGTTTGCTCGTAAGTCGATGGAGGATTTTCGATCGTTTCAATATGTGCTAACTGGAGAATTGGATTGAGATTATTGGACGGTAAAGGAGTTCCTCCCGTCCATGATCCGCAACAACCACGGCATGGTCGTGACAGTGGCCTCAGTAGCCGCCTGGGTAACCGTCCCAAATATGGTCGACTACGCGGCGTCAAAGGCAGCAGCGCATGCCTTTCATGATGGTCTAACCGCTGAGCTCAAGACGCGGTACAACGCGCCGAAGGTGCGCACCGTCCTGGTCAATCAGGGTTACACGACCACCCCTCTCTTCAAGGGCTACTACAACGACAGTCCATTCCTAATGCCTGCTCTGCACCCGGAGACTGTTGCCGAGGCGATTGTCATGCAGATCTTGAAAGGAGAGAGCAATCAGCTGGTCCTTCCAGCATTTGCCAATACGCTTTCGATGCTGGCTGCTTTACCGCACTGGTATCAGGTCCGTCTGCGTGAAAAAAATCACCGGATTATGGCTCAGTTTGCCGGGCGGAAGGTTGTCCAAGATTTGGACAAGTTCTATGAGGAAAGGGAGAAGGTAGAGGCGGCTGGCGATTTTGGCGCGAGCACTGTCTTAGTGACAAAGTGATTGCTGGTATCTAACTTTGGTGGATCTGCATGGGAACAGTTGATGTGCCGGGTGACATGAGTTTTGATCATTTTTAAGGTTCAAGTATGGTATTACCCCACTTTCTTCAGCGTGGCCCGGCGAACCAACAGATCTTTAGGAGTTAATATGTTGTTTTTCCAGTGCGTGGGATGCAACCGTTTGAGCATTGGATGGTGAGAATATTTTTCTCTAATATCGCCCATAAAATTGAGGTTGACTTGTATGTGGAAACTGTCCCTTATAAAGTCGATTTAAAGTTGAGGACAACTTTCATGTGTCTCAAACAGCCGATTGCTTCAAACTGACGATGCGAAGATCTCGCATTACGGAAAACAAGATTCAGGATTCTGTCACACTAAACTCCCACTTTAATTTGGTCGCGAAAAGTGGCTCTAAGTGTAATATATGGTAAGCCTCATAACTGAAACAACTCTTGATACCTTAGGTACTTTAGTGGTTCTCAGTTTATAGATACCAAGACGGGAATGCACTAATGGTCGATATCGTGGACGTCGACGCTCCGGGGTCGTCTTCTCCCGTTAACCTCCCTGCGCCAAGATTATCCTCGTGTAAGATCAAGATCTCAGAAGTGGCATATGCAAGGGCCGAGCCAAGAGGTTTCGAGGTTGACTTGAAACGCAAAGTAGTCGACAATGCTGATAAATTGACTCTGTTGCTACGAGCGAGATTTTTGAACAGAGAATCAGAAGTCGTTAAAGAAGAATAACAAAACTCTGCAGTGTGAATGCCCCGGGAGTCCAGCTGATTAAGCAGAAGCTCAACCCTGCAGGTGTGAACTCAACTTGGGAGTCTTTACGTTCAATCAAGTAGTCCACACTATAACGAGCCAACCCTGGGCTCTAAAGAGGGTTATGTATCATAGCCTAACCATGACTTCAATCCTGATTCTAAGACTGATACGGCTCGTAGAGCTTGTTGCCTTTGCTCAGCTCAAAAATGGTATTGATATTGAGCCTCTTGTTCAACTGGGACTGGGCTTCCAGAGTCAGATTGAGTCATTCGTGTTAGAACTTTAAGCTCAAAGAAACTCGAGAATCCCAGTCCTGGCAATTGCTTCCAAAGACCCAGCAAACTAAGTGGGCTGTTTGGCTGTTTCACCTGGCAGTGAAACTCGACCCAGAGGTCTCAATATCGAGCCATTTCACGGAAGCCACATCGATAGTGAGGCCATGATCTGGCCAGAACGAGTCAGCATAGGGCCATTGGCAGTCGTTTCGGTGCAATGAGTGCCAGATTAAGAGAAGCGCAGCTGCACGGCTGCCTCGGGTCTCACAAGGTGCATATGTCAGAAGCTGGGCCGATGATGGCGGGAAGAGCAAGACAACATGAAAGTAGAAGATAGCTGCGACAGCACGCTGGTATCAGAGACAAGAGCCTCATCAGCAGCACCGCTGCGTGTGTCGCCTTTGCAGGCCAAGGACAGCAAGGCGCGAAACACACACATACACAAGAAACACATAGTCGAGGGGAACATGTGTGCAGCGCCGTTTTTGCCGTTGCTCATTTGGGCTTCTCGAACGTCCACATGGAAGCCCACGAGACAAAGACCCCCAGGGCCAAGGGCCGGTACGCGGCAAGGAAAACCCACCAAAACCGCAGCCAAGAAGCCTTAAGGGGAGTGTTAAAAGAATGGTGGCGCCAGGGAGGCCCAAGCTCCCACAACCCGCTCGTCTGAGCACACGCTGCCGAAGGTCTGGCCTGGGTCTGCCTGGGTCTTACTGCCCGTTGGGCCAGCGTCGCGAGAGTGTCCCCAGCCAATGAGGGTTGTCCGATTGAAGAAGCATGTGGGCCGACGGCCAGATCAGGTCATGCCATCCATCAAATCAGCCCACCGGCTCTTAGGCGGGGCAGGGCAACATCGCATGTCCCAGCTCCGCTGGGGTGCGCTGCGTGCGGGTACCCGCTTTTTGCCTCTTCTTAGGAGGGGAGAGGGCGACCTCCATGCCAGCAGCCCCGATGAGCGTCCATTAGAGCCCATCGGAGCCCATCACAAAACTGAAGAGAGCTCGGCGACGACAAGGCGCCGACGCTGGTGTTGGCACAGCCGGACACTCTCAAAAACGAGGTCAACAATCAGCTGTGAGTGAGCAAGCAAACAAGGACAGCAAGCGGGCAATCAGCGAGCACCGAGCAGAGAGAGTATTCAGGTACCTATCTACCACAGTACGTACCTGGGTACCCAGTAAACCATCAGGAGCCAGGCTGGACTTGGTGGATGGATGTGGATGGATGTGCCGAACTGATGACGACGGCCACATCCATGGATCCGAAGCCGACTCCGCTATGTGATGTGTGAATCGAAGCGAATCTATCGTCGTTCTCACCATTCAGGTTGTCGTCCTCAAGTCATCTCCAAGTCCACATTCAACTTCATCCCCTAGCCTCGCCATTGTTTCGCTGTTGCTACTGTTGCGTTTCGCGGGGCATCCTGGTGTTTCGCATCTCAGCGCACGACGCCCTGCCTGCGCAATTGGGCTGGTCTGAGCTCGCTGAGATAACCACGTCCCCAGCAGTGCTAGCACTCCCCGAATTCCCAGTGGTCGCCGTTGGACAGCGCTGCTACCGAGAGGTACCCTGCAGATCCATCCCACCAAACCCGGCCCAGGCCCGTGCCCGTGCCCGTGCCCTGGGACAGGAAGTTTGACGACGCTCGATTCGCACATCCATTCTTTGCCTTCCTACGGCTCCAAGGCCAGCCAGCCAGCTTCACCTCCGTCTCCGTTCCAACCATTCGGTTCTTGTGCCTCCACACCGTCGGCCTCTCCCATCCCCGATCTCGACTTCAGAGATTGCTGCCACCACGGCCCTGAGTTACAACCTTGCTGCAGCCCCCCCCCCCGGCCTGGGCCTCCGTGTCTCCAACCCCACCACCGCGCTGCCGGGACTGTATCATTCCCACGCGCATCCCGATCCCCCTCGGCCCTCTGTCCAGTGTCGACTCGTCGAGGGCGTCTCCTCCAAGCTTTTTTTTTGCCTGCGCGGCCGCATAGTGACGGCCCTCCGCAACCGATCCCTTCCCTTAAGCGCTTCCACATAGTCAAGACAGCCAGCACCAGGAAGAAGAGAAAAATCGAACGGTTCCCGAAACTCTCATCGGACCACCCCGCCTGACCTTCTCCCCCTTTTACTTGCCCTCCTTTCGCCTCGCAGTTCGTCTACTGCCGCGGCTGCTGCTCCTTGCTCGCTCGCGCCGCAGCCTCAGGCCGAAAGGACCGCGGCACCAACCATGTCTCCTGCTGCCGTGGTCGAAAAGCCCGGGGAGGACCAACCGAACAACGAAGACAGAATGGATACCACCGAGTCCATCGACCGACTCACGCTCCTCCGGAGCATGCCCGAGCCCCCCCTGGAATGCCAGGTGTGCGTTGTCGGTGCCGGCCCCGCCGGCTTGATGCTGGCCTGCAACTTGGCCCGTTTCGGCATCAAAGTGGAAATTATTGATGACCGCGCTGACCAGACTCCTGTTGGAAGGCAAGTAGTTGCTGCTCCTTCCCCCCCCACCCTCTCTCTGTTTCGTTGTTTGCGCTGTTTGCTCTGTCCTGTTGTTGGGCGTCGCGGAGGACGGGGGATATGCCTGGAGAGGCGCTGTGGACGCGGGACGTTTAATGCTCTCTTCGCATGTTTAAACCACTCACGATGGTTCTGACTCTCGGTTTATGCGAATAGGGCCGACGGTCTGCAACCAAAAACGATTGAGACCTTCAGGCAGATGCGTCTGGCAGATCCCTTGCTACAGCGAGGTGTGCGGGTCTATGACATCTGCTTCTGGCGCAGCACGCCAGACGAGCCGCTCCATCGCCTGGGCCGTGAGGTCCACTACCCGCCAGTTATCGATGTGTTGGATCCCTACATCCTGCTCGTCCACCAGGGCATGGTGGAGAGCCTTTTCATCGAAGATTTGAGGAAACGCGGCTACGAAGTGCGCAGAAATACCGCCTTCGAGTCCTACAGCGTCTGCGATAGCAAGGGGGGCCCTCTCCAGGTCAACTGCCGCACAAACGTCACTCAGGACCGCAAGACCATCCTTACCCAGTACCTTGTTGGTTGTACGTGGCGCCCCTGGGAAATTTTAGCTGTTCATGGCGCACTGGAATGGAGAAACTGACCCTTCTCGCAGGTGATGGCGCCCACTCCAAGGTTAGGAGGAGCATCCCAGATGCAAAGCCCGTCGGCCTATCGCAACCCTCTGTGTGGGGTGTGCTGGACGGCGAGCTCATTACTGATTTCCCGGATATTTGGTCCAAAACTCTGGTGTATTCTCAAGAGCATGGTTCCATCTTGATCATTCCGCGTGAGCGAAACATGACGCGCTTCTACATCGAGCTGAAAAGCGGCCCCAAGGGGGACCGCAGCCAGCTTGGTCAAGAGTTCGTCATGCAACGCGCCAAGGAGATTATGGCGCCCTTCCGGGTTGACTGGAAGTATGTTGAGTGGTTTGGTCGCTACCAGATCGGCCAGCGCGTGGCGAGCCGCTTCTGCGACAACCATCTTCGCGCCTTTTTGGCCGGCGATGCCAGTCACACACACTCGCCCAAGGCCGCCCAGGGTATGAACACGTCGATGCATGACGCGTGGAATCTGGGCTGGAAACTGAACCTGGCCGTTCGCGGCCTTGCCAAGCCAGATCTGTTGAAAAGCTATGAGGAGGAGCGTAGGAAGATCGCCCTGGATCTGGTCAACTTTGACTATGAGCACGCCAATCAGATCGCCGGTGGCGATGCTGTTGCTCTTGCTGAAAATTTCAAAACAAATGTGCGCTTCATCTCGGGTATCGGCGCTGATTACCCCGAAAATTGCCTGAATATGATGGAATCGCAATCGTGGGTGATGGGCGAGGCGAAGCCGGGTTGCCTGCTTCCCCCGGCGAAGGTGACTCGCTACATTGACTCGAACCCAGTGGACATCCAGCTCGATATTCCGATGCTGGGCCAGTTCCGCATCTATTTGCTCATGTGGGATGTGCACCAGTCGCGCATCTGGCTCGAGACTTTCTGCCAGGCTATCGCATCTAAGGAGTCCTACATCAGCAAGCTCTCGGCTGCTGCAAATCTCTCATACGCCCAGCAGCCGCGTTCACCGGCTCCCGAAGACATTTACCTCCGTCCGGAGCGCTACACGGCTGTTAGCCATCTGTTTACTTTTGCCCTTATTAGTATGTACCCCCTTTGGCTTTCTCCTAACGCGTAATCATCTATGCCATGCTAACCTCTCCCCCTTTCTCAGCCACTATGCCCAAGTCAGAAATCGAAATCGCCGACCTGCCGCCGCTCTTCCAGGACAGCCGCTGGACCTTCTACCTGGACGACATCCCCGAGCAGGACACGCGCGGCTCTCTCTGCACCAATAAGTGGCTCGGCAGCCTCGGTCCCGGCGAGGTCGCCATCGTCAACGTCCGTCCGGATGGCTACGTCGGGTCTATCGGCCGCTGGGACTCGAGTGTCGACGAGTCGGGTGAGGATGCCGCTCGCTGGCTGGATCGTTACTACGAGCGCTTCTTGCAGCTGCCGCCTATTGTGGCTGCGCTGGTTTAAATGGGGTATGTGGGATTAGTAAGTCAGGAGTTAAGAGGGAGCGTGCCGGGCGGAAGTGGTGTTGGTGAGGTAATGGGTTGGTTGAGTTGCTGTTGCTGCTGCTGCTGTTGCTGCTGTTGATGGTTGTGTTGCAGGAGTGGGCGAAGGAAATATAAGGATACCTGGGGTGTGAGGTCTGCTTTTTTTTTTTGCTCGAACATCTTTTTTTGTGTGCTTGTTTATCATTTTTGATGTGGCATTTTCTGGGGGTTTCTCAGGGGCATAGGCATGGGGACGGGTATTTTTCTCGAATGTTGCTGGTGTTGCTTCTTCCGCTTCCGCTGCTGCGCCTGCGATGCGTTGTTCAACAGCACTTCCTGGACAAATCTTCGCTTCTATGTGTTTTTTTTTCCTCATCACCATCTATCTGTTCCCACCTAACCCCTGGCCCCGGATGCCTTATAGCGTCATCTGGTTTTTCTCGTTCCTTTTCGTTGCTCTGGGAGATGCTACACGGGATTTAAAAAGACGAAAGAGAAGCCGATGGTGTTTATAATCAAAGTGATGTAGCGTGGCAGTGGGGTTTGTCTTGCAGGGCTTCCCTCCGAATGATAAGGGGTAAGGGGTGGTATATGCCAAGTTGAAACTGATGATATCTTTAGTCTACCACAACATAAAAGGGGGAAGTAGTGTGAAATTTGTAGAGGTATGAGTGACCGCAAACACTTAATGGGACTTGTACTGTAGTGGCTCTAGTGAATGGATTCATCTCGTAGTAAAAGTCAATTGCAGTTTCTATCCAAAGCAGGCACATTGTTTACCTCTCTAACGTTAGGGGTTATCTGATGTATCTCACCAGGATTGAAAAGGAGGTAGGCAGCTGCCCTCAAAACCGTAGAATAGTTATCCTGCCTTGGCGGTCCTGCCCAATTAACCATCTCTCATCCCCGGCAATGTAACCAACACCCATCATTTCCTCCCACAAGTGCTGAGGAAACCGTTTCTCCCGGGCTCGTGGCGGCAGTTGTGATGATAAACTCTCGTTGTCCTCATCGCTGTCTTCGTTCTTATCATGATGATCTCGGTCCTCGTCTGCCACACTTCTTGACCACTTCCCCTTTCTTTCGTCCACTCTTATGTCCCCCGCATCTTCCACACCCCTCCAGGGAGGATTAAACGAAAACCGCACGCCCAGCGTCGGCATCATGAACCCCGATAACGCTTCCAGCACGAAGCATCGACGAGCTGTCACGGTGACACCCGCGGCAAGGTCATCCACCTTGCTGATGGTGAGGTAAGGGAAGTCGTGGTGCCGCCAGCAGGGGGCCTGGCCCGGGAAGGGGGAAGGGGCAAGAGTGGGTTTTGCTATTGCTTCTGGCATCGTTTTGGCTTCCTGGGAGCCCGGATGTGTGTGGCAGGGAGCAAATGCTAGGCTGCTGCTGACGGGTGCGCAGTACGGGCAGTCTAGGGGCTGCATGTCAGCCCGCCGACAGTGCCGCATGTCGACGCTGTGGTTGTCGTTCCCGCACGTGTCGAGCCATACCGGACCGTAAACAGGGTTGTTGAGAACGGCTGCTACGGCAGCGGATGGGGTGTTTGGCTTTCCCGCATCTGTAGTGGCCAGGTTGCTTGCAGTCGCAGAAGGATGTTGAGGAAATGTTGGGCCCGGTATAATAGGGATGCCGGTGCTTTGCACGAAATGAACACGTGGAGGATCGACAGAGCTCTGGGGACCAGAAATCCAAGCATGATCTTCCTCAATTATATACAGGTTCCGATCGTCCAGAGCTAGGCCCCGAAGACGTGGGAGCGTTCGCTGCCGGACGCCATAGAAGGCGAGCTCGCCCCAGGTCATACGACGGATAACCTGTGGTCCAGCAATAGCAGCTGCGAGGGCAGCTTTGTTCGGAGGTTCCTGGATTATACCGACGGCACTATCGTTCCCATTTTCTCTGCTCTGCCCGTTCCACAAGCCAGAAGATTTGAACGATACCAGCCAAGGAACGACGGGCCGCCAGTCACCCATGGGATCCTGAGACGGGCGACATGGACTCGGAGATGAGATATCCCACACGAGTATCTGCTCAATTGGATCGTCTTGATAGAGGGACCGATTCGGCTGCCATATGTATACAGCGTAATGGGTCGCCGTATGAGTGGAGAAGAAACGATCACGCTTGTTCAGGGGCAAGCCGAGGAAGTGTAACTTCCACTCAGAGCGAAACTCGACACGCCATATAGGGCTGGGATGGCCGCTTTGGTTCCCAGAGCGACCAGAAGGCGCGCGAATGACGTCGAACGCGGTAACAAAGTGGCGATGTACGACCTCGCGGTCGTTCAACTGGTGGTATGCGACAGCCTCGGCCCATTCGATAACGAGCACTCCTTGAGCGAGTCGGACGCGGCGGATATGCTTGCAACGGACGTCAAACGGCACTGGGGTCTGGCAGCCGGTGGCCAGGTCCAGGATATGATAGACATGGCCGGACCGTTGGGCATCCAGTGAAGGGGCCGCACGGGGATACACCAGCACGCCGTCTTCCTGGCTGTATGACCACATGGGATCAGGGTGGTGGAACGTCGACTTGTAAGAATTAAAACGCAAGAAGCGACGCCAAGGAGCCACGCCCCAGAATGAAAAAGGGCTGCCAAACTCATGGCTACTCTGTGCCAGGTCGAGCTTTTCCACAGCATAGGGGATGGCGCGATCGAGGCTCCAGTACCGACGCGCTACACGGGAAAAGACAGAGGACCACGGCAACGGGTGTGTGTCGAAATCAGCCAGCTCGACTTGCACGTTGACCGGTAGACGCGCCGCGATCGTCGGAGGGATCGAAGAGACGGCAATGGCCAGACGGACCTCGCGACATCGCGGGAAGTTCCAGAACAGCAGGAGACGCGACACGAGGTTACTGGAGAACACGGCGTGCCACCGGCGAGACACTCTGCGGCAGCGCACAGCAGTGCGTGGATGGAGATACCATATTATTGCGAAGAAGATATCTGCCGGAAGGTCGATGATGTCCCCCATCCTTGATCGGGTTGGTCAGGGAAAGGAAGATGGGAATGGGATTTGCGGACGGTGACGGTTGCCTTTGCAGCAGCTGCTGCCATGATCAAGCTGCTTCCGGATATAAAAACATAGCTTCGATGCGCTAAGCACAAAATGTGCAAAGCCCATCCTGTTGGACCTCACATTTCTTTCCAAGAAACGCAAGTGGCATTGCCTGAGCGCCAACTCGAAGTTGAGACGAGATGGCAGCAATATTTGGCTGAAGCGGGAAGTGTAAAGGTGGGAAGCTGGACTGCCTGCTGATAAGACATGCTGGACCTTGTTCGAAGACAGCAACCCTAACCCTGTCCTTCATTGGGTCCAAGAAACCTAGGCTCAGCTTGTGGGTCTCGCTTGCAGCACCCTTCCTGATTGGCAGATGAACGCAAATCAAGCTTTTCCAAGACCCAGCGACGTCTCGGGTCTTGCTGCCTGAACCCCATCGCTGCGGGACTCTTTCATCATCCCAGCTCCAAACCGTTCCACAGCTTCTTCCCAGCTTCCACAGCGCACCACAGCACAGAATCACGACGTAGCGCAGCGCAGTGAAGCACTGCCCCCAATATAAGGTGGGGACCCCGCAGAGCAGAAAGCCGCAGATTGACAATTGCGCCGGCAGGTCATCTTGTTCGACGGTTCCCTTCATCCATCAATCATTTTCGTCACAATAGCATTCAGTGACTCGCATTCTCAGGCTCCCGAGGTCTCCGGGTCCCCGTCTTTGCCCTCTCTATTTCTTCTGGCCTCCAAGCAAACCTCCAAGTCCGCTCTGAGCAGCCGTCGGATCTCTCATCCAGTCTCTTGGCACGGCCAAGCAAGCCAAGCAATACGCCCAGCGGGAGGGAGCGCGTGTCCAGCCTTGGCATTATGCAACTTCCCGGCCTTTGCGCGACTACGACTGACAGAGAAAGAAGCGCGAGAAACTCTTGGCTTTCAGTGGTTTCGGACGAAGCGATTGTTTACAGACTGCGGACAGCCGTGCTTCCTCCGTACCTGCAGATTCAGTCGGTTTGACGGTTCCATCGATTGCTCGGTCCCTGCTCCGTGTCGGCGTTTCCTCGCCCGCTGTCGCCGTGTCGTGTCGAGTCGAGTCCGAGTTTGAGTCGGCCCTGATCCGGTCCCGAGTCCAATCGTCAGCGTTCCTAGCGACGGCACGCTCTTTCTTGTGGCTACGTGAACGAGTGACAAAGACGTCGTTATGCGAATCGGAGCTCGCTACTGCTGCTTGCGCCATCGCTGACCGTTTTGCTTGTTTGTCGCAGCGTTTCTCGTGAGGTTTTCGACTGACTCTGATGCTCGAAGTCGCGCCTCGTGAGCGGCCATCGGCGAGCTGAGCGAGCACGAGCACCAGGACTCTCATCATTCCCACGAAAAATTGCCCTGATCTCCTGGAGTTTACTTTGGTTTTAGCGACCGTTTCGGAGTTTTCTATCATTTCGGCCCTTCTTGTTATTGTGATAGCCCGAGCCCGGCACTCGGGTACATGGCATAGATGGGCATCTCGCGGAACTCATCCAACAGTCGCACCGCCCGATCGTCCCCCGCATTATCCAATGCCTCTAAGAAGCATACCATATTTCAGGTTTTCACAATCCCCTACAAGTTTATCCGGTTCCTCCGCTCACGATCTGGCCCTGTCAACGAGTTTTACATTCGTCTCGTTGACCCTCATCGTCAATATGGCTCTGGAGACGTGGTTAAGGGTGCCGTTATCTTGACCGTTGTCAAGCCCATCTGCATCACACATCTGGTCGTCTCGCTGCATGGCTATGTGCGAATATATAAAGGCACCAATGCGCCCACTGATATCCCCCCTAACCCAAGCGAGCATGCTGCTAGCAGCGGTTATATCACGTTGTTCCACGAGGAAGTGCCACTTTCTGGTGAGGGCAGGCTCGAGCCGGGAAGATATGAGTTCCTCTTCGATTTGGATATACCGCAGGGCAGTTTCCCCAGCAGCATCGAGGTTCGTTGGCTTCTATAACCATGATTTTGGATACAATCACTGATCTGATTTGCGGTTGATTTAGTTTGAAAAAGGCACCATCTCATACGTGGTTACAGCAACCCTGACTCTTCCTACGAGTGACCCCAACAGACTCCCGCGGCAGCATAGCTGCGCTTGCCACATCCAATTGGTGAAGATGGTGGATATCGGATTCATTAAAGCGCCACTCCCTCAGATCATCTCGCTCGAGCCAATCTCCAAGAGGCCCAAAAAGAAACGGCCTCCAGATCCCTCTGCCGAAAGCTCGACCACGATCAATACGGCTGTTCCTGGCTCCAGTTCTGATATGCTCCGGATGAGCGGCCACGTTACGGAAGCGGGCTATGATCATACCCATGAACCCCATGGAAACAACCCTCAGAACGCAACACAAAGCGACGTGCGTAGCATCAGCGATGAAAGTGCTGCCACCAGCAGCACCGCTCATAGCAGAGCTGATGTGAGTTCTTTGCACGCTCCCGCAATCGGTTCTCTGGGTGATAGGAGGAATCGTTCCTTGAAGGAGCGTACCATTACGGCAACTGTTGAACTTCTCAAGGGGGGCTGCCTTCCGGGCGATACGGTTCCCGTCAAGATATCCGTCCAACATAACCGCCCAATCAGAAGCATGCGTGGCGTTATTCTGACCCTTTACCGCTTAACGCGAATCGATTCATCACCCCTATCTTTTACAAGGGAGTCAACGGACCATGAAGGTCAGCGAACACCAACAGAAGACTTCTTCCCTCGTTTCAGGACAGGACTTGGTGTCCTCTCCTCTTTCTCCTCGAGTAACCCATACTGCTTGTTTCGAAAGGATCTTGCACAAGCTTTTGCTCCCCTCATCATTAACCCAGAGTCCTTGAAAGCTGAGCTCGTCACCTCCGTGAGGGTCCCAGTGGACGCGTTTCCCACCATTCAGGATGTGCCCCACGAGATTATATCGTTCACATATCACATCGAGGTCCTTGTCGACCTCGGCGGCAAACTCGCAAACCAAATTCGCGGAGGACTTCCCTCTCCTCCAGCGGTCAATACCCTTGGGGGGCCACCCGGGCTTTCTGATAGTGCGGCTACTATGACAGCATATGCCGCCAATATTCTGGAAACAGACGGTCTTCGGAGACAGAAGGGCGTTATCTCGGCAGCATTTGATCTTGTTGTTGGTACTTTGGACAGCAGTCGCAACCGTGCCAGAAACTCAACAAGGCCATCTCCTGCTGTTTCTGCTGTTCCTGTGGGTTCTACCCCAAGGCCAAGCCAGGCAGGAGTCCAGCCGTCAGCTTCTCCCCATGTTGAGCCTTACACGCCTGTGAACCGCCCACAAGCCCATACCCCCTCACCTATTGCACAACTTTCTCCTCAGTCTTACCCTTATTGGAACAATATACCTCCAAAACCACTACCCGAACCATATCCGATTCCTCCCCCACAATTACCGGACGAAAGCGCGCTCAGCGAAAAAGAACGCATGCGTCTTGCTGAACAACGTCTACTACCCAGCCAACCCCCAGAAGTCCCTTTAGCCAGGCTGTCGCACAGTTCCCACCTCAACCCTTCCCCTAATAGCGCCTACTCTTCGGATTCTCAGCCGCCATTCTCGTTGACATTCGAGGCTCCTTCTGCTCCAACACTGGATGATATCGCTGCTGGTAGCACGGCGCAAGCGTCTGCAGTGCCTGACGGCGGAACGGAAGACAAGCAAGAGCTGGAGAGGCGGCAGTTGCTGGCCGAGGTGAGCGCTCCCCCACAGTTTCCCCCCGACGGCTATGGGGGCGACGGCCAGGGAGCGACCGGGAGTCTCTCGTTTTCCGCACAACGGCAGCTAGAGCAACCAACTGCCCCTCCATTGTCGATGGTGGAAGGTGACGATCACAAAGAGCCGTCGGCACCTCCGCCGGAATTGCTGGGCGAGGATCCCCAGCCACGGGATGATGAGGCCTTGTATGGGAGGGGCTATAGCTACGGAGAGTATACCTCCTCGTATCTTGCTGCGTGTTTGCCATATCAACAACTATCTGGAGTACAGGCTCAGGGGCATATCTCTTCTTCTGGGCAGCATAACGGGGGGAATGAGCCATTGCCGAAATATGAGCAGTGAGAGAATTTTGTCTAGTCATGTTTAAAATAGTTATTTATTGGTTGCATGTTATGATGACCTGGGATATATACATCGATTTATGTGAGGTAAATATCTAGTGTTTGTACGGTAGTGGTATAATGTGGACATTTGGGCCGGTACATTGGCTACTTGTTTCTCCAGCATTTGCTGTAGTTCAACATGGTATTGCCTTTTTAGTTCCTTCGCGTTGTTGCAAGAACATCACCGATCATACAAGCGAGTGTCCACCTATACGTGTCGAATGCCGTTCCAATCTAACCTGGCATATCCTCTTTCCTGTAAAGCCGGCCTTTATTCCCCTCGGTTCAAACAGTGGCGATCGGTATCATAAAGCGAATGAATGAGTAGCCCCCCGATAAGCAGTGCTTGTTAACTTCATGATCCCAAATCTTCCTGTAATAGCAGACAATAAAAATAAAAGAGTCGCAGTTGGCTTGGCATCTCCCATGAGCATATAGAAAACTTTAACCGACAGCTTCCATCAGTAGGCGATCCCAACACCAGACTGGGTTGCTTTATCATCGTTGGAGATAGGGTAGAGTGACGTTGGTGACGAAGGCTCTCCCACAAGCGTTGTGCAACCAGAGTCGTTCCTTTGATGTTGGCTCTGGGACTGTCCGTGGATGTAGTTATCCGGATGATGTGTGTTGCTGTGGCTCGTTCTTCCATACTGGCTCCCTTCGAGTTCCGAGACCCCCATTCCAACAGCTGTTAAGTTTTTACCTTTTTCCATCATTAAGCCTTGAGAATAAGCCCCTGATGCCACATGAGCAGGAGGCTGGAAAACCGCAGCGTGATGGGGGGGGTCAACAGGCCCAAAGTGTGGTAAAATGGAAGGGAGAGTTGGTTGTTTCAAACGCAACGGTCCTGGGAGAGGGGGAGGAGAAGGAGGTGTTGGTGCTGGAGCAGGTAGGCATGTGCTGACGCTGCCGTCGTCGTCATTGCGGCTTGGGCTCTGCTTCGGGGCGTAATAGTCGTATCCTCTTCCAACAATCCTGTGGTCGTCATCTTGGGCTTGGCCTTCTGTTTCGCGGAGGTAGCGGAAGCGTCGGCGCATGGAGAGGACCACAAGGGCTGTAAGAAGCAAGCCTAGGATGGCGCCGCCTGTGGCTAAGCCCGCGATGGCGTGCTTGGAGAGGCGTTTACGATGTTTTCGGGTCTGGGGGTCTTCCTCGTTGCTGGGCTGTGCTAGGTTGGGGTCTTCTGGGTCGGGTTGAGGCTGCGGTTGGGAAGCAGTAGGAGTCGGTGCTGTTTGGGTGAGTATAACGCTTTCTGTTGATGTTACTACTATGGTAGCTGGTGGATGAGATATGACTGTGAGGGTCGAGGTGACATCCACAGTTGTTTGAGCGTTGCGGACACTGCCATTGTTAGGAGTCAGGAGTCAATTCCGGGGGCTGGAACTGGGGTCCATACTGAGTTTGTGTGCGGTAGATAGTAGTGAACACGACAGAGGTAGCATGTGAAGTGATCTGCACGGAAGAGATGCTTGTCACATCAGTGGTAGCAGTCACATATTCGGTGACCGTTGGTACATCCTGGGCAGCTTGCCTCGGGACAGGCAGGGGATGGCCAGATGTTCTTGGAGCCTCTTGGGCAGTATCCGACTGAACTGCTCTCTTTGCAGCCGCAACTTCGGCGACAGTCACCCATATAACATTTGTTTGTGTCTCGGCATGGTCCGTCGTTACGTCGACAGTCGATATATGGGTGGACGTAATCATCTCGACAATAACGACCGTAGCTCTCTGGGTCACAACATGAGTGACTGTTCGCCAGACAGTTGATGTCACAGTCACGGTCTCTTGTTGCTTTCGCGGTTCAATGCATCTCCCCTGATCACAGGTCTGGCCAGTAGGGCAACACCCGCTTCCACAGCATGATTCCTCACTCGCACAGCAATGTCCTCCCTCAAAACAGCAATTTCCGCAACCAGGACAGTAGTTGACATCGTTGCCGAAGCAGTAGTTTGACCCATTTGACAGGCATTCTCTCTTTTCTAAGTTCCAGAAATGGCTCGGCGGGCCGGTCAGAGCCTTGATGCCCGCAAAGGGCTTTCTCCAACGAACATGGTGGTTTGCTTCACTACCGTCCCTAGAAAGACTCGATCGGTCTGCGAGAGGCTGATATCCGAAAACAAGAATGATGCAGGATGTGAGCAGCGCAGCCATGCTGCGCCAAATTGAAGACATGGCGCTTTGAGGTCATTGCGGGTTGCTGATGCGAGACATCGATGGAATTATGCATCGCCGTCGACGGCCGGCCACAAGCCTTATGGCTGCCAGCACCTCATCCTACAGTTCCCACCACCTCATCTTCACGTTATCTTTGCACGCCGTGGCACCGCAACCATCGTTTTGTACGTCAATAATTCAGAAGGCTGACTGATGCCAGTGGCTGTCGTCTGCACTACGTCGGACAGCAAGACAAATCATCGGCCAAGACGTGCGGCCTGTGGCTTGGGGGCGGGTAAGCTCCATAACTACTGGCTTTGACGAGCAGCAGCACCAGCGGTGGGCACCAGTCGGAGAGCGTCAGCAAGCGAGAACTGCATGTTCATCGGTTGTCCTGGTTGTCGGGAGCGTCACCAAGATGCAAGTCGCCGGCATCTAGCAGGCGCAAGGAATTAAAGGAAGTTTTTAACTGGCTGCGGCGGTGGTGGCACAACGCCATAAGAGCTGAAAAGGGCCGCCTAGCAGACCCATAATTGCGACGCTGGCAGCAGCGAGCAGCCCAGGTCAGCGTCAGCCAGAGCCAGGCTGCGACGAGCGATGTCGCTCTCTCTCAGTATTTGGGCCAGCTTTGGGTTTGCTTGACTCTTGCCAGGCTCCCTTCAAACGAAACCTTCGGACTTAGGTCCTATCAACACCAAACGGCTATGAATGATACAGGACGCCTTCATTGACGTCGATGTACTGCATCAGGCGATGAAAGAAGGCTGGATCCATTGGCCTTTGGGTGAGGAGCGAGGTCGACCATGGGAGGTTCTACTGAGAGGGGCTACCCGACGCGAGCCAGGAACCCCAACCCTCCTCCGCATGCGCCCAGACTTGCCCCACGCTGGGCCCCTCCAACAAACTGTCAAGAAAGCTGGTGGACAAAGACTTTGGGCCTGGACACGCTGTTGAAACAACTTCACGCGTGCCGCCCGCGACAACTCAAAGCCAACGTCCACACTCCGTGTCGTCATTTTAAGTCAAGCAGACACGGCTAGGTACAGAGCAAACTCGAACACGTAAAACAGAGGCCGCCGTCATGGACATCGACGACATTTTGCAGGAGGTGGACCCGACCGTCTACCGCATCCCGCAAGAAAAGCGCGACCTTCAGGAGTTGACGCGCGCCTGGATCGCCGAGCGCTCTGCCCCTGAACTGCTCCCGTATGCCATTCCCAAGGCTCAGCGTTGTCATTTACCTACCTCTCTTGCTTTGCCTGGCCCCCTTGTTTCACCAATGGTAGTTCATGCTAAGTACGTAAGCCGTGGATAGGTGGCCGCCCAACGACCTCTTTGAGCGTATCAATGCCGCCATCAAGCGTCAGATCGAGCGGGTTGAAGAGCTCACGGGCGACATGGACCCTAAGTCCAACTTTGCCCTTATTGTCATCCAAACCGAGCTCGAGCGTTACAAGTACCTCGTCCGAAGCTATTTGCGTGCCCGTCTAGCGAAGATTGATCGCCACACCCTACACTATCTGTCCTCCGATGCCCTGCGTGCCCGCATGTCAGATATCGAGCTGGCCTATGCGACTCGTCATCAAGCCTTGCTGCATAACCACTACCTGTCAAGCTTTTTGTCTAGCTTTCCCCCAAACCTGCAGAACCTGAACGATGCTGTCGGCGGAATTAGCATGATTGAGACTCCCGACCTTGACACTGCCGTCATTATCCGCCTCCTGAAAGACTCCTTTGTCGAGGGAAGAGGTGTGGACTCGGATGGTGCTCTGCAGATGAAAGAGGGGGATATTGTGATCCTTCGGTGGGCTGACGCAAAGCCTCTCGTCGAAGCCGGCAAGGCCGAGCTGGTTTGAGCCAGACGTTACAAAGCAAGCAAAATCAGATACAGAGGGGCACTTAGCAAGCTGGGAGCGCTGCGAACAATGCCTGATCATCCCTTCCATCAGGTCCTTGGGCACTATGTGCCGTGGCTCCGGACCGCTCGACCCGACCTGTTCGGCTGAAGACCGCGAAGCTCCCCACATGTGCGCAGTACATGTGCGCCGGTTCTTGCTCGAGCTTTATAGTACAAGTGCCTACTCTGTGCCCCTAGCGACAGAATGAGGAGAACACGGAGTAGGAGTTAGCGTCAGGTCACGACAAACCTAGAGGACCAGTCCGATGGTCGTTGTTTGTCCTTCAAGAACACGTAACAGCTGTTTCGACAAAGACTCAACAACAAGGAGCAAGCCTTGCAGTCTTGAGACTTGCAAAGGCCGTATTACGTACTGGAGCGGCTACGAACAGCACACCAGACTCTGGCAATAATCCAGAACGAGCAGCTCCAACAGGCCCACTGTCCAGCTCCATGGACGCTGCCCAACAAGCCGCAGCATCCTAATAAACATCACACCGCCTGACCGACGCATCACGTATTCTAACTTTTAAGTATTGTTACATTACTGAAAGCTCGGCCAGCCTTGCCTCTCTGTACATGTAATTATTTGACCGCGACACGGCAACGACATCAGCCAACAACAAACAGAAGGGATCAGCAACCGGCGCATACCCATCGACAGTGGCACCGAACAGCTGGCAGACCCCACTGTGTAGCGTGGCAGGGAATGTTCAGCTGCTGCTTTTAGTTGCAGCCAGCAACAGGAGGCTGGGAAGAAGATGTGGAGACGTGTGAAAAATCAGCTCTGAAGGAATGTACACTACGATATTTGAAGCTCGAATTCCCCAAAACAGGACAAACTTTAGACTGGCATGCCTACGACGTATATCTGCCAAAGATCGGGATTGGATGTGCCTGGAAAAAACAAGCCTTGGTGACTATCGACCTAGTCCTCGGCCCAGAGTTTGGGCAAAGGAGAAGCGCCACAATCGGTTTTTTTCGACCGAAGACCCCCGGCCCTCAGCGGTGTGATGTGGAGAGTTCGGCCAGGGTCCTGGTCTCCCTCGACGTGACGGTCGATCGAAGATCACAAACAAATGGGGACCCGGTCTGGATTCTGGACGCTCGCTTGGAGATCGCCGTTGACCCACCTAGCTGATGAGTTCCCTGGTCTTTTTCGCTTGTTTTGACGGCGCTGATGCCGAGGGGTAGAGAGCGGGGTGGTCTGTCATATTGGTTGGGCAGGTTGGGCTGCCGTTGCTGCGAGAGTGATAGAAAGAATCGAAAGGTTGAAAGGGAGATTTTTATTTGGGGGAACACGAATGTGTTCGATCACCATTGCTCATGCTGATGAGTTGACCTTTAGAAACAAGGAGGCTCCTTTACATTGACGGAAGCGCGAGATTGTTCGCAGACAGTCCCAGTCAGCGCTTACCCCTGGCACCCGCATCGTGGTCACAGTGTGGAAACGCCACGTGGGTGGAGATTTCAGCTGGACAACACTGCTCCCACCCCTTCTGGGGAGCCCTGTGGGCTTCTGGGGATCGTTGACGGTATGTGAGATCTTTTAGCGATCTCACCGAATCCAAAAAGATGTCTGCCGGCGAGGTTGGGAACGGGCACAAGTCCGGTTTTAGGGCCCGCACGATCTTGCCCTTTTGGCAACCAATATGCTTTGCTGGAAGCACGTGTGCATCATGCCGTGAAACCTCCCAGTCGGATTAGAGATATCATGGGGATCCTACACAGTATTGATGTGGAATGCTGAGAGTTCCATATCCCCGCCGTCGCCAATGTTCGCCACGGGCAAGCCAAGTGCAAAGCGGATTTTTCAGGGCCTACGCCAGTGCCTCGGCACGGCCGCAGGGATTGGTGGTGAGGTGGGCGTGGCTTGGGCTGGGGGCCTTGTCTAGCTGTTTGGCTGGCGTGTCGCCTGACCAATGACCTCACCTCTTCATGTGTTGTCATCAAACGGATCGTCAGGAAGGCCTTGTTTGGGCAGGTCGTGTCGAAACCGCAAAAACCAGATGTCCTGTTTTCTGCGTTACACTCGGGTGTTCTGTCTACTGTTATACTTGGTAGGCGATGTCTGTCGTGACTCGGGGATGTACGGTCTCTGTGGTTGCATGTACATTATTTTGGAACCCTGATACATACTTCTATGCTCCGCCCTCGTAAATCAGAAGGTGCCGTCCTCCAAGAAGCCGCGCGCCGTTGTCGAGGAAATTCCTAGGTGGCTGCCTCAAAACTGTGGCATTGATGGGCGTCGATTGGTCCCTGACCCTTGGAACATACTTTTTGGGCCCCGGTTAAGTGGATCCGGAGTGCTGATTGGTGCCCAGAGGGATCGGACGCCCAGATCGGGCAAACAGCCCAATCGCGGCTGGATGCAGGCACCGTCGCGTAATTTCACCAAGGGTGACGGCCCCGGTTTTTCACAGCGCCCTGCGCGCACGGATTTCCTGCTCCGCAAACGCCGGGGGGTTGGCTGGCTGGATGAATGGGCGCCAGTGAGAGCAGCAGCGACGGTGTTGATGACAATGACAGGAAATCGCTGGATGAAGACGGCCAAGGTGGTAGAACACTCGGCCAGCAAACAGCCCTGTTGAAACTTGGAAAGGCTGGGACAAAGTTCGAGATGGTGAGACAGAGCCTCCTCGCGTACTGCATGGTGTCTCATTTTATGTCTCCTTATGTCCACAGTAGGCATCTTGCTGCTCTTTTTGCTCTTCCCATCGGCTCTACGTACCGCTGGGCGCTGTCGGATGGACGGTACAGATATTACCGTACTGTACACGAGACGGCAGAAACTGCAATGCTCCTTCGTGTTGAAGGTGGAGAATGTGTTGCATGGACATGACGCAGTGGAAAAGCAGGGCAGATGGCCAAAAAAAATAAAAATTAGGAAAAGAGACGAACACCGTGGACACAAATGGAAAGCGTCCTTGCAGCTCCCTGGCTGCCGCTGGGCCACTGGCCGTCGAAATCTCAGTGGACAGCGGATGAGAGGACGGCCCCCGTCCCTCCATCCACACCCAGGTTCCCAGCCCGCAGGCCCCGGACCGCGCCCGAGGGTTGCAGCTGCATCGTTTCTTGGTTTTCCTGGTGCTGCCTGCTAGGTACGTTAGCGTGCATACCCCTGGGGGTTCGGGATGTGTGGCCCGTTGCTGGCTATGCACGCGTGGTGATGGTGTCTGGGCAGTCCTTGTGTGGTCCTCACAAGTCCTCGCGGGAGCGGTTGATAAAGGACGCCCATGCCACCGCGTCCTGACCTGGAATTCCTCCTGATTTTCTTCCTTTTGTTCTTGCCAAGGTAAACCTAGCTCGACAATCGTTGTCCCTTCCGGCTCTCTGTCCCTATCGTGTGTGGCCGTGTACATTATCTCGGACTGTCTTCGTCTGTACACTCAAAGCCCTCGTTTGCTCATCCTGTACAGCCCTACAGTCTCGCTACCTACAGCCTTAATTTGTAATACCTACATCACCTCAACAAACCGCCAAAATGCGTTTCACCACTCTGTTCGTTGCTGCCGGCTTCGCCTTCTTCGCGAACGCCCAGACTACCACCAGCTCCGCCGATGCCGCCCAGAACTCGCAACAGGCTGCTATGATCAAGTGTATCGAGGCCTGCCCGGCCGGCGATGTTGTCTGCACCTCCAAGTGCATCACTGTCCCTAGCCCCAACGAGTCTCAGGTATGTGTGAAGCGAGGGAGGTTTACATGGAAAGCCCCCGGTCGGATCTCCTGATGAGCGATATTCCAAACTTACCTTATCTCACCTTTCCTCATGTCACCTTACCTTACCTCATTTCCTGCCTTTCATGCTACTACCCGCGGACTTCCCCTACTGTTCATTTCCCTCGACCGTTACGACGGGATGGGGCATGTGAAACGTTCCTCAACGGTTTCCCCGCAAGGATCAACATATCACTGACTCGGTTGTCCAGGCGAACGCTACCACCGACTGCGTTGCCAAGTGCGATCAGGGCTCCGGCTCTCCTGCGGACACTCAGAAGTATGCTCAATGCGTCGACAAGTGTATCAACGATTACTTCTACGACCCCAAGGTTGGCACCCCTAGCGGCAATGGCTCTGGCTCCGGCTCTGGCTCTGGCTCTGGCTCTGGCTCTGGCTCCGGCTCCGGCTCCGGCTCCAGCGGCTCCGGCTCGAGCGGGTCTAGCAACGGTGACGGCGAGGGCTCCAGCTCCGATGGCGAGGCTACTGGTACCGCTACTGGCTCTGCCGCCTCGAGCACGCCCACCACCGATGCCGCTGGTGCCATGAAGGTCTCGGGTGCCCTTGCTGGCTTCGCTGGTCTCGTCGGTGCTCTTGCTGCTCTTTGAGAGGTGGATATGAATTGGTAGGAAGGTGTTATTTTGTTCTTCTCGATCGAGTTTTTTTTATAAAATAGGGGATGTTATAGGCTTGGGGCTATTGTTTAATTCTTAATGGGGTTTGGCTATGTTTGAATCTAGGTGTTATGGAGCAGGAGTAATGTGGGGGTGGTTTCTTGGAATGACTTGGAGCGTAACGTGGGCCTATACCTAAGAATCATGAGCGTGTTTAAATGTTCAAAATGAAATCAAAAACTACCGATAACTGTTTTCAAGTCCACTTGTCATGAGTGAAATCTTTTGGCTTTGCGAACGTTTCGGTTCTTTCGGTCTATATATACCAAGAACAAAGAGTGAGACATGATTACGAGTTCCTCCTAGGAACCACTGGCTCGATGTCGGTAATCCATGGCAGACCGAGCTGTTTCATCTCGACGGCCAGTTGGAAGAGATAGTCCAGACTGTTTACACACTGTCAGTCTTCTCGTCATTAAGCTAGGCAGGGAGCAGGCCTTCCCCGTCAACCTCGTCAACATACCTTTCGCACTGGGTCTTCGCCTTATGCACAGTCTCTCCCCACACGTAGACACCATGCCTACGGACCAGGACGGCATACGTGTCCGGGTACTTGTCCATGGCCTCTTCCAAGAACTCCGTAAGATCCTCCTCATGGGCGGTGTTCTCAATCACCGGAATCACCAGCGTATCGTGATACCCGAGGTTCCCGGTCTTCCCATATCCCCTACCAAAGCCCTTGATCTGTTCGATGTTGTTGATTCGGAACTCCCGGTCCTTGCCGGGGCCCTGCTGCTCCAGGATCAGCGTCACCAGTACCGCCCAGTGCGAGTGTGTGTGGATACAGCAGCCCGCGCCGCGCTTGTTGAAAGCGGCCAGGAAGAGGGGAGTGCATTGGCTCGGCTTGTGGTTGGGCGGGCTGCGAAGGTAGATGCGGTTGCGTCGATCGAGGGATGCAGCTTGTGCGGCGAGCGAGAGCACGTAGATGTCAGAGGGTTTCATGAGCTCCTTTTGCACGCCCGAGGGGGCGATGTAGACCAGGTCGCTAGGCAGAATGACATTGTTAGTTTGGGATTGGTTGTGGGGGGTGTGATGGTGTTGGGTTGGCTGTTGAGGTGTGGTTAGGATGGTGGGGTAGGGACGACGATGAGAGCGGTGATAGTGGTAATAATAGTGTTGAGGGGCTCTGGACTCTCGTGGTCATACCCGTCCCGGATCGAGGCTCCACCACCGGTTCCCGTCACCCATCCGAGCGTCCAAAACTTGGCGCAGAGCGCCGGGATCAGGTTGGCCGGGTGCTCCGGGTCATCGGACTGGACGAGATGGTCGTTGTTGTTGGCTGGTTGGGGGTTTGGCGGGGTCATGATGACGCCTTTCGTTGTGTGACTCGTTCTGTTGAAAAGTTTTTTAAACAGCCACAAAGCCAAGCTCTGTTTCAATGGCTCCCAGGGCCCTTTCCTTGCACTCAGAATGAATGAATCACGGAGTCAAAAGACCAATCAAACAAGCAAAGACCCTCAGAGAAACGTCCCTGCGAGTGCCGGCAATTTTTACGGAGCGGCAGTATCAAGTTTTCAATGAGGCTATTTGGGGCTAAATTGCGTCAGCTAAAAAGGTGCTCCAACTTTTCGGCGCGGCTTTGGGACGGGACCCTCTTTGCTGCAGGGCAAGGCTGCTAGGGCAGGAGTCGGGGAACTCGCTGAGTTGCAAGCATGCAGGCTCTTAATCAGCAAGCAACCTTGAGTCCTCGATTCCGGCATTGAGGTGCCGTTGGATCCACAGAATGCCGGCCTGACATTGGATCACGATTCAGTTTACCTATTTAACCCAGAGCGTTGAGGATGGACGCTCGGTCAATTGACGCTGGAGCGCCCCTAAGAAGGATTCTACCTCGGTGCCCTCCTGGTTCATGATATGCCTTGATATACGTGGCCTAAGAGCTGTGCTTCCTCACTGGCAGCAACCGAAAGCTGCATGGCTCGTGAAATCAGATCATCGACATTGGGGCTTGGGACGACGATAAGATCCAGACAGCGAGTTGCCATATCTGGTTAACCATGCCGTGCCGTTCCTGAAATCAACGGCGGGCTCATGCTGGACCCTAACACTCTGTCATCATGCTGGCCCTGTTACCCGTTTCAGTGAAACAAAGGAGACACGGTCTCATCTCATGATGGATATCAGAATTGGATGTTCTTTGGGACCCAATGGTTTTACCCTAGTCTTTGTCTACATGGATAAGATTCTGTCAAACCAGTATGCTGGATGACAGCACAACATATTGTGGAGGGAAATTTGGAGCGCAGATCTGAATGCGTCCCTGTTTGCAAAGAAAATAGAGATATTTCACAATAAGAGCACCCGATTGATGTAGCCTAAATATCGGGATCCGAAGAACCAGCACAAAGACATTTCAAAAGCCTTCTTCCCATATCAATTGAGAGGACGAGAGTTGGAAAATGAAAGTCTGCCATCTTTGCTTGTGATGATGGTTCATGGAGCAGTTGTGGAGATGGTGGCTCTCTCGGACCAATAGAATCGAAGGTTCCAACACGTTCCATCATGGCGCTAGGACCAACAGGGTGCGGCCAGGCTGACCCCAAACGGACCCCGCTGGCGCCTGCGGTTGCTCTGGTCGCATCAGCGAGAGCTCCAAAAGCTCAGCATCCGTTTCTGTTAAAAAGACACGTTGTCAGAACCTTGCCCACCCGAACTTCAAATTCACCACGCTCATCTTCCTGCACGCAGCTTGGTGACTTTCCCCTTCGTCTTCGAGCTTTGGGAGCATCTCTCCATTGCCACATCGCATCACATCTGCTGTGTTGGTCGGCGTTCTTTTATCCCCTCCCTTTCATCATCGTCGACCGCTCGCCAAGCATCTGCCATTGCATCTCTCCTCACTATCACTGTCGTCCTTGTTTAGGTTGCCTGCCTACTAGATCGCGCGAAGTAGCGCTCGATTTTGAAAAATGAGATTCAACGTCGCTGCTGCTGCCGCTGGTGCGGCGTTCCTGGTGGGTGGCGTCAACGCCGAGGACCAGAAGGTTATCAAGGACGAATCGGCCTCGTCCTCGTCCACCTCAGTTGCCGAAACGGCCACCAAGTCTACTCCCGAGCTCCCGACCTTCACTGTAAGCTCAGCCCATTGCTTGTTGCCTCTTGAATGACAAGGCATGGCTTGTTCTAATACTTTGTATGCAGCCCACTACCCTGAAGGCTCCTTTTATCGAGCAGTTCACCGAGGGCTGGGAGCAAAGGTGGAAGCCCTCTCACGCCAAGAAGGACACAAAGGGTTCTGATGAGGAGTGGCGGTACGTTGGTGAGTGGGCTGTTGAGGAGCCCATCGTCTACAAGGGCATGGAGGGCGACAAGGGCCTGGTGGTCAAGAACGTCGCTGCTCACCACGCCATCTCGGCCAAGTTCCCTAAGAAGATTGACCCCAAGGGCAAGACCCTGGTTGTACAGTATGAGGTCAAGCTGCAGAGTACGTCGATGCCATGTTGAACGTTGGGTTGTCCGGACACGGGTCAGGCTAACTGAGGTTCTTCCATACAGACAGTCTTGAGTGCGGTGGCGCTTACCTGAAGCTTCTGCGCGACACCAAGAAGTTGCACCAGGAGGAGTTCTCCAACACCACGCCTTACGTCATCATGTTCGGTCCTGACAAGTGCGGCCATAACAACAAGGTGCACTTCATCTTCAACCACAAGAACCCCAAGACCGGCGAGTACGAGGAGAAGCACCTTACAGCTCCTCCCACGGCCAAGATTGTCAAGACGACTGAGCTGTACACGCTCGTCGTCCACCCCAACAACACTTTCCTCATTCAGCAGAACGGCGAGACGGTCAAGGAGGGTAGCCTCCTGGAGGACTTCAACCCTCCGGTCAACCCGCCCAAAGAGATTGACGACCCTAACGACAAGAAGCCTGACGACTGGGTCGACGAAGCCCGTATTCCTGATCCCAACGCCAAGAAGCCGGATGATTGGGATGAGGATGCGCCGTACGAGATTGTCGATGAGGACGCCGTCAAGCCTGATGACTGGCTCGAGGACGAGCCGCTGACCATCCCGGATCCGGAGGCTAAGAAACCTGATGACTGGGATGATGAGGAGGATGGCGACTGGATCCCGCCGACCGTTCCCAACCCCAAGTGCGCTGAGGTGTCTGGTTGTGGCCCGTGGACCAAGCCAATGAAGAAGAACCCGGCCTACAAGGGCAAGTGGACGCCGCCATACATCGACAACCCGGCCTATAAGGGTCCTTGGGCTCCTCGCAAGATCCCCAACCCCGACTACTTCGAGGACAAGCACCCGGCCAACTTTGAGCCAATGGGCGCTGTAAGTCTCCCAGACTCACCCGGTTCAAACGAACGGGCAAGGTTGTTGACTGACTATGTAACAGATTGGCTTTGAGCTCTGGACCATGCAAAACAACATCCTCTTTGACAACATCTACGTTGGCCACTCAATTGAGGATGCCCGCAAGTTCGCCGAGGAGACCTTCTTCAAGAAGCACCCGGTTGAGAAGGCGCTTGAGGAGGCCGACAAGCCCAAGATTGACGACACACCGGCTTCCCCCGACGACCTCAAGTTCCTGGACAACCCGAAGAAGTACATCACCGAAAAGGTCGATCTCTTCCTCACCATCGCCAAGCGCAACCCGATTGAGGCCGTCAAGTTTGTCCCTGAAGTGGCTGTCGGCCTTGGTGCTCTCCTGATCTCGATCATCGCTATCATCGCTGGTCTTGTTGGTGCGGGCTCCAAGCCGGCGGCTCCGGCCAAGAAGGTTGAGGGCAAGGAGACGGCCAAGGAGGAGGACAAGGACGGCAAGGCGACGACGACGGGCGCCGAGACCACCAAGTCGGAGGTGACCAAGCGTGCGGGCAAGAGCCAGTCGTAAGGGCAGGCTTGGCGCTCCGGGGTCGGAGGGGGTCTGGATGTATTCTTTGACCAAATTATAACCGGACAAACATGCGGGATCAGGCCAGCCGTAATTATGGTGCTGGCCGGACGAGACGACAGCAAGGGCACGTTTTCTGCTTTTATTGTTCTGCTTGTGTTTAGGGTTTTTGGAGTCCCAGGGCGTATTGAACATGTATTCTAGGTCTCTCAAAATACCGTGATAACAGAGGTTTTAGTATTCCTGAACATTCAGGCTTCTAGGTATCATAACTCCTCGCTTTCCTGCCTAGCCGTGCGAAACCGAGGTGTTGGGCGGCGGTCCGAGGAAGGCAGGTGCCTCAACACAATGGGCGCATGGATGTTGCGGCCCTGCGGGCGTCCGACGAAGGTCCCTCCTTCTCCCCAGATCGCCGTCTGGGGGGCCCGCAGGAACAGAGTCGGCGGGACCAATTGGGCGGCGCTGATTGGTCTTCGGCAGGACGCGGCTTTGGCAGACTGCGGGGACAAGCCCACGGTGGTCCACCGGTCGGGTCCCTTCCCCACATCCGGGCGTGGCAGCGGCACTTGACCCCTCCCGGACCCTCCCGGACGCTGATTTGGGATGGTGTTTTGTGACTTCTTGGAGTCATCTTAGGAGTGCTTGGCGGGGATACATGCAGATGCAGTCCACAGCGAGATCGCTGGTCGGATAAATGGGACATCTGGAAGCATTTTTGAGTTGATACCTTGGAAGGAGGGGCAAATATGGACCTTTTTGGTATGTACTGTGCAGGCTAGAGGTAGATAGCCGACGGTACAAATTCACGGACTACCTGCCACCCGCAGACACAAAGAAAGCCACCAGTCAGTGGCCAGCAAGTGTTCTCCGTCCTCTAGTGCCAGACTGCCAACAGGCCAGCATCTCCAGCATTCCCGGTTCCCCACGTTTGCAGGTTCTCACTTTTCAGCAACGGCCAACTGCAAGGGGGGCAAATTCCCAATCATCCTCGTGGTCGCTGCGCGTGCGCCGTCCCGTTCGGTGCCAGTCGCTCTGTACGCATCCGTGCTTGTTGCACAGGCCGGTTTGCAGTCCACGTTTACACTACCGGTACATTGTGGCGGCGATCTACTTTACGGCTGCTGTTGAGCTGCATCGTTGACCGCTCCCGTTCGCGAACAACCTACACAGTAGGCCGAATCTCGACCAGTGACGACCGCTTGGCCAGTGACGTGCCGTAAACTTACCGCCTTTGTGCTGCCATCCGTCTCTTTAACTTACACCTTCAGCCTTTTTCCCCTTCCCCCCTCCCTCTTCTGCCCCTTCCCCCCGGACTCCCGCAATGCGTCGTCTCGCAGCCAGAGCCGCCTCTTCCGCGACTGCCGGCCGTGTTGCCTCGCTCAGCTCGTCCAGCGCGCCTCGATCTGCTCTTTTGCTGTCTTCGTCCGTCTCGCCTCTAAAAAGGATGTCGCCGCCGTCGCCCAAGGCAGCCACCTCGGCTGCTGCCATCCGGAGGCTACATGCCACGGCCCAGCACTTCCAGAATATCACTCCGGCCTTTGGCCTCAACAGCACCGCAACCAGCTACCCGACATCCCACGACAAGGTCGAGCAGTATGAGACCCCGTGGTTCATCGACAACGAGTTCAAGCCCTCGGCCACGACCGAGTTCATCGATGTCCATGACCCGGCCACCAACAAGCTGCTCACTCGCGTGCCGCAGAACACAGATGAGGAGCTCAAAGCTGCTGTTGCCTCGGCACAGAAGGCCTTCGAGTCATGGCGCAATACGACTGTGCTTCACCGGCAGCAGATCATGTTCCGCTTTGTGGCCCTGATCCGCGAGAACTGGGACCGTCTGGCCGCTAGCATCACCCTTGAGCAGGGCAAGACTTTTGCCGATGCCAAGGGTGATGTGCTACGCGGGCTGCAGGTTGCTGAGGCTGCCTGCGCTGCTCCTGAGCTGCTTAAGGGCGAGGTACTCGAGGTTGCCAAGGATATGGAGACCCGTACGTACCGCGAGCCCTTGGGCGTCGTGGCCGCCATTTGCCCCTTCAACTTCCCCGCCATGATCCCGCTGTGGTGCATTCCCATCGCCACGGTGACGGGCAACACCATCATTCTCAAGCCGTCTGAGCGTGACCCCGGCGCGGCTATGATCCTGGTCGAGCTGGCCAAGAAGGCCGGTTTCCCCGAGGGCGTCATCAACGTGGTGCACGGCGCCCATAAGACGGTTAACTTCCTTCTCGACGAGCCCGCTATCAAGGCCATCAGCTTCGTCGGCGGCAACAAGGCCGGCGAGTACATCTTCAGCCGTGGCTCGGCCAACGGCAAGCGTGTGCAGGCCAACCTTGGTGCCAAGAACCACGCTGCCGTTCTTCCCGACGCCAACAAGAACCACTTCCTCAACGCAGTCGTCGGCGCGGCCTTCGGTGCCGCTGGCCAGCGCTGTATGGCCCTGTCGACACTCGTTACGGTTGGTGAGACCAAGGACTGGCTGCCCGAGCTGGCTGAGCGCGCCAAGGCACTGCAGGTCAACGCCGGCTTCGAGCCCGGCGCCGACCTGGGCCCCGTCATCACACCCCAGAGCAAAGCCCGCATCGAGTCACTGATCGCCTCGGCCGAGGAGGAAGGCGCGACCATCCTGCTCGACGGCCGCGGCTACAAGCCGGAGAAGTACCCGGACGGCAACTGGATCGCGCCGACCATCATCACCAACGTCAAGCCGCACATGCGATGCTACCGCGAGGAGATCTTTGGCCCCGTGTTGGTCGTCCTCAACGTCGACACGCTGGACGAGGCCATCGACCTCATCAACGCCAACGAGTACGGCAACGGCGTGGCCATCTTTACGCGCAGCGGCGCCACGGCCGAGAAGTTCCGCCGCCGCATCGAAGCTGGCCAGGTCGGCATCAACGTGCCGATTCCTGTGCCGCTGCCTATGTTCAGCTTCACGGGCAACAAGAAGAGCGTTGCTGGCGGTGGTGCCAACACCTTCTACGGCCGGCCCGGCATTAACTTCTACACGCAGCTCAAGACCGTTACAACCATGTGGAGCCAGGAGGATGCACTGGGCAAGAAGGCCGATGTAGCCATGCCTACACACAGCTGAGGGAATGATGAATTGATTATAACGAAAGGATTGTGTTAGTTAGGTTGGCAGGCTCTGTTATGTATTTATCATAGTTGGCATGGAAGCTGGAGTTAGAACAATAGCATTGTTTTCTTGGGGTTGAATCTGGATTCATCATTTCTCTCGAGGCTGCGATTATATGATACCGCGTCAAAGACGGGAATGAAGACACCCATCAGTCACATGCTGGGCTGAGATCAGTTCCCAAGGAACTGCTTTTGGGAACTCTTCAAAGTACGACAAACAACCGAGTATAGGGACTGGCCGGACTGGTAGAAAAATATAATGTCTATTGCCTGGCAGAGCCGGGTGTTTTATCTGATGTACAGGCGATGCAAGCCTTTCCATTTTCATGCCCATTCCCCAAAAAAGCCCAGACACCCAAATGCCTTTTATTGTTCCTAAGCATACTCTGTTGCAAACCCAAGCCCAAACAAAACAAAAAAAAAAAACAAAAACACCAACACCTTTGCCATGCATGCAACATTCCTCATTCCAGGCTATGCATCCAACCAAGACATCAGACCTATTAGACAAAGACCATCTCACGCAAACTCAGTAATCTAGCGCCTCGCCGCTCAAGATGCCCCTCAAAATGCCTTCTCCCAAACCCTCCACAGCAGCCTCGACCTCCTTCTCACCTACACAACTAGCAACTCTCTTCTCATCCAGCGCCAGGCCACTGCCTGCACAGCCGCCAGCGCCAAAATAAAACACATCCTTCTTCTTCCTGCCACCGCGGCTCGGCGTCTGCGGGGCCGATGAACACGTGAACGACCCGTTCTTCCCGTCCATGGGGGCAATGAGCGACAGAGCCTCTAGCGAGCCAACCACCTCACGGAACTCGGAGCTCGATAGCGGGTGTAGAAGCGAGTCGCGCTTGCAGAGATGGCAGTAGGCCTCGTAGAGGGACTTAACAGTCGGTGCTGAGATAGTGGGGCCGCGACGTGAGGGGGTAGCGGTCTGTTGCTGCTTCTCCAAGGCGGCGCGGTTGCGCTTCTCAATGGCCAGCAGCGAGCAGAGCGCAGCTTTTTGTTGGAGATTGAGAGTCTTGAGACGCTGGGCGGGGCCGTTGCTGAAGGCGGCGGCGGTGACTTTGTTGAGATGGGCGATTGTCACACGCGGGGCGGTCTCGATGGTGAGGCTGGCCAGGGACTTTGTCAGGGCCGAAGCGACGGAGGATGGAGTAGATGGGACAGGTGTTGCCAGGTTGCGGTTCTCGGCGAGCGCGACCTTACGCGACGGGGTAGACTGGAGCAGCTTCTCCTTGGCCTCGGCCTCGTACTTCATGCGGGTTTCGTTCTCGACCAAGTCGATTGCGCGGCGGCAGATCTCGAAGGCACGGCGCAGATCACCTGTTTGGCTCGAAACCTTGCGAGAGCACAGCTCAATTGCAGCTGGGTGAAAGAAGGGAGTGAAGTCCTTGTTCGGTGAGTCCTTTGGGACCAGACTTCTCAGCCGGGTGATGATAATATTCTTGACCTGGGCTGCGGTGTAGGGTAAAAATGGAAGAAGCTCCGGCTTGAGATTGCGCGACTTGAGACGCGGGAGGAAGCGATCGGTCAGGTCGAGCGCGTTGGCAATGCCCACCAACGTGAGCCGAGATGTCGGTTGCAGGGACCACTCGAAGACGCGGTACAGGCTCTCAGGGTCTAGAGTGAGGATGTGGTCGATTTCATCCAGAACGACCAGATACACGTCAGTGGTCGGCTTCTTGCGGATAAAAAGCCTCTGAAGGGCAGCAATAAGGTCGGCCTCGATCAGGGCTTCCTCGACAGCGAGCTGGTCGAGCAGAGTGATGTATAGGTCCTTGGAGGACTTGATGCTCATGCAGTTGATGTAGGCCTTGCGGATCGACTTGGATTCGGACGCAACCTCGTCGGTGATCTTGGTGACCATGGCACTCTTGCCGGTACCGGGAGGCCCGCTGACATAGAGACAGCCACCTGGGCGGTCGGTACTGCAGCGAGCCAGGAACGTCTTGAGCTGAGCGCGCTCCTCATCGCGGCCGATCAGGTCCCCAGGGTCCGCGCTGCGAGAAAAGAGTTGCCTGGCCTGATGGTAAATGGTCTGAAGCGTGTTAGGAGTAAAGGGAGTTTGAGGTGTTCCTCGACGCGAGATACGGCCGACCGACATGACGCGGTGGCGCGGCGTGGTGGCCGCTCCCCTGCTGGTGGTAGCGAGGGCATCATAGTGGCGCGGAGTCGACGGAGTGACTGGAACAATGGTCGGGGTCGGCTTAACAGTCGCCGTCGAGGCCCGGCTCACCTGGGCCTTCTTAGGAGTCGAGTCGGCCTCGGGAGACTCGCGCCGGGGCTGCTGGTTCTCCTCGTTTTCAACATCGTCGATCGTGGGAGAAGGAAGCTTCTTTTCGGCGGCACTTGCACTTCTGAGAAGACGGCGAGGCCGCTTTGCCGGAGACTCGGAGACAGCTGCAAGCTGGGCGAGCTCGCTTTCCGCTTCCTTGGAGTTGCGGGTTCTCTTTCCGAGTGTCGTGGACACCATTGCTGTGATCTGGTACTAAGTCCAATTAACGTAGCAATTGGGTAGACAGGAAGCAGCAGACTGGCGATACAGTATTGAGGGAAGGTGTTGATTCGGTTGGGATTGTTGATGATGTTGTAGAGGAAAGCGGGAGGAAGATGGGACCTCCTGGCGCTAGTAATTGAAGAAGGATGCATCGCGAACGCGACCGCGTCTCAGTGGGCGCGATGCGCGTACAAAGGTAAGAGGAACGCGACCTAATTAAACGCGTGGCTGGTGCCACGGCATGGCGCGCGGCGCAGGGCTCCCAGTGGGGCACATGTGGCTCGTGTACCATCAGGATCCCTTGGCATCGGCTTATATAATTCCTGGCATGCGTGACATACCGTATCTTATCAGCCCCACCTTGATTCCCCGCATATCGTCATCAAGCGTGTGGAAGATGGCGAACTCCGTTGGTCCCAAGATCAAAGACTGCGGGCCATACACTGGCAAGAACATGGATGGGGCCGGCCGAGATGCAGTTCAGATGCAGGAGAACCCAGGTCACGATGCCCATGATTCAAGGGGGCAAATGGGGGTTGCGATAAGGTTCAGTAATGCTGGTGGTTGAGCTTCACCTCCAAAAAGCAAGCCACTCGCTTGGTCAGCGCCACTTTTGCTGTTGTATCCAAACAATGGAGCAAGATAGTCGCGAATTAAAGGATCCATGTTGTTGTGGTTTCTGTTGCGGTCCTTGCAACAACCACTGTCTTACAACAGGGCTAACTCACGTCTTTTCGACATCAACACTTGGCTGAGAACTACTAAGCCCTGTCCAGATTTAAACTCCAAACTCAGATCTCACCACCATCATGGGCCCAAACCCTCCGGCAGAGGGCTACAATCCATCCGTCGAACTCCTCCGTACAACCGAATACCCTCAGCTGTCTAACGCCGTCTACCTTGACCATGCCGGCACAACGCCCTACGCGCGGTCGTTGATCGACCGCTTCGCCCGCGACATGACGACTACCTCGATGCTGGGCAATCCGCATTCGGCTTCATCCTCATCACAGCTGGCCACAGCGCGCATTGAGGATACCCGAGTGCGCGCCCTGCGTTTCTTCGGCGCTGACCCGGCCTTGTTCGACTTGGTGTTCGTCGCCAACGCAACCGCGGGGATTCGGCTCGTCGCCGATGCTCTGCGATGCGACCCATCTGGCGGGTTCGATTACGTCTATCACCTGGCGAGCCACACAAGTTTAGTAGGTGTCAGGGAGGAAGCAAAGCGGAGTGTATGCGTGGACAGCGCGCAGGTTGAGGGTTGGCTGGACAAGGGAGCATCTCCTTTCGAAGGTGATAACTTGGAGGGAGAAGAGGATCGGCCAATTTTGTTTGCTTACCCAGCCCAATCGAACATGGACGGCAGGCGATATCCCCTCAGCTGGCCTGGGAGGTTCCGCAGGAGCCAGGAGGCTGCTAGGCGGAGAGCATATACCTTACTAGATGCTGCCGCGCTAGTATCTTCCTCGCCGTTAGATCTTAGCGACGCCGAAACGGCCCCCGATTTTACGGTGCTCAGCTTCTACAAGATCTTTGGCTTCCCAGACCTGGGAGCCTTGATCGTCCGGCGAGGGGAGGCCGAAGAAATATTCCAATCGCGGAGGTACTTTGGTGGAGGTACAGTCGATATGGTTGTCTGCTTAAGGGAGCAATGGCATGCTCCAAAGACTCAGTTTGTACACGAACGGCTGGAGGATGGAACGCTGCCGGTCCACAGCATAATAGCACTTGATGCAGCATTGGACGTACACCAACAGTTGTTTGGGTCGATGGCCGGCGTTGCGGCGCACACAGCGTTTTTGACGAGAAGACTCTACCGCGGACTACAGACGTTGAGACATTGCAACGGGGAACCTGTTTGCGTTCTCTATTCGGCAGATCCCGATAAAATGGAGAACGGACAGCGTAGCGGTCCTATCATTGCCTTCAATATCCGCAATAGCATTGGCGATTGGGTTAGTCTTGCAGAGGTTGAGAAGCTTGCGACGTTGAAGGGGTTCCATATCCGTACCGGCGGTGTCTGCAATCCGGGCGGTATTGCATCAGCCCTGGGACTCCAACCATGGGAGATGAAACAGAACTTCAGCGCAGGCTTCCGCTGCGGGACGGACAACGACATCATGGCTGGAAAACCCACAGGAGTGATCCGGGCCAGCCTCGGTGCCATGAGCACCATCACTGATGTAGATAGTTTTGTGGCATTTGTGGACGAGTTCTACCGTGATGTGCGAGCACCGTCACCAACTCCTCTGACTAGACAGCTCGCTCCTCCAAGGGAATCCCGACCGTCTCTCTATATCTACAGCCTCTCCATCTTTCCAATCAAGAGCTGCGCCAAGTTCGAGATCCCGCCTGGGGTCGACTGGGAGGTAAGGCCAGAGGGTCTTGCCTGGGACCGGGAGTGGTGTCTGGTTCATGAGGGTACTGGCCAGGCACTCAGTCAGAAGCGGTACCCGAAGATGGCACTCATCCGACCCCGTCTTGACTTGGAGCAAGGCTTGCTACGGGTTCGCTACACAGGAACACTGCCTGACAAAGTCCCCGAAGAGATCAGCGTCCCATTGTCCAAAAACCCTGCGCTATTTCAGCGTCCTACGGCCTCACAATTCAGACCGTCGCTCGTATGTGGCGAAGAAATTACCGCCCAAACGTACTCCAGTCCTGAGATCAACAGCTTCTTCTCTGCCGTTCTCGATGTACCCTGTCAGCTCGCACGCTTCCCGGCCGGCGGTCAAGGGAAGAGTATGCGACACGCCAAAGCACATCTGCAGAAGCACCAGCTCTCGGGCTCATCCAGACCCAGCCAACCGTTAATGACCGCCAATATGCCAGGGGCATTCCCCGACGGACCGCCATCTCCTCCCGACTCAGATTCGGAGAAGAGGGTTCCCCGTGCAGGGCCAGCAGCACCTCGTCGCATTCTGCTTTCCAACGAAAGCCCCATCCTGGTCATCACCCTACCCAGCGTGGACGCACTTAACCGGGAGATTCAGTCGCGCACTTCTCATGTCTCCTCGCCGAAAGAAAGCAAACCCATTTCACCGGATGTCTTCCGCGCCAACATCGTCCTTGCCTCTTTTGAGCCAGAAGCAGTCCAGCCCTACGCCGAGGACTTGTGGGACTCGCTACATATCATTGACAAGCGTGGCCGGGCACATGCCTTTGACATGCTGGGAGCGTGTCGTCGGTGCTTTATGATCTGCATCGATCAGGATACCGCTGAGAAGAGGGAAGAGCCGTTTGTCACGCTCTCGAAAACGAGACGGTTCGATGGAAAGGTGTTCTTTGGGGTGCATATGGGGCTTGCTGAGGGGGCAGAGGGAGTGCCAACGATCAGGGTTGGGGATACGGTTGCTCCTTCGTATGACTGAAGACAGCAAGCGGACAGTTTGAGGGTAGTGTAAGCGTAGAGTTGAGTTGGCGTCGGTCTGGGGAAGATGGTTAATGTTGGTGCATGGGTTCAAGGGGTGTTAATGGAGTTGTTAGTGCAGGGGACTTGTGTTTTGAGCATGATGTGGAGTCGGTATGAATGAAGCAGAAAACGGCACGTTTGTTTTTCACTGCATTTTCTGACTAGAAGAATCGAAATGAAACTATGGTGAAGCCTACGGATACTATTAAAAGATATTTCTTCCGTGGGGAATCTGCAGGGTAGGCAGACAGCCGCGTTCACCTGGCTGGTTTCTGCTGGCGTTTGACTCCTTGACTTGGGTACCAGGTTAAACCGTCCAAGTGTACGAGAGGTGAGCGATCAATTCAGCTGGACTCCAGGTCTTGCCGCTCACAAAACCATCACCTCATTCCCCTCTATATAACTGTATCAATAATGATCGGCACTTCAGACTCTCGTGGTCATCCGCTCCTTTCTGTGTTGGTTCCAATCAGCTTTTCGATTCCTTCTGCTCCCGTCCGGATGCAGGGATCTCGGGAAGATCCGTTGTGTTTGGGCAACTGGATGCAAACAAACTGCGAGTGGGATTTTAGTCTGTGCGTGGCTGGCTGGCTGGCTGGCCCCGGATTTTTTTTGGAACTTTGGGCACTTTTGAATTTTTGTTTTTGTCGCCTTTTCCCCGACTTTTTAACGCGCGCTTTGCTGCGTTTTCTTATGGATTCGTTTCCCCTGTCGTCCAAGTCCTGATGTAACATGACAACCACCACGCGTAATCGTGTATCATCATCGCTAGCTCCTCTCCTACCTCACTGTTTCCTTTCCTGGAATTCCCTGACGCTAACGCTATGACCACGGCCAACCTCACCCTTGGGTCCGGTACAGACCCCGCCGCGGACCCAACGACCACGACGCTCTCCATACCCCCCGACGTCTTCTATGACCGTCAGTTTAAGGCTGCCTTTGAAACCGCGCATGCTTCTGGCCGTCTGAAACCCCTCGTCTTCCCTATCTCCTTTCTCGGCAGTGTCATCCTGCCCGTCCTCTACCTATCTGTCCCGCATACTACTCGCCCATGGCTCTACCGTCTGCGCTGGGCCGTCGCTGCAGCCGTTGTGGCCCTCAATGTCCGTCTCATGCAGACGACGTCGGCTGCTAATGAAGCTATCGCCTACGGTACGGGATTAATAGCTGTCTGGGGCACTATCTGGGCGCTGAGGATGCTTATATTCACGCGGCCGCAGTGGGAGGCAGCGAGGATTGTGCGAGTCCCCAAGGGAGAAGCAGAGGAGGGACGTGAAAAAAAGGTTGTCAAGGCCGACGTGGCCCTCGACGAGTCCGTCGCCGCCGCCCTGGAAGACTACGACTACGTCTGGCAGCCGTATCCTGCCAGAGCACCATTCTTGACTCGCCTGGGCTGGTCGATAGACTTGTTGATCTGTTTTCGAGGCGCGGGTTGGAACTTGGCCATCTCGTCTATTCCACAGCCCCCTCCCCCGTCACCTCGTCTTTTCCGATCTAAACAGCCCATCCTCGTCCAGATTGCGTCCATTCCCCTTCACTCTCGAACGGGAATCTTCCGTTCGCAGACCTATGCTTCCTTCCTCCGCGACCGCCTATTCCGAATGCTTGTTTCCTGGATGGTCCTTGACGTACTCACCATCACCCTTCGTAAGGACCCCTACTTCATCTTCGGACCCGAGCCGGTCCCCAGTAACAATAACCCCTTCCCATCCATCCTCCCCAGCGACTTGATGGCCCCTACGGTACCCGAATTTCTTCCCAACCTTCCTCTCAAACAGTATACTCTCCCACTCCTCCGCAACGCCTGCGCCCTCGCAGGCATCTGGTCCGGCCTGGAATTTTACACCTCGATCGCCCAGCTAGCCTTCGTTTTTCTCCCGTTACTTCTCGTCCCTCGCCGGTTGCGGGGGGCTTGGTGGCCGGGAACCGATCTCTGGGCGAACCCCTCATTATTTGGAAACTTTGTGAGCTGCGTGTTGGATAAGGGGCTCAGGGGGTTCTGGAGCGGTTGGTGGCATCAAACCTTCCGAGCAGGGTTCCTCGCTGGGCCCCAATGGGCTTTAGCAAAGGGACAAAGCAAGCACAAGCATGGACATGGGGAGTTCGATGCGACTGCTGTGATCCAGATACTTTGGGCGTTTCTTCTTTCCGGGCTGTTGCATGGTGCAGGCGGGCACACCTCGTCTCGTGAGAATACTGTGCTTTGGGAACCAGTGATGTTCTTCATGTTGCAGGGCGCTGGTGTGTTGCTTCAGACATGGATCGCCCGGCTGGCGAGGCCGGTCATGGCTGGATGTGGAGTATCTCGGACATGGCGGCGCGTGGGTAACTTGCTGTTTGTGCTGGCCTGGCTTCATGTAACAGCTTGGTGGCTGATCGACGACATGAGCCGTGCGGGTCTTTGGCTGTTTGAGCCGGTTCCTATGTCGTTCTTAAGAATAGCTGGGTTCGGGAGTAAGGGAGATGAGAACTGGTGGCGTTGGGGTGGAAGATATGGGTTCAGGTAGTATACCGCCCCAGATGGGAGATGGTGGGAGAGTGGATTCATGTTGTGATACCTGAGCTTTGTTTAGAAAATCGAAATAATGTCAGGTTGCTGGTTTGGAGACAGACAGACGCTGTTCGTACCGTCCAGAGCGTCAATGATAAGGATTTTGTGGTATTAATAGACAAAAGTAAAGAATAGACTCCTCCGTGGCCCTTGAGTCTCATTCCATGTCCTACTTTTGAACTTAATGCAGTTCCGATTACGTTGCCTGCCATACAACCCGCTAGCTCGTCGTGTTGCTACAAAGTCAAATCACTCCAGCATTCCCCGACATCCTACTCACTTGACTCAACCCTCCAATGAGGAAAAACCAAACACCAATCTTACCATAACATTATGAAAACTAGAAGTGACAGAGGAGGATGGTATCCAAAACTAGAAGTCAAAACCGAAAGTAGATATCTTGTCACACAATCTGAATCTCTATCCTTTTGGTTTACTGTCCTGTCCACTCCGCAGATGGCACCATCCCCTCGAATGTGTTAAACCCGAGCTGGCCTGTCTCTGGGTCTGTAGGGAAAAGCATATTGATTGCGTCCTGCATATATGTCTAGATTAGCACTCATACACACACACCGATCATCACCGAGATAAACTTTAACAGAAGAACTCACCCAATCAATCTCCATCGCATTAACCGGCTGTCCCTGGCCGCCTTGCAAACTCAGACTCCCATGTCGACTCTGCGTCCCTCCTTGCCCTTGCTGCCCCTGAACAACCCCGTCACTGGCACTGGTAGTGCTGTTCTCGGGGCTGGCGGCGACCGTTCCCGGAGGAGGGGGCATCCCCCAGAGGGCTTCGCCGTTGGACACGCCGTGGAAGACCATTTCTGGAGATGAACCCAGATGATGGGCTGGCGGGAAGGGGAAAAAGGTTGCTGCGGCGGCGGAGGTGAGGTCGATGTGAGGGGCATGATGGGGATGGGGATGGTGTGAGGGTGCTGGGGGGATGTGGATTGGATGTTGTTGTTGAGGAGGAGGAGCATTGGTGTGCGCTGGGAGGTGTTGCTGATGGGCGTGTACGGGTCCAGCGGGTAGTCCTTCCATTACTATACCCATCATAGGTGGAGGAAGAACCTGTTGAAGAGCTGATGCTGGCATGCTGGGATAGTTGGCTACTTGAAGAGAGCGATGGACTTGCGGTGGAGGAGGTGGTGGTGGAGGGGGGGCGATGGGTTGTGTGCTTTGGTATTGCGAGTGAGGATGAACTTGAGGGACTGGCTGTTGAGAGGATTGTGAGTCTTGAGAAGGTCGTTGGGCCTGCTGAAGTGGTTGCTGCTGCTGCTGGGTTTCTTGCTTCGGCTCAACTTGCTGTTGCCTTTGTTGCTGCTTTTCCTTTTCATCTTGCCCGGGCTGTTGTTTCTGCCGGTGCTGCAGAGACGCTGCCGGCGGCGGAGCGTTCGACGACGGCGGCGAGTCCTTGACAGCCTGTTTTCCAGGGACTGCCCTTGCAATGGTAGTCGGGGCACGTACGCGACGCATTCCCATGTAGATGCTCGTCTTTCCCATAATCTCGGCCAGCAGCTTGACGATCTTTTCATCCCGAGGCATGTTGGGATCCAGGTTAAAGACCCAGTCCAGGCATGGCCAAATGCGCGGGGCGTGCGTGCTGTTAGGCCGGTAATACACCTCTGTCGCCAGCAACAGGGCGATCTGGTATTGCTGGTAGGCGCCCAGGTACCAGGCCCAGTCACGAAACAGGGCGTTGCTCTCCAGCTTGATGGCGATTTCGACGATAAAGATGCCGCTTGTAACTAGCAGGCCGTGTAGACGGTCAGGCAGCGGGTTGGCCGTGTTGCTGTGGTACGGATGCAGCACCATGGCGTGCAGGCGGTACATGAGCAGCTGCATAACCAGCTTGGTGTACTGCTGGATGGGCACGCGCTCATCGAAGAAGCGATTGTACTTGTCCATTAGCCGCCGTCGGAACTCCTCGATCTTGGTCAAAACTGCAGTGATCGTTGTCTTGCGCAGTTCCAGATTGCGTCGGTCCTGCCAGATGCTACGCATCATCTCGTTAATCTCGAAACGGATTATGGACAGCAAGGCCGGCGTCCAGCGCTCGGCTGGAGGAGGGCTCTCGGTTGTGTCTGCCCGCAGGTCCGTTTCTTCACAGTTAAGGGGCAACTTCGTGTCGTACTCGCCGCGTCGGATGGCCGGTCTGGGGCCCTGGGCTTCGCATGTGCGAATATCCAGGAAGCAGATCTGATGCCAGATCAGCCGCCGCACCTCGGTCTCGACTGCACTGAAGTCGAACGCCGAACCATCGCGGTGCAAGCCCATACACTCAGCCATACGGATAGCAGCCCCAACAAGCACCGAATGGCCTCGAGAGACCTCATCGCGGCAGAGTGGAAGCTGTCGTGCATTAGTCACTGATGGTCCACGGATGAAACATAGAGTATGCAAAGGACCCAAAACGTGGATGGCTTCTCTCGACTTACCAGATACATCACAAACCCCTGAAGTGTTTCCAGGCTCGTGGACCCCAGAAAACCAGCCTTGCTGAGTGCTGTCTCAGTGCCCAGCTTTGTCTGATTGATTAGCTGGTTCGCGGTATAGCCAAACTTTCCAGCAAAGGCATCATCGATAGTCACCGATGCGCTGAACCAAGCGGCAAATATGACTGCCTGTGTCGAAGCTCGCGGCACTACGTGATTGTTCACGTCTTCCCAAAACGACTGGTAGACGCGGTCAAAGGATGGTCGATGCACACAACGTGCAATTGGATGCACTGCTTCGTAGTAGCGCGCCATCAGGCTGTCGGCCAACTCTTGGTCCAGCAGCATGTCCCAAAAATCGTGCAGCTCGCTGCCCTGCCTGAACAAGTAGCCACTACGAGGAGGTTTGAGATAGCTATCACCAGGTCGGAGAAAGTCCGGGATCGCATCCGGCAGCTCGTCAGCGTCGGCAGAGAAGGTGGCATAGAAAGCTTTTTGGGTGTCGGCGATACCAGCTTGAATCTACGGAGTTAAGCAGGGGGCTATGCGAATGAGGGGAAGAATAAGCCAGGGACATACCTCCTCTGAGAGTCTCGGCCGGTTAAGGCCACCAATCCGTTCTGTGATCCTCATCCTCCCAACCCGGATCCCAAGATCGATCAGGTCGTCTGTTCCGCTGCCATCTGAGTACCCCTCGTAAGTCAGATCCAGCGCCACCATCGGCGTGATTTGCAGATCTCCCTCGTCGCCCCCATATTCTCTCTCAACTTCATCTGCTACAATATTTGCTCCCTTTCTCTGTCGTCTTCTCGAATGGTGGTATCTCGCACTGTGTCCCTTGCTTATGCCCTTCCCCTTTTCACCTGCGCCTGCACCTTGATCAGCGCATTTTCCATCTGCTTCCCCTTCAGGGTCTTCTTCATCACCATCGCTATCCCCATCGTCGCTTCCTCCTCTCCGTCTCCTCAGCCTTTGAAGGCCGTTGTCATTGACACTACTTCGCCCGCTACCGATGGAATAGCCCACAGCGCCACAACAGCTCCTGGCTGCCACAGCTGCCACGGCGACTTCCCTCTCCAGCTGTCTCTCAATCGACCCAACCTGCTCCTTGACTTCTGTCAGACGCTTCTGTCCCAGCTCGCTCAGATGATCGATGTAGACGCAGCCGCGGCCAAAGCGCTCGCAGTTGTAGCAGGGAGAGGCCTTGGAACATTTCAGCTTGCGTCGACGACATTCCAGGCAGGACTGGATCATGCGCATACGCCGACGAATGGGTTTGGGACTTGGAGGAGGGGGGGGTAGGGGGGTTGGAAGATCTGGGTCGTGGATGTGACGATGATGGTGCTGGTGTTGGGTTGAATTTGTGAGAGGGAGGTGGTATGTTGGGTTAGCTGACTGGTCGGCCGGAAAGTGAGCTTCGCGGCCATTGTTGTCGTCAGCTGAATTTGTAGCCGTCACTGGCTCAATCAGATTTGAGGTAGATGGAGCAGGTGTGGTTGAACTTGGCAGAGACGGGAGTGCTGGCATCGCTGCCAAGCTGTTTCGGCGCGGCTCCAGCGGCCCATAACTACCGGTGACATCGCCTACATTGGCTTCGACGGCAAGGGGGGCAATCCGTACGGAATGTTGGGGCGAAACAACGACTGTGCCCCCTACATCGCCTTGGCTCTGCCGACCCGGTGCCGTCGTCGCGGGATGTGCTTGGTAAGGGGCAGCCATTGGCATCGCTGTAGTGCTGTGGTATGGGAGGGAGGACCGGGTTGGAATCCCACTGGCTGAGTCGTGTGGCGCAACCTTTCCGAGTGTTCTTTGACCGATAGGTTTTGTCGTGACTTGTGCCAGGACTAAGTCTTCAGATATTGGTGTAGGTAAAATTTCCTGATTTGGGAAGCCTAATGGATGATAGGATCGTCAGAGTAGTTAAACGGGGGCTAAGCGCCACAACACCGGTGTCGAGGTGGCCCTTGGCCTCATCTATATAATGGGTAGGCATATATATTTCTGAAATGAGAGAGCAAAAGCGAACGGTCGCGCTTTCTGTATGTCGATTCGCGGTATGAACGGTCTTCGTTCGGCCTGATACTGTTCAGTTCTCGTGATCTTCAGTGCCAACGCCTTGATACGAGCGACAGCAGCCGCAGAAATCAGTACCTGCAGTCTTTGTATGGGCACACGGCACTGAGCTCGTCAGCAAGAACAGCAACAAGCGCAGAAACCTGCTTCCGGAACGTAACTGCCGCTCTTCCGGAGCGCCGCTTACAGGAAGCTATCGATCAAACTAACAGTGTCTGTTCACCACTACCGGCCTTTGCGGAATCCGTTGAGTCGGGTTGCTGCCTGAGCTCCCCGGTGGGAGGTGGCATGTGTGAGACAGAAACAACAGTCCAACCAGCGGGGTTCAAAATCTTGCTCGAGGGAAGAAGAGGACAGGGACTCGGGAGATAGGAAGGCGAGGATGTCAATTGTGTGAGCAGGCAAGCCGAAAATGCCACACGACCGGACTAGAAGCGACGGGCCGATGGATCAGAAACGATGCTTGCAGGGTTAAAATCGATCGACGTCGATTATCGGGGCTTGAGAGCGGCGAGCTGCACAACACCGGCCAGAATGTTGTTTTCAAGTGGGTAGACAGCGACAAGATGGCGTTTTGGTGACAGAGAGACGTGTGAGGGGTCTGCAGGACGGGGACTGGCAGCAGTATGGTACAGTAACAGCACAAAAATAAAAGAGAATGGTGAGCGATATCTAGATGTCCGGCGAATCAAGACCAGGACCGGAGCGAACAGCAGCTGACCGGCAGCAGGGCTGGGTCAGACATGCAGACAGGCGAACTAGTGTGGCAAACGTGTTCCTGGCTGTGCAGGCGCCGAGTACTTATGACGCTTTTGGGCCTGTGTAGGAGTTCTTTTGACTTCGCCGTGTATGTTTATGACGATGTCGGGGTGATCCCGTCTACCTGGCACTCGAGATGGCCCGGATCGATGCCCAAGACCGCCCTAGCTGAGGAACTGGCAGGGTGGTTGGAGTATCCAGAAGATGAGAGATAATGACTGCACAGGCCGGGATGGTTTGACTCTGACTTGGGGCCACAGCAGGGTGCATGAAGCTGCAGCATGCCCCGGGGGGAGCAAGAAGCAGGAAGCAGGCCGACGCTGAGCACTCCCTGGGAGAATTACGGGCCGGACCTCGCCAGCTCGCTTTGGTTTGTCGTGCTGCTGTTGACGTGCTCTAGAGTAAAGTCTGCTCTTTCTTTTTCGGCCTCTTTATGCAGTGTCCTTGTCCTGTATCCTGACTGTTCATTATTCAACTTCCAACATCTGGTTCATCTGGTAGTGTGCTATGTATGTTGGGAGCTTAGATGGCTTCTCTCTCAGTGAACAGTTCTAACCCTGGTGTCCTAAGCAGATAGGTGGCGCGTCGCAGAGCCTGGCGGCCATTCCCGGGAACACACGAGACAGCGCAGGCTTGTCATTATGAGGAGCACCCCCTGAGCGACCTTATCTTCGTGTCCCCTTATACGGCGGTTTCCGCTGCCCGGTTTGCTTGAATAACGAGGCTGCTCGTCTAGTCTACTAGTTCCGCCATGCTCATTCACGTCACAGACCAGCTGAGCTGGGCTTGTACAGTGCACTCTGGCCCGGCAAGTTAGTTGGCAGGATGGGGCTAGTTGCTGACTCAAGCGCCCTCGTGTCACATACTCGATGCCGACGCTTGGTTGGCAAAGGACCCTGACCCTTGCTTGATTGCTTGCTTTACTGACTGCCTGATTGCTGGCTTGCGTGTCCCGTCTTGTTCATATCCTATCCGTTGGTCCACGAGTATTCACTTGTTGACTTATAGACGACTGCTGCCTTTTTGATTCTTTACAAATGTAAATTAATACTGATAGTACCAGGCGGACTGAAGCTGGCAGGACCAGGCCATTTTTAAGTTGCTTCATCAAACCTAGTCTTTAGTAGGTTCTGGTGATGTCTCGCACTGGCTACGGCTTAGCCGCCAAACACAGAGAGGTTGGATAAGCTTCGGATATGCATGTATTTGGGCTGCGCGAGGGCTTTGTGACTGAGATCGAACGGTAGCGGCAGGTCAAATAATAACAAACCAACGCTTCCTGTCTCTCGTGACCCTTCCGTTGCCACAGACTACTCATCCTGAAACTGCACCATTGTCCGGAGCTGATTAACTTAGTGTCTTGCCGGGGAGCTCTGACTAAATGTTCTTCCTGATTGGCAGCAGCTTGTGGTGACTCTTAATCTCCCAAGAATATCCTGACAGCTCTACAAGCAAACTGCGAGAGATCGAAGCATGGTCGATGACGATCAAGTCTCCCAGTTAAGTCGAGCATGTGTACCCTTGGATGGTGCGTATGGCTGTCCTAAACCGTTGACAGCATTCTATCGTCTTCCTTCCTTGCTTGCTCTATATTAGGCTCTCTGTGCTGGCCTTGCCCGACCAGCGGGAAGGTAGACTCTTCGCTCGCGGCCGGACGGGACGAGATACTCCCGAGATCGCCGGTCAACTCTCCATGCCTGTTTTTCCCACTCTCCAGCCTCTGTTTCTGGGGGCCTTTTACGAGCCACAAACCAGAAAACTGCCTGCCTGCCACTTGGTAACAGTTGAATGCTTCCATGGCGCACAAACCACCGTTTGGGAGTGGCGTGAGAAGAGATATCCAACTGGAAGCCATATTTTTGTGCGACTGTGGCTTGCCAGATTGGGATTAATGCCTGCTAGCCAAAGAGCAAGATTTAAAGCATTTTTTTGTGAGCTTAGTCACGAAGACGCTGGGCTACTTAAAAGAAGATAGTTTCTTGTACTCCTCAAAGAGAGGCAAAGCTTGGCCAGGTCAACAACGACAACAACCCCTATCGTATGCTGAGATACACCCCCTTAAGCTTCTCCTGTCTTCTGTCGTCTTCTTCCAGAGAGCTTGTTATTCAGGCACCTATGTGGTGTCCAGGACTGTCCTTTCGGCTAGATCTGTGCGGAGAAGGCAGCACAGGCTGAGACATGTCATCTGTTGTCTTTTCGCTCCGGAGACCGTGTATAGTGAGCATCCGGAGGGGGCGTGGGGGTTTGTCGTGCATAAACTTGTCTCTTCCTCTGTTAACACACATGCATGTTGTCCCATCACTTGACGATATGGGATGTCGAGAATCAGTGGGCAGCAGCAGCATCGAGGTTAGGTCCCATCAGAAAGGAAGGTCGTAAACAAGGCGTACGACTGCAACACTCCCCGTTCAACGACCCAGACTGTATGCTGCCTCCCCGCGTCTCAGCAGGCTACCGTCGGGATGTGACGCTGAATACAGTGCAACAACCGTGACTACTAGTTTTTTGTTTCTTGAGTTCCGAGCTATTCAGTTAGGGTCGCTCAATAAACCAAGGTTTTAGTTCGAGGAGCAAAGGCAATCGCATGGCTTGAACAAAAACAGTAGCCTTCCTTTTGCCGTAAGAACGACGTCTTGCTAGAAGCATCATGGATGTGACATATTGATAGTTTAGTGTCACCTAGTTTTGGGCTTGTGTACGACCACAAACTGCAGTCGGTTTTTGATCACTTGTTCACAGCAGAAACTAAGGCCAGAAGAGGAAAAGTCAGAGAGCATTCTGAAAAAGACGAGGAAACAGCAGCCGGCATACGTAATGTAAAACACACATCCTGGCTCATCTGGACTTCACTTCCTTGGCCATAGACCTGTCCTCTCGGCCACACTGCATAAACATCGATCTGGCCCATGGTTGGCTTATCCGGAGTGGTGTGGAGAACGGGAACGAAAACAGCAGGATCTCTCCTTTCTTCAGATCACCAAGAGCGCGGAATCTGAGAGGACTGCGAGTGAGACATGCATGGCATCTGGTGGACCAACACAGATAGACAGGGAAGGCAGCCTTGGAATAAGACGAGTGAGTGTGATGAAAATCGCTTGCTCTATTTTAGGGCCATCGGAACACACACGATGACAACTGGGAGTGTGCGACTACCTAGTAGTCAGCTCAGCATATGGGGCAGCGTAATTCGTCAACTAGACATGGATGTAATCTAGTCGGTCCATTTAAACCCCCCACTATCCTGTTCTCTGGAATTCTGCGGAGGAACGAGACTCAGAAGCGAGCTTCACCATATCCCATGCTCAACCACCACCGCTTCAATCTGGACCTCCATTGTCTCAGAATGAGGCGACAAGAGAATGCGATTTGGATGCCGTAGTGCCTTTCGACAATGCTGAGGAACCATAACAGGCGTTTGGTTCTCCCGGGTTGATGCCGTTGCATATCCCTGATAACCACACGGTAGATGTTCTCAATCACCCTGATCGGGGGCTCGCGTTTGATGGCCCTGATGAACAGGTAGCACTGCGAGACATGACGGAATGCCACCCGGTCGGATATGTGAGTGGCCTTAACAAACGCATCTGATACCTTCGCTGCTAGCTCAGCCCTTTGTTGTCCGTATGCACCTCGTTGGTGCTGCAGCTTCTCGGCCAAAGTTGTTTTTCTCCCATCCATCCTGTAGATTCCAAGAGCCCGCCAGATCATCCTTGGCGGAAGTCGCGGATCGAGCACAATGGCATCAATGTATTTTTCAAACACTCCAGGATCAAATCTGTCAGGCGTTCCAGGCTTCCGTAGCTTGCGCCAATACAGTTCTTTTAGCCGTATTGCCATGCGATGGTTATCGCATACGAGAGCTAGCTGCTGTAGCATGTCCTTGGTCACTTTCTTTGAAGGCGTGTAATGTCGGAGAGACCAAAAGACTTCCCTTGTGCGGCCCAATTTAGCCATGAGCGTCCAACAACTGGTATATAGCTTAGTCACATGGTCGGGGGTTCCAGACCAATGAGCCCCTATCGCTGCGAGTAGTCTGGCAAAAGCTGTGTTATTTGGGCCTCGCCGGTATGCGTTATAAAGAACCCGACAGCGCTCCTCAGATGCCAGGTACCCATGACTCCGCCAGTGAAGGAATATCAATGCGCACAACTCCGTAGCTGTGATCGGCTTCATTGGCAACGATGCCTGGGAAAGAGCAACAATGCTGTCAAAGAAAAAGGTTTCGGAAACGTTGGGTAGCTGGGCAAGGGTGAGGAGCCAGCAGGATCGCAGCGTTCGGCAACTCTTTTCCATTTTGGATGCTTGCTCAAGGACAAGCTGGTTGGCCTGATGGAGGAAGCTGTCCACTTCCTGTTGAGGAAGAAGCTGCAGCATCCGCACGACTGTTTTGGGGTGACGCAAGAGCCACGGCATGTTTTCTGGATCGCAATGCAGACCTGCATCAGCTAGCAGAAGTTCCATGGTATTAAATGGGACGAGCTTCTTATCAGCGCCAGCCCAAGTAGAGAAGAAGGAACTGAGGAGTCGGAGTAGACCTTCTGCTATCGGTGGGCGGTCGGTTTCAGGAAGGACTTCTAGAGCGTCGGCAAAGTAGTTGACCACGCGGCAGAGCTCGTCGTCCGCAAATGGCTTTCTTGACAATTGGAGAAGCATGGTATTCCACAGCCGTGGATCCAGCATGGTAGGCGAGAACACGGAGGAAGTTGCCGAACCCCGGACGATAGCCCAGCAAAGGTCCAGAGCGGCTTTCCGACCGTAAGGGCACACTGAGGACTCCGTAATCGCAAAAAGCTCAACGACCAAGGAATATATCTTTTCCGAAGGGACCAGTCCGAGGTATATATGCTGTCTGAGCTTCTTAGCGATCGCCGTGATACGCCTCTTAACCTCGAAACCCCTCCGCTTCTGGACAGCTAAGCGGACGGCAGACATATCAAACTCGAGGGATGCCTGAACTTGTGCTGTATCTGTAACCGGGATATCGAGCGTTTCAGGAACCGCAGGGAATTCTTGGAAATCATCTACGAGCCTTTGTTGAGGACCTAGCCACTGCCGCACCAAGTCGGCCACACCAATGTCGTCGTAGGGAAAGCGGGATCGATTATGTTCGGCAGGACTTGAAGACCATAGCGACGGTGGCTGCCATGTCCAATGCGACAGATCTAGGGGCACCGGAAACATCCAGGGAGCGGGAGTTGGAGGCATGAGCTGGGTGCTAGCATCGCCCATGCGGCGCTTCCCCAGCCGACGCTGGCTCTCCAGCGGGCCAGGGATATGGGAAAGGCTTCGGTTCCATGCCCGGGAGACAGAGCAATACCGGTCGAAGGCGCTAACAAGCAGGCTATCGGTAATCCACACCGAGTAAGCCTGGAGGTTGGGAGCCACGACGGGGCGCTGGAGCGAGCGGCAGCACTTCGACATGGGAGCCTTCATTGCCGGGAGACGCTCTCTAAGGGTCGATGAAGGGGGCGCTGCAGGGACAGATCGTAAATCGACCCATTCGGAAAAAGCTTCATAGGGGAGTTTGGCCGAAGAGAGCGGCGTCGGAAGGGCCAATGCCTCTCGGCTCGTCGACGATCGACGAGGAAAGGTCGCAGACTGAGGCAAAAGACGCAGCTCAGTTGCGGCTCGTGAGCTTCTGCCACGGCCTTGGCACTGAAATATGGAGGGCCAGTGAGCCACAGGAGACATCGGGTATTGGCCCAGAGGTGTGGCTGGTATCCACGTATGCACCCCACTTGCCCCTGCAGATGTGGCTAGATCGATGAGAAACGCGGCCCCGCTTCCGAAGCTCGGTTGCCCCGCGTTGGCTCGGGGCATCTTGGTCAACTTGTGTGGGGCTTTCCCGGCCCCGACTCATCTTCTGCCGAGCCTCCGACACGGACGTGAGTGTGGACGTCTGGCATCTTGGAGGTCAACAGCAACAACAATGGCGGACCAGGACTTTGCCCCTCTGCAGAACGACCTACTCTTGAGGGCAGCATGGGGTATGTCTTGCCTTATGAAGGGTTGGGAGTTGCGGGGGAGAAGAAGAGCGAAAGGGAAAATGACAGAAAAGAAGAACGCGCTGCTGACATCTCAGGCCAAACCGTCGAACGTCCGCCTATCTGGGTGATGCGGCAGGGTGAGAATTAGCCCCATAATTGTCCATCAATCGCCAATCCTGATGTTCGTCCACTGACTACGACACCTAGCCGGTCGTTATCTGCCCGAGTACCATGAGGCCAAGGGCAACCGCGACTTCTTCGAGTGCTGCCGAGACCCCGAAGTCGCGTCCACGCTGACTCTGCAGCCAATTGAGCGCTATGCTGGTCTCATTGATGCTGCAATTATCTTTTCCGACATTCTGGTAGTGCCCCAAGCTATGGGCATGATCGTTGAAATGGTCGACAAGAAGGGCCCACACTTCCCCAACCCCCTACGGAGTCCTGGAGACCCTCAGTACGCCGAGATCATGCAGCGCCAGGTCGACGTTGCTGCAGAACTCGACTACGTTTACAAGGCAATTACCCTTACCCGCAAGAAGCTCAATGGTCGCGTGCCCTTGTTTGGCTTTTGCGGCGCCCCTTGGACCCTCCTGTGCTACATGGTAGAGGGCGGCGGCACGAAGTTGTTTAAGGAGAGTAAGACATGGATATATAAATATCCTGAGGAGACAAAGGCCCTCCTTCAGAAGATTTCCGAGGTCTGTGTTGAGTATCTCGCACTTCAAGTCAAGGCCGGCGCCCAGGTAGGTCCCTCACCGTCTAACCCGGCCATCTTCGCACGCTTGTAGAGCCTGCTGGCTAAACCACGCCCCCTTAGATTATTCAAGTTTTCGACTCATGGGCTGGCGAGCTGTCCCCTGCATCATTTAAGAAGTTCTCCCAACCTTACCTTGAGTACATCGCCAGAAACCTTCCCCGGAGACTTAGGGAGATGGGGCTGGAACCCGTCCCCATGGTGGTCTTCCCCAAGGGTGCATGGTACGCCCTTGATGCCGCATGCAACATGGGCTACAATGTTGTTGGACTTGACTGGCTGCATGACCCGGCTGAGGCCGTGAAGACTGTTGGTGAGCGGCCGATTGTCATTCAGGGTAATGCAGACCCTGGTGTTTTGTATGGCTCTCGGGCTGCCATTACAGAGGCGGTTGAAAATATGGTAAAAGGCTTCGATTGGAAGAACCGCAGGCGAGGTTGGATTGTGAATCTTGGACATGGTAAGTTTTTCTTTTCGCAGATGTCTTTTAAATAGGTTGCTGATATCACATATCATATAGGAGTTACACCATTCGTCAATCCGGATGATTTGAGATTCTTCTTTGAAGAGATCCATCGCCTGACAAAACTGGATGAACAGCAATAGAACATTAAATTATTCTTTCCGTTGTACAATATCTCCATAAGAATCGAAAGTCTTTGGACAGACTATCTATCCTCCCCGCGGGACATAATTACAACCGGCTGATTATGGATCCAGAACCAAGTTTGTCTAGATGAACCATAGCCCTGGTCCTTTCAGCAAGATGTTTTCGATTGACTGATTTCGCCGAACTTACCATGTCACGTTCCAGACAACTCTCGCTTCAGTACTGTTGGCCAACGCCTTGCTCGCGTGATTCATCATACCAATACAGGCAGACATCCATCCGTCTTTGGCGTTATTCTTGAGGTATTCGTATGCAAGCTTGCAGCAGACTGCTTTGGCCAGCCCAAGGCGTCGATATTGTTCCTACCTTGTTAAGCGATTGTCTGGTATTTAAAATGTCACGGGATCGACATCCTACCTCAACATAGCAGCCAATTATGTCTCCGTCAATACCTGTGGAGATCTCGTCAGCTACGCAGACATATAACGAGTGAATATCAGACTTGGGAGACATCCACTTACTCACAAATGCCCATGCGATAAGTCTTCCCTCGGCAAGACGAACACCCATACTGGGCAACGTCAACAAAATGTCTCTAGGTCAGGTTAGCCCACGCGTTCATCGCTGGCTCCTTCAACCACTTCATCTCAGAGATATGCACTCACTTTTTACGCCTCCTCACGATCTTACTGAGCACCAATTCCATATCCTCTTCCTGCACGTTATCCCACTTCATCCCCTCCGGCAGGGGTATTTCAATAGGGATTGAGGACAAGTCCTTCACCTGTATTGCCCACCTCTCCCAGACTCCCAACCCTCCCACGATGCGGGTTTCCTTTTCCACATTTTCAACGTAGTCCAGCATCACGTCGCGCGATCGCAGAGCCATTGCCGTAGCGACATGGAGAGGGCCAACCTGGATAAGTGAATCCCTGGAGCCTTTGGCGTTGCCCCAACCACGGTAGTTTACTGAAAGAGCGATTTCCTTGATCCGGTGAAAAAGTGCAAGGACGAGGTTGACTTCCCTCTGCGCTTCTTCACTTTCTTCTAATTCTGGTTCTTCATGTTCTTTTGCGTACGCCAATCAGTGCGCTGTCCTTGGGCTGGTTTGGGGAGGGGTATATATATCTACCATCAAGAGTCAAGCATACACCATGTCGATCCTCCAACGTGCAGTACACAATGCACTGCGACTCCGGCTTGCGCGAGAGATCGACATATGCAGCTGCGAATGGTCCCGAATGGTTGTACACGCTGTCCTCAGAGTACGTTCCCCCGTCCGGAAAACAATAACGGGCAAACAAGATTCGCCCTCCGCAGAGCTCGTTACTCTGCGCTTTCTGCTGTCTTTTTGCAGCAAACTGGAAGCAACGAAATACTAGAAGGGAATAAGGGAGATGAGATTCAAGAAGGGCTAGAAGTTTTGGAGATGGGTTGGTTGATTCTGAGAGGAAAATGTGATGTGAAAGCTGGAGAATGTAGTTTGAAGAGACGGACATCCTTAGGCCAAGAGCTTCGGGGAGGGGAACTCAGAACAAGGAATAATATGAGCAACTATACACAAGTGCCATCTGGCAAGTCTCAGGCGGCTAGATGATGGGTTGATGAATTTCTTTATATAAGTGTCTGCACGGCCAAACCATATCTCGGTATGTTTAACTGTAACAACGTCATCTGCGTCAAGACCCATTCGGTCGCCGAAATGCTGGAACCGGCCGGGGAGAACGTCTATTAGATCGTCGAGAATCTAGGCTCTAGAAGGTAAGGCCCAGTCTGACCGCCGCATCTTCCCTTGCCGCTGGAAGAAGTACGAAAAGGTGGGTATTGAGAATTGGTTTCAATGAGACCTGCGTGTTACAGTAGAGGACTAAACTATCTCTTAGAGAAGCCCCGTTAAGGACATCCTTTTCACACAGATAGTCAGGCTTGACAGGTTGACAACATATTAGATGTCTTATTCATATACTGTGGCCGAGGTCTTAGATGCGCCATATCAGATGTCCCATATCCATCGAGGCGGATGAGGGAAATGGTTGTCCTGAGAGGACCCTCATGTCAACATTGTGATCAGCGTCTTAAGTCGTTTTCGGGAGCTCCTAGTGAGGTAAGGACATCTTCGGGCGGATACGAAACATGTGGAGTATAGTAGATCAGAGAAGGTTTGGACCAGTAATGGGAAGAGAGAACCCAAAATTGCATTCTCACATCTCTTATGCACTCCTATGGCTAGAGTGTGTAGTCTTTGAAATGAAGCCCCATAGATGCCCCTTTGTCATGAAGATCGACCGCTTCCAGCTACAAGACAAACATAACAACCAGTTCTTGCCACAACCCAACGCCAAAACCCCCTGGGTATGTTATCACGAGAAACAAAATCCGCACCCAAACATTCGGCTCCCCGAGAGATGAAGTCCACCCGAGATGATGTGGAGACCGTGACTTATCCCAACAACCCTTCTTTGCCGAACATCAACGCACCCTCCAGGAACCCATTACCCTTTCCTCTCCCCCCTTCCTCCATTGCGTAAACAAAATATGGATCAACACAAAAGAACCCGCAAGCCTATTTCTTCCCGAACAAACGATTGATGCCCTTCTCTACCAGCCCCTGGCCAGTAGATTCAGACTTACGCCTGCTGTGGGCAGCACCTGTCTCGGGTGCGTCGCCCTCGCCGCTCGACCTCTCCTTCTTTTCCTCCTTTGCGTCGCCACCACCGAGGACGTTCGACTTGATCTTAGTCAGCAGGTTCGGGGATCCGGGAGCAGCAGAAGTAATCTCGTCAGAGGCATCAGCGCCAGCCTTGACAACATTTCCGGTCCCTCCACGGCCGATGTGGGCGGTCTGGGTCTCACGACGGACAACTCTGGATACTTGTCAGCCTCATACGCTTGGTATGTCGGGCAAGGGGCGCAGTGGCGAACTGTGTCGTCACTGCACGGAAGCGCGGAGTGAACAGGCACAGGGAAACGGCTAGTGGGGGAGACACACGGTTCGACGTCCTGAAGACGGCGCTTCTCCTCGGCATCCAGATTGGCGGCCATGTTGCCGGTGCCACCACGACCAGTCGTGACCATTTCGCTCTTCAGGGTTGGCGTCTCCAGGTCCTTGGGCTGGATTTGGGGAGCCTTGGAGCTGTCAACAATGTTGCCGGCGCCACCGCGGCCGGAGGACTGCATGTGCGACATTGTTGGCTGGTGAATGTATATGTGAAGTGGCAAGCAGGGAGAGCGGCCGAGATTGTGGAGTGGGGGACTGGATAAACAGTCAAGATAAATCCAAGTTTGATTACGGTTGACTGAGAAATCGATGTACTCGCTATTTGTGTTTGATGACAGTCCTGGGGGGGAAGAGAGGAGGGACAGGACGGCTGGTTATATACTGGCTAGTCTCGCTGTTAAGGGGAGCCGCACTCAAGGCAGTTCCGAAGTAAGGCGTGCAAGTGTCTGAAAATATCGAACACTGGCAGGCTTAGCGGGCAATGGTGTTCGCCCCAATTTCGCAAACCGGCCTAGAGAAGTCTGGTAAATGCGATGCGGCGGCGGTGGAGGGATGCAAAAGTGATCACAAGGTTCGAAAGAATTTTTTTTCTTTCCTTCTTTCTCTTTCCTCCTTGCCCTCCCACCCCATTCGTTACATCTTCTAATTTTTTTCTCTCGTCAGAAACAACCCAGGACCATGGCGTCAGGATCTGCTAGCTTCTCTGTGGTACCCGTCTTGGACGTGCGGACTTAACACCAGCTGGGCATCCCTGGACTTTTTTTTCTTTCGCGCTGCCCCGCATTGCCCCTCATTGGGCTGGAGTTGCGTGAGGGGTCGCGGCAACCTCATTTCACATCCGCGCCCGTCCATCGGGCACTCGTGCCTGTTGGTGACGATGTTGGACTCTGTCGGCGTCTGGAGCCCGAGCGGGGGAGTATGCTCAGCGTCCTGGTCGTTGTCGCGTCGTGCGCCCGACGATGATGCAAGACGTCAGGAGGGCAGCTGAGGTCCCAGGCTGTTGGCTGCTTGCAAAGTGCACGCGAGCAAAGACACTGCAGCGATCAGCCGTCCGATGGTGCCATTTCGCTTGGCGCATTGGCGCACTGCCAGAGCCAGGCCGCCAGCAGCCGGCGGCGCCGGCGGTCATAGACAAGGCTCGATTCCCCTAGGTAGGGTAGGTGCACGCGGGCATAGGCAGTGGATTGCCGCGTGGTGGTTGGCGGGGTGGTTCCCAGCACGAAGGAACCTTGATTCGTTCCCGCCTGCCAGGTGCCAGGTGGTGTGGAGGGGCAGCCCGTGCATGCCGAGGGCCGGCCTCATGTTCTGTTCTGAGAGCGGTGGCTTCTGCAGCAAGTCGTAAATTATAAGTCGATTGTACAAAAAACTTCAATGGCCAAAAGCTGTCGCCGATTCGACGGTATTGCATCAGGCCAGAACCAAGGCACTGGCGCCCAACGTCGTGTTACCTACACGGGAAACTGTGCCTGCTGTATGTAGCATGCTGAGAGGGTTGTCTGAGAGAGTCCAGGTGTGCTGCGCGGCCTGCAGTCTGGAGCGGAGCTCGTACCTCCCCCCTGTGGAAGCTCGAGGCCCACACAACCTTCAAAGGCTTGTTTCCGTCCCCCGTCCTCCCGTCCTCTCATCTTAACCCGCTTATCGAAGCGTCGATGGGGCAGCATGGGACAAGGCAGCAACTCATGTAACACCAAGGCCCCACGAGGCTACAACGACTTCAAGTTCTCAACTACCCTGCGGGAGGAGAACTGCAATTTTTATGCCGTGCTACCTGGTAAAACCGTTGAATACTGACTGGCTAGCTTCGGTGATCTCTGATCGTCATCAAAAAGGCTTTGCGAGGAGTGAGAATCGATACGGGACATGCCTTGGTGTTGCGGGGCTTGCCCTCCGCTGCTCGGCTAGGGGGACGTTACTGTCAGTACACTTCGGTATTATAATACTTCACTTGGCTGAGAGTTTATTACACTTTGTAAAATTGATGTGTGATGGTTTTACTGTCCCCATGTACTTCTCGTCAGTCTTGACCAACTTTCAGTCCGCCCGAGCCCTTCCCAGTGATATAATGCCTTCAATCCCCCTTTAATGGGCACAAAAAAAATTCGGGCTATTAATGCAATTGAACCCCGCTCAAAGATGTCCGTGTCTCTGTGGCCTACTGTCAATAGAGACACCCAGTCCTAAGAGCACATGCCGGGGCTTCAACCCTTCCTCGAAGTGTGCAAACCGTCTTGGCACGATTGAACAGATCACGAACAGCATGAGAACCAAAGAACGTCGGAGATGGCTTGAATTCGAACAAACAAGCTAATTTACAGAGAGCGCGAACTGTGTACCCTATCTAAATTCGCCCAAAACCATCCCATCTACAGACTACCTTGAGAGCCTATGTGTAGGTCAGTGATATTTGCAATGCCATAAACGGCTGACACGGTTGTGGCACGCATGCGATGAACATTGAACCCTAATGAAATAGACCAACCCAACTGCAACATCTGAACTGCCGTCTTTTTCACCTCACTCTCTTGTTTTCCTACTCCAATCCGAGACTGCATCACCATATCCCCTGTCAAGAAAGCAAACCATCACTTTGTGAAATAACCACAATAAATCTTAGATACCATCAACCTGGCATACCAGCCATAAAGTTATTGTTCGCACTTGCATGCTGCGTATTTTCTTTTCCCGCTGTATACCTCGTATCTGATGAGCGAGACCAGCAACCAACGTAGAATCAAGGAAGCCATTGGAACATCAACGAATTAGACGAGCCGCGATGTAGCAGCATTGTTTCAAGGATTCGCTGGGTATATATCCGTGAGAGATCCTGCTCAACTGCCTGCCCTTGTTCCCCATCTCGGGCGATACTGTCCGATATAGTGGGAACACCGCATAGGCCCACCATTTCGACCGCAAGTGGCCGATGCGGTAATGTCTACCTCCGAATTAATAGTCATCATCATCATCTTGATTGTTGTTCTTGGGGTTGTCCTTGCGGATCGGGATCTTGATGCCCTGGGTAGCGAAACACTTGCTGAGCAAAGTGCTCTCGCACACGCCAGGGAACTTCTTGGCCGAGTAAACCTGGAATACATCGCTGAAAACAGAAGCGAGTACTGGTGCCTTGCCGTTGTTGACGCCGTTCCCTTGAGCACCAGGAGCGCCAACATTGACAAATGAAAATCTCAGGCTACAATAGCACATCGTCAGTCTCCATGCTCAGATTACTTGGAAACCCTTACAACGAGACTCACCGGAAGCAACCTTCTGTGCGAACGCTAAGATCTTGGAGGATGAACCAGATACCAATCTTGTCTTCGGGGTCGCTCAGACGGAAGGCGCTAGCTGCCAAACTGCCAATCAGGTTTCGGGTGAACATGCCCTGAGGCTGATTGCTGCTCATCGACATCCGTTGAGACACAGTGCCATATTGATCGTATACCCGCGGGGGCCCGTATGGTGACGGCACCATTTGATTCAGGCCGTGCAGCTCCGGTTGGGAGTAGTACTGGCTTGGCTGATAGCCTGTTCCGTTGGATGACACATAGCCAGCTGTACCTTGTTAGCAACCTAGACTTAACAAATGGCGCAAGACATGAGCATAACATACGTGGGCCATAAGGTTGCTGCATGCCGTATGGGGCAACGGCTTGGTTCTGAGGGCCATAGCCCATCTGGGACCCATAAGCAACGTCTCGGCTTGAGGGAAGGATGTGAGAATAGGTAGGTGTGGCCTGGTCGATCTGAGCATAAGAGGCTGGTGAGGTCGACGAGATGGAGGGGGTTGCTGTTGTGTGACGGACTAAGTTGACCTCTCTCAAGGCGTCCTCAGACCATAAATCGACGTTGAGAACGTACATAGTATGCTCGATCTCGCTATCGGAAGTAGAAGTGAGATGGTTAGGTCACCGCTGGGAAAGGCACATGCCGGAATTGGGCGACACTTACTTGCAGTCGATCTCTTTGCCAGTCTTCGCATCTCGCACAATGAGCCGGACACACGGCGGAGGGGTGATAGGTCGACGATCCTTATCCTGCAGTTAGCATCTCGACCACGTCGAACGCTCTGCCAATTGATAGCCAAGACCACTAGGATAAACTTGCCTTGTCGCCAAAACCACACATCCGCGCACGTTGTGGCTGTTGCACAACGTCAAGGCTATCGGGGGAATCGGGTTAACCTCCGTCAACATGCCTGGCACGACATAGGCACGAACAGTTCTCATACCGTGTCGCGCATGCGGGCCGAGTCGTCGGTCGACCGAGAGAGACCGAAGGCTACGGCCCGTCTCAAGTTCACGGGGGAGTAACCTCACCTGTATGTCCGGCCTAGTTCATCCGTGGCAGAGAAGGGTGTGAGGTTGATTTCCTGTTGCCGCTTCTGCTCTGGCGTGAGCTGTGGCTTTTCTGAGGAGGACGAAGGCGTTGGCTGGGAGCTCTCGTTGGACGGTGCAGGCTGAGGAGGAGGGGGAGGTGCCGCGGTGCTGGCCATCGGAGCCGGCTCTGTGTAAGATGTGCTCGAGGGGTAGGATGTGCTGGGCGCAGGCATTGGAGGTAGCGGCTGCATCTGGTGATGAGCAGGATATGGTGAATGATGCGGATGTGGTTGCGAGTGCATGTCGGGGGGAAGGCTCTGCGCTGAGCTCGACGGATATGGTGGTTGATTCATTGTTTACAACCGTCGAGTCCCTCGGGACTGCGCCGGGCTTGTCTGACAGATCGCCGGAGAGCGCGACAGAAGTGGATTCTGGCTAGGCTTTGGGAAGGTTTGGCGGACGGTTGGGATCAGACACGGAGTGACGGTCACTGCCGCGAGAAAGAGAGAGGCTGCGCCGGGCTGCCAATCTATCTGGCCACGGCGGACAGCGGGAAGCGGACCGGAGAGGCGTGCGGCTGTGACGGAGGACTAGGTTGAGAGCACTTCGGCTTTTAGGGATGGGACAAACAACGGCTGAATTTACAGTGGAAGTTGGGGCAAGCGGCGAGAGACTGGCGACCGGGCTGGGAACCCAGAGAACCCTGATCGGTGTGCCAACGGAGGAAGGCTGGTGACAAAGAAACGAGGACTCGGTGCCACGATGAGGCTCAGCGCTGGGGACGGCGGCTGGCGAGACCGAAGGGCGTTGCGGTAGTTTATAGTCTGGCTGTGGCTCAAGCGTGTCGTTGATAGGTGAAATAGCTTCTTGGATCGGTGCTTTGAACACCACACAGCAGGTCAAAGGTAGGTGAGCGTGGAAGAGTGGAGAAACTATGCTGATGATGGTCGAGCATCCTGGGCGGCCAGGGGAAGGTTTAGCCCAGCTTTGTTGCATTTTGATCCACTGTCCATCCCCGGCCCGGTAAAGCACAGTGAAAGCTGCGTGCCTGTGACACTGTGCATGAGGTCAACTGGGGACTGTGCATGCACCAATCTAGCCCCACCAATCTGCCGGGGTGGGCCCACCCCAATGAAAATCTGGAGCAGAACTTTCATCCCATCAAGACTATCTTGATGGACAACAAGTGCAACGTCCTTTAATAAGCATTTATATTCCCCTCAGAGTTTTGCCCAAGATTCTGTGGTGATAAATTTTTGAGCTCCCAAACTATTCACATGCACTTGGTTTCAAATCGTTCACTTAGTTTTACCTTCAACACATTGACTCTCATGTGAACACAACCGTACCGTACCTCTTGCCAGGGGTAGAAGTACCCATACCTAAGCTCACAATTTGTGTAGTGGCTGTATCTGTAGGGTCTCCCAGCTTTGACTCGACATCCGAACGAAGCGAACGTGGTAAGTAGATCGCCGCTACAACCTTTGTATACCTGGTTTTGAGGCTGAAGAGAGGTCTGGTTTTACTGATACTAGCTCTAGATCTCTTTCATTGCATGAAGCGATAAGTTTGACGATGCCAATAATGTCTCTCCTCAATCCATCATCGACGAATTGAGATGTACATCTTCTGCACACGCACCAATTAGGCATCAAGGTTTCATGTGAAGCCCTCCGCCTGACACTCTCTTCTACTGCACTCATACTTAAACCGCGTACTCCCAAGATACTTTAGCAACGTTGCATCTTCAGTATCCTCTTCACCAGCTTCCAGTTCAACTTGGATAAAGTGCCAATCACACATTTGCTATGACAAGAAGCTGACTTGCATAGGCTCAGCAGATGCTCAATGACCTCTTATCAGTAAATTCCTCTTCCAGCTGCTGTATCTAGCAGGATGGACTTTCTCATGTACTGTGTTCCAGCAATGACTGAGGTTCAACAGATGCCGTATCTTTTGGGACATACTAGAACCATGACAGTAGTTTTTGTAGCGACGTGTAACACTTCTCTCAGTCAGAACTCGTCAGACAAGATGAAGCTAGGTTGAATAGGTACCAAATCAATCTATGCAACCAGGCTCATCCTAACTTAAAGTGACGCTAAGTTGCCGGGATCTCCAGGAACCACCCACAAATCATGACCATAGGGCGGCGCCGCCAGCACTGTTGACAGCTTCAGCTGTGGGGCTCCGTACAGTCAACCATATGAGTGGAACGTTTGGCGGGGCACACAAACCAATGTCAGCTACCTGGAGACTGACAGCCATCATAGTTGTCCACAAGAGATGGAAAAGGAATGCTTGAAAAGCTGGATCTCTTCCGTCGTATCCAGCAAATAGTGATCTTGGTGTGCATGCATAGCAACAATGCATCGCACTAGCAAGGCCGTGCTGGATTTAGACCCTAGAACGATAGTATGCACAACGTCCTACTATCTGGTCTTAACAATTTTATGACCCCACCCACGGAATACCTTACCCACAGTGTTGTAAAGGTAACACCATGGTCTTAGCACAGCGCTCCCATCCAAGCTGGGCTCTGCCCTCATCGTTACCGATGCCGTCTCCAAAATTGCCGACGATCTTACAACTCTGCAATTTCCTGTTCCACCTATTGCCAACTTCTCATTTCAACACCGTTACACTTCGCACCAACCCAATCCTCAGCGCCATATCAATCTCTCGATTTGTTGGGATGTGGCAGCTGATGTCGGGATCGTCTCTCGTTCTCTTCCGCGAAGACTTCGATGCGACCGTTACCACCTATGATCCTATCTATCCCACACATTTATTGCTTCCAGGCCCTGACCTCCTCTGACATGCGTCCATCCTCCACTTGCCCGTGCAGACAAACAGGCAGGATCCTCGGCGTTTGATGTCTTGGGCCTCTCACCCCTTCCAGCCTCCGTGCTTGGATGGCCATTCGGATCTCTCGATTGCCTCATCAACCATCTCGGCTGCATCGAGGTCTCGGTCCTCAGTGTACCGAGCTCGACTATAGCCTGTCAGATGGCCCATTGGTGACACCTTGACATGTCCAGTCACTCAGCCCCTGATTACCTGATTACAGATTACCTGGATGACGAGATTCGGGATCCCATCGAGATGCTCGACCGGTACGGCAACACAATGCTCATTGCTCTTCTGCTACCTATTGGTCGTGCCACACGGCTCCTGCGGCTCGAAAGGCAGGCGGGCATCGGACACTTCCATCTCGGCGGGCTCGCTGTTACTCGGTCATGTCGGGCTGGCCTATTGCAATCAACTTTCCGCTTCAATTCCCGTATATGGCAGATGACATGTTGGTCCCTACTACCATAGCCGTGGCAGCTGCTATAGCTAACTGCCATTATAAGTTATATTCCATTAGCTGTGCCCTCTCTCGTATCTTAATTCGCCCGGCTACGTACACCCTACCTCCGGCAGCTGCCCGCCCTCATGTCGACTGGACCTTCTCTCCGGGACGGCTGCAGTCTGGCCGGCTTTTTGTGTCTGCCCCTTGAGTTTGCGGCATGCACTCGCGCGGCGTGCCCTGCTGTATTGGGCTCAGCTACACAAAGCGTGGTTGGCCTGGCAGGTCCTGGCAACTAGGGTTCATCTTGAACCGGAAGTTTGCCGTAACCACCAACAGCGCCCCTCCCGCGCCGTGATCCTGCCAAGTCCAAGTCGAAGCTATAACACGCACTGCGGGGAATTAAAAGGACCTTCACCTGCCTACAGGCCCATCTCCCTAGGCCACAACCTTGCAACCTACAACTTAAGACATAGAACATGGCTAAAACTTATCGTAGTCAGCACTTTGCTCACATTCCCTGTACATGGGAGATCACTGAGGTTTGATGTACGTCATTCCCAAAGCGTAAACTTTCCATGCAGTTCACAACTCGGTAGCGAGGACCGGAGAAGGCGAAAAGAACCGACTACCACTCCCAAGAATAGCAGTACAAGAGCCGCGTAATTCTAAGTATAACGTCTTACTACGCCCTTGCTTTTTCGTCAACAAAGTCACAGTTTTTTCAGTAATGCAAAGCTGCCATCCGGTCATTTTGGCGCTATATGTGGTTTGGGGTTGACCATCTCGTCATTCCTGGGCTCTGACTAGCTCACCCAGACTCCCTCACTGGACCGCTGCAGACGATGCACAAAAAAAACTTCCGGGCGAGTGTTCTGGAAGGCCTCTGGCACGGTGTGATCTGCACTGTCAGGGAACCAAGTGGCGCCCCTAAGGTCGAGTCCCAGCCATACAGTTGGCTTTTGGTTGACCTTGGGACTGCTTGCTGTTAACGCACAGACAGTGACCATAGACTCGGTTGATGATACTTGTCCCCGCCACGCCAAGAAGGGATTTCCTCTTCGGCCATGTCCATGATGAGTCGGACGTGTCAGAAAGATTGAAGTTGGATCAAAAATGAACATGGAAATCGGCGTCATGTCACTCAGATCTATCTCCTCCATGGGGTTCACGAACGCCAAGAGTCCGCTTGCTCGACTCTTCCCACCTTCTTCAAACCAGTTTTCATGGGCCCTTTGGCGCGGATTTGCACTGCATTCCGAGAATCTTGACCCTGCATTTGGATCTATACTTCATTACTGTTCATCCGATCTGCTGGCGTGGCCCTCGGGCCCCTTGTCAATTCCGTGGTCGCATTGTCTGGGAGCATCATCCAACCAAACCACCCAGCTTTAAGAGCGGCCTGTTCCGTGTTATGCACAGGTGCCTCACTTGCATATGACGAGTTTGTTCCGGGAATATAGGCTACGGAGCAAGCAACTTACCTAGCACAGGTGAAATGGGTAAAGAGCCCCCAGGGGACAAGCTGAATGGGAAGAAAATACCTAAAATTCCGAAGACCTCTGCAGATTCAGATTGGATTGCATACCTCAAGTTGCACTCACCTCGCCTTCGGGAATGATCAGGATCAAAAACAAGTGGCTCAAGGAGTTTACCCGTAATATCTTTGACAGCAACCGGCTGACACCAAGATGTGAGCACTTGTGGAAAGACTCGCTACTTCCATAGTGCCCTGCAAGAGGCTAAGGCAGCTCTACTTGACAGTAACAGGGATTCTATCGACAAATCATTCTACTGGAATTGCCAGTGATGCGAATCCACATCCGCTTCATTAGCTCTTCATCAGGTTCCAGAGCCGGAACAGTTCTTTGTGACCTGTTTACACGATTCCAGTGTTTCTGCAGTGTGTGGCACGGTTTTCGGTTTCCGGGACTCTTTGCCGTTTTAACAGTCCGAAGTTTATAAAAGTGTTGAAGGGTCCGGCGCCATGGTTCCGGTTGTATTAAATTTGATCTGAATGAAGGTATTCTTGCCCTCTCCAGGCTACAGGTCTTCACCTCTACGCAGTATGTGCTTACATCCTTCCAGATAAACCCTGACGCCACGGCCTCTTTACCACACAAAAGCTTGGGTCTTGGCGACTGGCGTTTGAGGAATGCTTCCAGACGTTCAGTGTCTGTGCGCCCACGACACCCTCAGAAGTCTCGTTGCCATGCAATTTCATGCTACCTCATGTCCATTACCCGGATTGGGAAAGCATGTCGTGTGCTGCAGTCGCACTGGCACTTATCATTAACAGACGGAGTCTTGACTCAACGCAATCACTTGGATGGTGCTGCTCTTTTCTCCACACCGAATCGACGACCTCTTTAGAAGCCATTTGCGAATACGCAACTGGTGACAAATCCATCCCAGGAGATCTGGCCTCTCGTCGTAAGATGGTTCCCGTCGGGGTACCGTCGTCAGGAAGCAACAATATACCTAAACAGATGTGGCTCGTCATTCGATGTTCGGAGAACAGCCAAGCTCTGACGGTTGAGAGTCCCGGTATCTCTGTCGCGTGGTGTACGGTATTACTGTCGAGCTTCAATACCAACCTCGCTTGCTTGTTTTGATTTGAAATGCCCAACGAGACCTTCGCCCATATTCAGGAATCTGTTCTGTTTGGCCGATGTCACTAACGTGAGGGACTGCTCTTCGACAGTCGCTAATAAGCCGAAACCATTGTTAAGTTACACGGCAGACTCTGTTACTCAATCCTTGTTCTGTTTTGGGAGAGCTTGGTGTACGAAATGACACTCCAGGAGTTTGTTTGACAGCTTGACCTTGCTGAGATTAAGCGTTTGGGTCTTTCATTGCAACGCCCGAAGCAGTTACCAGGTACTCGGTACTTTTACGTGCCCTGCTGCTGGATTTCTCATATTTCCCCAAGGATTCCCAGAAACGTTCCGGTCCATATGATGTAAATGTCACCAGGTTGTGGCTGTTCACTGATACTTTGAGTTTACCGCCTTCGGCTTACACTGATGCTAACGATCTGTTATAACGGACTGTGGACATAGCTTGTATCACGTTGCCTTATAGCCTGATACATCCATTCGGGGATAACTGCATACTTGTCTGACAGCCTATCCAGTATGTCCGTTGGAACAAAGAGAGCTGTTTGGAATTGTTTTGCATTGCACCTTGGTGTACGTTGCCCCAAGCTAACTAGATCATCGACTAGATCTGAGCTTTATGCTCGACTAATGGCCATTAGAGAATTTGTTCTCCTGGTGTTGGTGTCTTTGAAAGGTCTTTCGTCAAGCAGGTATGTCATCCTCTTTCAGACCAGGTTGAAGCTTCCCTCCAGCAACATCTGCACACATCAACATTTCGGAGCTGGATTTGGTTCATGTTGACGGCACCGGGTTCGCTACCACGATAAGGACTTTCATGGGTCCCCCGCTGACTCCGGAAATGAGACATCGTCCAATTATATCCTCAGTTGGGGGAAAGGAGCAGGCTGCTGGTGGCTGTTTAGGCCATGAATCGCCAACCAGACGTTCTGTGAGGGCCGTGGAGGGCCGTGAGCACCTATAAGAGCAAGGCAGTAAGAGCGACGCCGGAGAGAGGGGGTTGTACAGCACAGTGCGTCTTCACTTGTCATCAATCAAGTGGAGTATGGTATTCTCTTTTCTCCCAAGAATCAGGGATGGGCAGCCTTCTTCGGCATTTCGGCGGTTGAAACAGCCAAACAGATGCTTGGCCGGTGCAGCATAAGGGAGACCAAGACGTGGGGAGGGCTATAATCGCTTACACGGGTATTAGATGATGAGGCGAACGAGCATGTCCGCCATTGCTGCTCGGTGTGGGGTGGCGAGGACCTCCTCACTTCCCATGCAGAGAGCGTGACAAACGATAGCATGGAGATCTTGATCAGCAAGTCATTCAGTGCTACCCAGGCAGAGAAAGTGCTCATCACGGGGAACTGGGACACCTTGCCCCCTTCTCCATGGGAAGCCATCTAACTCAGAAAGTAACGCAAGGTTCTAGGCTTTCTTCCAAGTCAACTCACATCTGCAGCACATTGGCAAACAGGTTTTCTACTCAACAGTAGCCGATCTTGTGCTGCGGTATCTGCAATGTCTTGTTAAGCCCCGGAAGCTCATCGGCTCTTGGCCTTCTGCAACCGCGGACGAGTTTCTTTATCAAACGGGACACAGTAAGTCGTTTCCTAACGACCTCGGGTCTGTCTGTACCGAAGGCGTTGGGACATTTTTCGGTTTTCTTTCCCATCTTTCTTCCCGGACGCAAACGAAAATTGAACCGCTCACTGCCATCTTTGGGGTTACTCCCGCTGCAGATATGTTCATGTCATGGCCGAGACCGAGTACCAGGTCAGTTGAGGCTCTCGGAACCAAAAAATTGTGTATAATGCCGGAGTTGCCGCAGTTCTGTCTCCTGGTAATGGTAGTAACTCATCGTAATGATCTTACGTCTGTGGAGCGGTAGGATAAAGGGCCAATATCAACAGGATATATGAACACCGCGGCACGGTAACCAGTCTCTTGAGAGACTTATATTGCTGGCTTACTACCGGCATCCATTCTGGCAACTGATTGACTATTGGAGGCTCCAGTCGAACGTTTCTCTCGCCAAATCAGAACATTTCCCATCAGTCCATCCTTATCGCTCAATCTTCCAGAAGGATTGCGAACAGGTGCATGCATCTTGCATCAAGATATCACGATGGTGCCCTCATCGCCACTCCTCTGGCAATCCCTTCATGCCCTGTCTTAGAAGGAAAACCAATGGGCAATGATTGTGTTGCTCTCAATCAAAGTTTGCAATAAATAGATTACGAGCTCAAGGAGGATCTGAAACAACGTTCGGACCCTACCTAGTACTTACTGGGGCTCGAGCCTTTGAAAGCCTTCTCGAACGTGGCCGATTGTCACAGCCACGCAACAGGTATTACAAGTCCCGAAGGTCCTATTCGACATTTAGATATCCTGGGATATGATAGCGAATTTGACATCAGACTGAGCGTGCGTGCTCAGAGCCAGCCAAGCCCCTGCGAATGTGGGATCGCCGACCGTCCGACCGATAATTTTTGTCGCGCAGGCACCGAGATGCTTGGCTCAGTCCCAGTTCCAGGGATCTTATAATCAGAAGTCATAGTTGCTACCCTATCAACGTTGATTGACCCAGGTCTTAATCAATGGAATGGGGACAAAACGTGATTGTGAAGTAGTATAGTCAGCAGAACTCATCAGGTGTTGATTCTTGCGCAGGGCCGATCCGTGCCCCTTGCCGACTAACCGTTGCGGGATCGACTGTTGCTCGCTGCACCGCCCATACGTACCGGTTGCGTCCTTCGATGCCATTTTGACAAGGGGATGTGCGGGCGAACGGGAACGGATTGGGTTCGGTACGAACGGGATGGGATGATCGTCGTAACTTGCATGCGACCGTTGACAGGTACGTAGGCAAGCTAGATGCGTCTCACAGTCCCCGTCCCCGGACCGCAGGGTTACTGCGAACGGGACGACGACGATCATACATATATAACGTGGGAATAGATCCGACGTCTCTGAGAAAACTGAGATGTTGTCGATATGTGTGGTCTTTTCCTCAACTGAGCAACACCAACTGCCGAGATCTGGTTGCCGTAGAAGAACATCAATAGTAAGTAAGCTTTAGTCACCCAACTTGCTGTGTTCGGGATAATCTCACCAAGACAAGTTCAGTTGTATATTAGTCCTAGCTCCCTCGATAGAAAAAGATCAGTGCCTGCTGTAGCTCCTGAATCGACAGATCGCCATCCGTTTGGCAGGGCACGCGACTCGACTAGCTACAGGATGTGGAATTCTAAACGATTGCGGTGCACGCTTCAAGACGGCAGGGGCTCGTACTGTCCTTAATTATATCAAAATAGGTTGTACATTAACTGCATATATCAAACAAGCCCTCGAGGGCAAGTCATATATGACATGAATTAGATTCCTGGCTCGAACCGGAGTCGATAGTTCTCAAGTTGGGGCTGGCTGTTGTCAACCGACCAGGAGTGGGAGGAAGAGCGTTCTTCTTAGCAAGTATATTCTGGAGCACAGCTTGAACAGCGCTAGGAAGCCCTGTACTTAAATGCCATAACACTGTTGAATTGCTCTGACTTAACTTTTTTTTTTTGAGTCTAGATTCTTAAAACCATATAAACCCAAATAATTTTCTTATCAGAAACCGACCCTAACCTAACTCAACGCCAACCTGTGACTTAGAGAAGGAGAGAGAGGGAGAGACAAAAAAAAAAAAAAGAAAAGAAAAAAAGAAAAGAGTGTAGAGCCATGATTTCCTCTTACGCCTACATCATTGAAGTCCTTCTTGTCTTGGACCAGGTTAGAGTTTCTCTCGCTTCATACCATCAGGCAAGCCATCTTAGTCTTTTGCTGCTGGTAGTAAGGTAGCAAAATCTGGATCAAGGTATGGGTGAAGAAGACCGTAGAGCCAAGAAAAGAAGGGACGTAGTAGAATCCTCTTTCTAACTCAAGGCAACGAAAGGAATCATTGGCGCCATGACTATGTTGGTTCTCAGTCTCCATAAGTGTTGACGAGCCGAGCAAAAAAAAGCGGTTCCAAAGGAACGGTAGCTTAGAGCATCCAAACCCCCCAAAAAAATCCATGGTCTAGGTTTAGGCTAAGCTAGATGGTCTCAAGCCCGCCAAAGCATGCAGCATTTGTAGAAGTGAAATGGAATCCTCCGGCTTTTCTTATTTCAACGCAACAACAGAACCGTGTGTTCATCCGGGTATCATAACCGCCACGAGTCAGTGAAACAAACCAACTGCTTCCTTCCTTCCCGCGTCCCACCAGAACCAGACCAACTCCTCTTTCTTTGCTCTTTGGTTTCCAGAGATCTTCCCAGGGACAAGCTGTATAAGAGAAAGAAAGTAAAAAAAAAAAAAAAAGTAAAAACAAGACAAGAAGGGTCGAAGAGAACAGAAAAAAAGTTACACATCATCCGCCAACTTGGCAAAGTGCTTTGACCAGATCCATCCGATCGTTTGGCTCGGATCGTCCTGGTTTTTTGCCAGCCAAAGCTCACCCTTCTCCCCAATGACGTCAAATATCTGGCATCACGATCAGAATCTTATTCTTCCATTTACTTGAATGGCACAAAAGGGAAACTTACCTCACCGGCCTGGTACGTCAAGTAAGGATAGCCAGCCTCGTATTTGGTGGTCTCGATATTAAACTCGAACAGCGACGCAGCGAGCCACAGAACCTTGTGCTGGCTCCCGCCGCGCTCGCCGGCAGGGCTAGACGCCCGCGACGACACGCCGCTGCGGAAAAAGAACTCCTCGGCGGCGCTCGTGGCACCGGGAGTGTCCGGTGGCGGTAGTGCCGACTGGAACAGGCCCGAATGGCGCCGTGTCTCTGTGGCGGCCACAATGTTCGAGTTAAAGGTTGAGTTCGAGCCGCGCCGACTGCGCGGGGTTTGGTGCATGTAAGCACTATAGAAAGCCGTCGAGTCCGAGCTTTGACGGGGCATGCCGGTTGAGTCGAGGCTGCGGCCGGTGCTGGGACGTTGCTGGGGCTGACGGGATGAGAATGAGGCGGAAGAAGATGCCGCCGAACCATTGTTGTTGTTGTTGTTGTTGTTGTTGTTGTTGTTGTTGTTGGTGGTGGTGGTGGTGGTGGTGGTGGTGGTGGTAATGGTGGTGGTGGCATGTGGGTCGGAGGATGTGACAGGAGAGCCACTGCCACCACGGAGTTGGGGAGAGCTGGTGTTGTTGATGCCTGGGTAAAAGTCACGGTAGTAGTTGGCTGGGCTTGGCAGACCACTGCTAGCGGGTGATAGGGTAAACTGGCCGCTATTGCGCTTGCCAAAGTCAGGCGTGGGCAGGGTCGGCGCGTTGTTGTCGCTGTTAATAGAGAGCCCGCGGGTACGGGTTGACCCAAGATCGCTCGGCCTGGACCGAGTCCTGGACAGGACAGATGATGCCTCGTCGGTTGTCGATTGGGAAGTACGGGTTTTGAGTGCTGGATTGAGGATGCCAAGGGACATGGCCCTCTCCTCCTGGATGGAGAATTCCCTCTGAAAGGCTGAGACGATCTCGGCAGGCTCAGGGACATGATCGCCGAGCTCTTGGAGTGGCATCTTCACTTTCTCTTTCCACATCGCGAACCATGAGGCCTGGATGCAAATGAACTTGCCCAGGCAGATGTTGCCAACCCTGGCAGTAAGGGCTGAAAGCTTAGGAAGCTCCTTCTTGAGCGTGTCGTTGAGCGCCTCGTACTGCTCGACTAGCTCGGCGAGTTGCTTGTCGATCTTTTTGCCGTTTGCCTTGAGCTGCATGTACCTCTCGTAGTCAAGGCGACGCTTGGCCCGCTTCTTCATCGCCAGCGAGGGATTGGTATAGCACCGGATGACTTGTTCAAACGGCTCGATGACGTGCTTCCTAACATCAGCCAGATGCTTCTCCAGGGCAACCTTCTCGATATCCCTCATCGAAACGTTGAATTGCACCCACTTGGACTCAATGTGGGCATAGTCCCTCGACGGCTGTAGGCGCATGACCAGCTCAATAGACGACAGATATTGCAAGAACTCGTGGACGTAGGTGGACACAGAGCGCGTGTAGAATTCCACGTCGCGCAGCACGACTTGCAACCGGAGAAAATCGTCACTGAACTGCTGCTGGAGACGCTGGTACTCTTCATCCTCGGCTGTCTTGGACCCGGTGCCTTGGAGCTTGTCAACACGCTTGCCAAAGGCCCGCGCCAGACCGAGCCTGACATCCGATGACTCCTTGCGCTTCTTGTTGCTGACGATTTGCCCCACGAGCTCAAAGTTCTTCTTGCTCTTGTTGATCTCGTCGATGGCATCAATCACAGCGGTCCTCGCTTGGATGAGGGGCTCGCGGTCCGGATGGTTGTCGGGCGTGTACTTGAGAAGATGAGTGATGATGTCGGGATATTTGGTGATGCGCTGCATGGGCTTGATCAGCAGGGAGTCGAGGTTCCAGGCTGTCGTGAGCTCCTTGGCGACAACATTGCATTCATTCAGCCAGACCATGACCGTCTTGTCTTCTTGGATCTGGAGCAGGCGCTTGGCCGCCGCGTCACTGGTGCGCAGATACGTTTCGTGCACCGCCTTCAGCTGGTCGATGTTTCTCGTGAAGATGGGCCCGAGAGACGTCAAACGATCCTTCTCGTCGTCATGTTGTATTTTGCTGGACGACGCTGTCGGAGCAGCAGCCGAAGAGTCCGAGTCCGGGGCGTTTGGCGCGAGCTGCGGCGATCTCCTTGCCTTTGGAGGAGTATATACTGTCGAGGCACCCTCTTTGAACTCGGCAAGCAGAGCAGTGTGGAAGGCAATGATCTCGTCAGTGTTCCGGAATATTAACTTGATGGTCTTGCTGTCCAGGTTCGGGCAAGCTTCGGCGGTGCCCTTGTAGATCTCTTCGACGACAGTCATGTCTCTAACAAATGTCTCCTCGGTATCGATCAGTTCCCGAATCACCAGCTGTCGCTGCCGAAGTCGCTTTTGCTCGGCCTGCTCTTCTTCAGTTAGGGGCGCCGACTGTTGCTCTGCCAGTGTGCTCTCCCCGAGAGAATCTCGTGACCCGGCTGCAGAGTCGAGTTGAAGTCGTGATACCGAGGCTGGAGGAGACATAGTGTTAGTACTGCCAGCAGGCTGGAGTCCGTCATGGCTATGGGCGTAGCTATGTGGGCGACTTTCGGAGAGGTATAGAGTCCTGCTTTCCTGGTCGCAAGTGCGCACCGAAGAGGAGCGCTCGGGAATGGGTGGCCTGGATACCGATGACGTCCTCGTCGAGCCAGGCTCGCTGCGGGCGGTCAAGATATCGGCGCTCTCGGGCTCAAGCGAAAGCTGGCGGCTAGGGGGCAGCTCAGGAAGCATAGGTGGCGAGGGGGCTCGGGAGCGGTCCAGTGATGATGATATTTCCGGGCTTTGAGTGAGCTCTCCGAAGCTCGAAGCGCAAGTGCTGAGATCCCCCACAGAAGGTCTGACTCTGATGACTCCGCCTTCGGAAGTTAGGTAGTCATCGTGTGAAGCCGCAGCAGAGAATGGGCGGCCACCGTCGGGTTCCTCGCTTCCGATAGAAAAGTCGGTCCACGCGGAATGGTGGCTTTGTCGATTGCCGGGAGCCAAAAGCGAAGGGACAGTGAGCCCGAGTGATGTGTTAATGCCAGACGGCTCAGGGTATTGTGATGAAGAGGAGGAATGGTGAACATCGAGAGGCGTGTTTGTTCCCGAACCAGATGAAGTAAAGGTTGAGTCACGCAGAGCGGCCACATTGTCACGGAGCCGCGGTCCAATATAGAAGTCTTCGATTCGCTCCAAACCCTCGAGATCAGGTGAGCCTTTCTCAAAACGGCTTTCATCCAGACGGGAAGCTCCCCGGGAGCCGGGTTCAGAAGCGGCAGCTGCTGCGGAAAGCTCATCTGCTTGACGCAGGCCCGCCAGGGGTGTGGTTTCACGAGGCTGGTCCTTGTGCAACGGCTTAAAATCATGATCCGGACCCAGAATGGTAACAGTCGTCTTGTAACTATCGGCTGGGGGAATATACGGCCGCGGCACGTACTCATCGTCATCTTCATCAGCCGGATAAGGCATGTAAGCGCTGGGCCGGGCCGGAGCGGGCTGGGAAGATGGTCGCGGCTGCGCATCGGGGATTGCGGAGGTGTCGAGCGAGATCTTGATGGAAACACAATCGTCCTCCTGAGGCTCGTTCTCCGGGGAGGGCCGGTAGGATGCGCTTTTTTGGTCGTGCTGGATCGAGGAATGCGGCTGTTGTTCGTGGAGGGATTGCCCGGTAACCTTCGGCTCGGCCGCAGACTGAGACAAGGCCGGAGGAATCTCATCCAAAGAAGCACCTGCGACTGGCCCACTTTCTTGCCTCGGAGGTTCTGTTTGCACCTCTGTGTCAAACTCCGTAATGGCGCTAGTGTCAGATACCGCGGAGATTGGCATATCATCATGGGATGAAGGAACAAGCTCCGCGTCGGGGAACGCTCCTGGTATCTCCAATCTAAGAGAGCTGGGACGGTAGTTAAGTGGCTCATTATGCGGCTCCTGGAGCACAACGGAAGCCTCGGGGAGACCAGAGTCTTCCGTTGGCGTCAGCTCCCGCGAGACGGGCAACTCAATCCGAGGGAGGGATTCAGCTGCCGTTTCTGCCGGTCCGGATGCTGATTCTGCTGGAAGTTGTCCTGCTTCTGCCGCCTCGGGCTCTCTCGGTTCTGATCCGGGCCTTGCGCTTGTCAAGATACTCCCCGCCAAGGGGTCTGTAGTGGAGGGCCTTCTGCTACTGGTCTTTCGGGGCAGAACAGGCGCGGCAAGGGCAGTAGCCGTGCTATTAGCAAGGGCGGCGACAACAGCAGCCTCGGCTTCCACTTTTGTTTTTGCAACAGTCTCTAGTTCCTTCTTCCTTTTCTCTGCAGCTGCCTTCCTTGCTTCAAGTGCCTGCGTCTCACGAAGGGACTTGCTGTAGGCAAGCTTGATGGTTTCCCGCCTTTGGGCGAAATCGATGGCACCAACTGATATCTTTCGCCTGCGAGGGGTAGGCTCTTCCTGCTTCGGAGCCGGCGTCCTCTCAACTGCGCGCATTCTGGATGCAGCCGTTGTGGCACTTGCGACAGACTGACGGGGTCGAGAGCTACGGAGGGGAGGCGAGAGCTTCGGAGGGGGAACGGCTACATAGGCGTTGAGCCGGCTGGCCGATGAAGTTGTGGTGCTTGGCGGAGGTGCCTTGCGCGCCGAGGAAGTGGGGGTTTGAGATGGGGTCTTGACCTGTGAAGAGCTGCTCGTTGTGGGGGTTTTAGAACGGGATGCCGTCGACTGCGCGGGCTGCCGCGAGGATCGGCCGGCGCCTGTGGAGTATCTGAAAGCAGAAGGCGAACTGGAGCGACTCGAGACAGGGCTGGCGTGACTAGATGAAGTGTTCATCCGCTTGGCCAGCCGGGGTAGGCGCGAGGCCGTGGATGTTTGTGAGGTTGAGGATACAGGGGAGACGGGTGAATCGGTGTCACGCTTCGACACGGCAATGTCTGGACGGATCGGGGGCAGGGGAAGCTTCGAGCCGGCGAGATCACTACGCGCACGGGAATGGTTCTTGGACAACGAGGTAGCCGCGTGATCGAACCCGTGCTGCTGGGACGAGTCAACCGTTCGATACCAGTCGCTCGGCGATGGGGGCTCGACATCGGGGTCGGAGCGGCTTCGCATCTGATAGCGCGTCGGGTTCTGTATGCTGGAGTCAGAGGTCCTCCTAGGACGTGTGACGCTCTCGATACCAAAGCCCGGCGTGGCCGAGCCGCTCTGCTCCGGTAAGATCTCTCCAAAGAGCAGAGTGCGCGAGCCAGGGTCGTTTGGCGGCTTGGATGCACCGGCACGCGGCCGGGCTATCCTGCTCGCGAACGATTGCTGCGAAATGTTGTGAGAAGGGTCTCCGGCCAGATATCGGGGTCGAGTATGGGATGTTTTTGTCGGGTCGCGTGGCGTATCGCGTGTCCCCGATGAGGTCGTGGGTGCACCGTGAGAGGTTGCACCGGTGCCAGCACTTGTCAACCTGCCATTCAAGCTCGGGTCTCGAGATCTCGGCGTCGATTTCCGGACAGGGTCTGTGGATTGCGATGATGGGGCTGACTGGTCAAACCTCTTCTTCAGATCCTTCACGCTCGGGACGTGGCTGACGGTCAGAGGGGGTCTCGTTGACGTTGCCGATGCCGATGGGGTTGGTATGCGACTCTCGGCGGGATTTGAGACGGAGCGCTGGCTGGGTTGAGGAATGCCCCGCTGGGGGAGTGCGGTTGTGGCCTGGGGGCCCTTGAGAGGGGCACCGGTGCCGTTTGACCGCGACGACGTCGGTCTGCGGGGGCTAGTGGTGTTGGTGTTGGCAGCAGACGCCGAGAGCTGAGGAGAAGCAGGAAGATCAGCGGTCATAGGATCGGTCAACGATGGTGCAGCGACGTGCCCGGGCTGGGCGCCTTCTCGGTAGCTGCGGTAAAAATCGGCCGGGTCTACGGGGTCGTCGTCGGGGTCATTCGACGCATCAGTCGCGCGGACATTGGCTTGGAAGCCGTGCAGATTTGCTGCAGCGTAGGCGTCGATGGGGATCTTCTGGAGCTTGGGGTCGTCGATGCTGTCCGGGCTGCAACCAAGGGCAGGAGGAGTGTCGTCGTCTCGGGAGCTCGAGCGGGAGCGGAAATGATGTGTATGGGAATGGGAGTGGGAGCGGGAGTGAGATCGAGCGTGCGAGTGGTGGTTGAGAGCAACAATCGGGCCGGAGCGCCGGACAGCGTCCTCTCCAAGGCTGCCATGGTCCATGTTGGCGGCAACAGACGCGGTCGAGGTCGAGGTCTAGTGGCCTGTCCCATTACTTTCCCATTCGTCTCATGGCTGGGCGAGGGCTCGTATCACGCAGTGGCTTGGCTGCTCCGCAGTTGTGCAGTTTCCTTGTTTTCCGTTGTCTCTGGCACCTGGGCGTACAGGGATCGAGGAATCGAGGATCAGGAGTGCGAAAGAGCGAACCAAGTCGGAGGGGAAGCCCAGGTACGGTAGCAGTCGTCGTACCTACACAGAGGCTATCTGCTGGCCGGGGAGCAGGGCAGCTTTGATTTTGACTGTGTGGTTGCGTGCCCAGGAGCGAGCGCCGAGAATTCGAGAAATCTAGGATCGAAAAGCGAGAATCGGCATTCAGGAATCAGGAAACAGGCCTGGGGATTGAGGTGTGGGATGCACGCAGCATGCAGCACGAGCACGAGCACAGAAGATCATTAAAATCTCCGTTCCATGGGAGTGGTCGTATGTTCCTGCGGTCCAACCTGGACGGGAGGAAAGCAGCATTCAAGAGCTATACGCTATCTCGAGCTCTGGTTTAGCGTCGTTGAGTTGTATTCGCTGCGGTTGTCCATGCGCTGTCGCTATGCCCAAGAAAACTCATCCGGACCAGCGACAACTGTCCGGTGGGTGGTGGTGTGTGCGGGATGGGCCTTTTTTTTGGGGGGGGGGGCGTGGTAGGATAGATTGGATGCTGTGTGCTTTGGTGCTGTGGCACTCAGCGTTGCCGGCACGGAGATGCACGCTTGTGGACAGCAGGCAAAAAAAAAAAAAAGATGGACCGATGCAGATGGAGGGCAGCTGTGGATTGGATGGATGGTTTGTGAATGGGATTGGGCGATTGGTCGGTTGGTCAATGGACGTCGTCGTTCAGAATTGTCAGTTCTCAGTTCAACGTCCCTGTGCTGGCGAGCGCTGGGATTGGCCCGAACCTTCCATACTGGAAGCTTGCTTTCCTGGGAAATCTTCACTGGCCTTCGATGGGCCTGGGGCTACAGTGGAACAGGGGTTGTGGCTGGCAGCGAGTCGCACAACGGACGCGGACAACAGATTCAACGGAGCCCAGCGGAGCCTGGAAAGGCACTCGGATTGGGGGAGGTGCAGCAGGAGCGCAGCAGCAATGGATGGAAAGCAACTGCAGTCGGGCAGCAAGCAGCAGCAGGAACAGCGCCAGCAGCAAGTAAGTGACAGTCAGCAACAAGCAGCAAAGCAGCAGCATGGCAGTATGGAGTAGGCCGTCAGCAGCTGTGCAGCGCAGGCCAGGAGAGGCCCCCCAGGGGCTCCGCGACGGCTGCAACAATCTGCAGACCCTGCTGGAACCCCCGGAAACCCTTGCTTGTGGGTTTTGTCGCACCCAGGATCCACTTCACTCCCATCCCATCAGCCCCATTCACGCCCTGAAACGACGCCGCCAAGACGCTTGGTCCAGCCTTGTCCACCACGCTCCGAAGACACAGGCGGCTAAATGGACAGACCACATCTCAAAAACGACGGGCTGATGACTGATTTTTCCCAAGCAGCCAACGAACCTCAGCTGCACAGGGCACGAGAAGGTGTAAATACTCCTACCCTGAGTATGTTCGGTATTGAACTCAAGTTACCGTTCGAATCGATCATCAGCGTCATCGATAACTGTCCGGTTGGTCCCCCTCCCAGCCAGCAAAGTTGGAGGAGGCAATGGACAGCGAGATTGAGGACACCCATGATCAACTCTCTCCTGTGGCTTTCCGAGCAGGCGGCAAACCGGATGCGCAATCACAGCCCCAAAGGCAATCATAACAATCACTGTTCCAATTTCGTCTTGCCCTGCTGTTTATTTGATGCCAGGGGCCAGAACCTGTGTCCGGAAGATGGGCTTACGAAAGTCAGTAGGAAACACACAGGGGACGCAGATGGAAAACTTTGAGTAGACATGAACCGAGGAGCTGGTGGAGAGCCAGGGCAGGCTTGGAACAACTTCCTGTTTGGGCAGTCAATTTTCTCTTTTTCTTGATTTGCCTCTTCCCGCGCTACTGGCCTGGTTACCCCTCTCAGTGAGTGTCCAGTATCTCACATCTTCGAAGTTCCGCACGTAGGCAGTTCCAGTTCTCCTTCCCTTTGCTTGAGCTACCTAGGAAGTGTACCTGGAGCATCTGTTTACAATACTTATCGGACCGCAGTGATCAGAACAGACGATGATGCAGGTCGGTCGGAGAGCAAATGAGCTACGTCGTTCGTGCTAAGGTTTTTTTTTTTTTTTGGCAATTATAAGCCAATTCGTACTCAGAACATGCGCGTTCCTGTGAAACTTCTGGCTCTAATAGGTAGTCTGTACAAGTACCTACCTAAGTACATAGGCTGTAGCATCCGTACCTGGCAACCTTCCTGCAATGTAGCCCTGCAGATGCTGACCGCAGCGGTGCAGTAGGTTGTCTGGCCATCTGCAGTTGTCATGGAAGCGCATCGGCCCAACGGTTTCGGCAGATCATGATCTTCTAACGGAGGATTCAAGTCAATTGCTGCGCATGAACCTGAAGCATGGATCAGCCCCGTTCTTCTTCAAAATCCTCGAACTGGGCCGTTGCCCCACTTCAGGCAAGGCTTCATCGCATAGTTTTAAGCCCAGAGGCTTCCAGCCCCCCCATCAGGATCATCAGGGGCGGTGGGCACTTTTCTTTTTGAGGGCCTGCAAGTTCGCATGAAGGGCAGCATGCCAGACAGACTTCATCAATGAGTGAGAGCCAAGCGCTCATCTCAGGAAAGTCGGACGTTTATTTGTCTGGGACTTTGTCTTGCTGGATGGAATAGGTGGAAATACCTCTGTGTGGCTGCCCAAATGACGCACCAATTGGCTGGTGCACGGCTGGAATTCCCCAGCTTTGTGGACGTCTCCGTCGAGTCCGTTCGCTTCCCAAACGGCGGGACCAAGGGGTGCACACCTGTGGCTCTGAGGGGAGGGGCCGCTGCCACAGTGCCACAAGTGCCACAGCCGCCGTGGTCAAAGCTGCAACGCCCTGACAGGCCAGATGTCTCTCGCTCGCAGCTGGACCCCCCCCCCCCCAAAAAAAAAAAAAAGTCCAATGAACTAGATGGAAAGAATCCCAGGTGAGCTTGGAAAGAAAACCAACTTCCATCGCGAAACCGTACCTATGCTAGATAGCCTCTCCGGATAATACGACAGAGGGTGGTAGCTAGTTGGCAAAAATAGATTTGTGTGCGCACTACTGTACTGATATCAGTCTGATTGTTTTGACACCAACAAATCTACAATCTGGTTGAAAGCTACTAAGCATAAACCGTTTGAGGCTGTCAGCCGCTCGACCCCATCCGCGCGGTCCGCCATCCACCGACGCGTAGTGACCACGCGGCGCGTCACAGAACCCAACCCAGACTGTCACAACGGCTTGTAGCCTCGTGTAAACCTTCAATACCGAATCGCAACCAACTTCAAACCCAGTACCAACTAAGCTAGTAGAACACGGAGCTCCCACGGTCGAGCATCCCAATCGAGATCGCTTCGGTTGGACGAGCAACCAGTCCATTCACATTCAAACCATTTACGGATACAGATTACGGAGTATCGCCCAATTATCCATGTGCACAGGTTCGCCTGCCACTGATATGGATTACGCTACGGTGTAGATCATAGATGTCTCACTTATCGCTGCCTCATTCACCTGCTTACCTTATGTCTTGAGTGAGGAAAACGACCGCCCATGTGCTTACCACAACCCCCAGGCTACGGATCGCCATGGTCGGGGGCAACGACGTTCTATCACGGAAGAGGAGTCGCAGCACTGTCTCTGAGAATAACCAACAAGGTCAAGATGCTCCTCCTCGCTACGTGAAGCGTGTCAAGCACACTGTTGTGCCACTCAGCACTACGGTAAAACATGACTTATTGGCCCAGTACTACACCGAGACTGTTACGCTCCGCCAGTACTTCCTCTTGAGGCTGCCTAAGACTTCCCGTCTCAGACGCAGGAAGATCAGTTCAATTGGCCGGGTTGGCCCGGGAGCCGACCGGACGCCAACTGAGGAAGAACGTCTGCTCGGGGACTATCTCGATTCGACTATCGTGGCCCGCCGTTATTCATCTGGGGAAACCGATGAAAAGGCAGATCTGCGCTGGAAGCAATGGGTGGCCTTCTCCCAAAAGGGGAGCGAGTCGTGCACGACTCTCTCGGATGGCCTCAAGGGCTCCATCTACACGCAAGCTGAAGTGAGTGTTCCCCAAGACAGGGTTTAGGATCCAGGAGCAACCAGCTGATTCAAACCCAGATTGTTGATTTTGTCATCTGGCTGCTCTTCTCTCGAGAAACAGCATCCTGGCCAAAACATCTGCTCTGCGATGGTTTCCGCAAGCAGACTGGCCCCGGCATGCAAGCGAATCCTGCTGCCGCCGCAGGGACCACCATCCCAGGTGTGATTCGTGTTTATCCTAACGAACATGTCGACGCTCTAAAGAGCTCGCCCTGGCCGCAGCTGCTTATGCTGCTGGGGAAGGAAGGCGAGCGCATCATGATCGATCTTCTCGTCGATTGTGCCATTTTCCAGCCCGTCAAGGCTGGCAGGGGAAACCTCTACCAGCTCTGTGGTGTCCCCGTCCATGAACTTGAGGCCCTCTCGAAGGCTGCCCGAGACGTTGTCAGAGATACCAAGCTTAAGCCCAACTTATCGTCTAAGGCCAACGCCAGCGCCAATACCAGCGGTCTTGGCCCGAAAAATGCCGAACTCCGCCCATCCGAGATCTGCTTTGTGAGGAGTAGGATGCTCTACGCTAGAGCTGCCCTGAATGCTCGTGGTCTTGTCCATTTTGGGCTCCGCCATATCCGTACGTCTGGGATCCCTTTTTTTTTTTTTTCGTTCTTTACGGGAAATAGCCTGACGCTCACGATGTTTGTTGCGCTGCAGATGTCTTGAACCGGTTCCCCTACAGAGATGGAGAAGACGGTGATGAAAGCGCTGTGCATGTCATGATGTACATATTTCCCCGCCAATTCGGTCTGCACAATGTGTTCACGTCTCCCGTCGACCGTTCGCAGACCACCCAGCGGTTTCAAGATTACACCCTCCGGGAGGAAGAGATAGCCAAGAAGTTCCCCCCAGTAGTAGTACCCAAGAGCGACGGCAGCTCTGCTGCAAAAAAGAGCACTCGGCATGTACATATCCCCAAGAGGCTCAGGGGAGATGCGCTTCGCCTTGTCCGTCGCCTACAAGTGCTTCATAAGCGCTGTGCGTATACAGAGCTGTTGCAGTACTACTGCCCGGTAAGATGAATCACACATGTTGCCATAAAACTATCGACCCAAGAGCTCTCACTTACAGGACGCAGTTGCCCATCCGGGGAAATGGTCAGAAGGAGGAAGCCGTCCAGGTCGTCCAGAGCCGAAGCGTTTCGTCCTCTTTGAGATCGTCGCTCAAGCCGGCCAAGGGGCGAGAGAAGTCAAAGACGTCAGGTCCAGCGATAGTGGAGAACCTGGAGTACTCTACTTTGACCGACCTAGCTACCCCTATCTCCAGCGTCTCTGCCTTCTGCCAAGCCGTCATTTCCAAAGTCATTCCGAAGGACTTTTGGGGCACGGGGCCTGTTCAGGAGCATAACCAGGCATGTTTCTTGAAAAAGGTGCATCACTTCATCCACCTGCGTCGGTTTGAGAGCATGTGTCTCCATGAAGTTATGCAGGGAATGAAGGTATCGTGTTGTGCGGCGGTTCTTGAGCTGCTGACTGGGTGGGCTGACGCAAAATCTAGGTGCATGAGATCGAGTGGCTTGCTCCCCCGGGTTTAAGGGGTCAGAAAAGCTCCCAGTCCGACACGAGGAAACGGACCGAGATATTCTATGAGTTCCTGTACTACCTCTTTGACTCCTTCTTAATACCCCTGATCCGCAGTAACTTCTACGTGACCGAGTCCAGTACCGACAAGTACCGACTCTTTTTCTTTCGCCACGATGTTTGGCGTTATGTGGCAGAACCCGCGATGGCAGCCCTGAAGACCAAGATGTTTGAAGAGGTCAAAACAGAAGACGCTCTTCGCATCCTGGAAGCTCGCCAGCTGGGCTTCTCGCAGGTTCGTCTGCTTCCAAAGCAGACTTCCATGCGGCCTATCATGAACCTGCGTCGTCGGACCGCTATCCGTGGGAAACAGAGAGTTCTTGGACCCAGCATAAACTCCATCCTGGGCCCGGTCAACTCCGTGCTTAAGCTCGAGAAGGTAAGTTCGCTCCCAAGTCACGCTAATTGTGAGATCAAAGCTGACGAAACGGTCCCCAAGGCTCTCAACCCTAGCCGTCTCGGCGCATCTATGTTCTCTGTTGGGGATATCTACCAACGCATCAAAGCCTTCAAGTCCCGTCTCGGCCCCGGACCCCACAATAACCTCTTTTTCGCCAAGATCGACGTCCAAGCCGCCTTCGACACCATCCCCCAAGATGCCATCATCGCCCTCTTGAACCAGATCCCCCAGCATGTGCAATATGCTCTGTTAAAGCATGTCGAAATCGCCATGTCCGACGCCACCGGCCCGAAAAGCGTCGCGAGGCCATACAAACGATGGCATATCACAGCACTAGCCGCGGCCGCCGCGACCGAGCGCAACGGTGGTGGCGTCCGCGCGCAGCCCTCCTTCCCGGATCGTGTGGAGCAATCGCTTGCGCTGAAGCGACGCGACACGGTGTTTGTGGATAGCGCGGTGCGCAGAACGCTCAAGGCACGGGATATACTCGCGCTTGCGGCCGAGCATATCGCACAAAACTTGGTCAGGATCGGGAAGAAGTATTATCGCCAGAAGGAAGGCATCCCACAGGGGTCGGTGCTATCGTCGATGCTGTGTAGTTGGTTCTACGCCGATCTGGAGAGGCGGCGGTTGGGGTTTTTGTTGGAGAGTGAGGATTGTCTGTTGATGAGGCTCATTGATGATTTTCTGTTGATTACCACGGACCGGGGGAAGGCGGAAAGGTTTGTTGAGGTGATGACGGCGGGTGTGCCGGAGTACGGGGTGACGGTGAACCCGAAAAAAAGCCTGGTCAATTTTGATACGGTCGTTGGCGGGGAGCCGGTGCCCCGACCAGAGGGAGTAAGGGATCGATTCCCTTACTGTGGTTTGTGGATTGACTGCAAGACTCTGGGGATCGTTAAACAGAGGGATGGACTGCAGGAGCCAGGTATGTCGTACACAGCTGCTCTCAGTTCAATCTCGCGAAGCTGCTGACGATATATCCAGCGATCTTCAACTCTCTCACGGTCGACTTCTCCCGCTCCCCGGGCTGGAATTTCAAGCGCAAAGTCATCAGTAGGTTCCTCCCCCCCCTTCCCCCCCCCCCCCCCAAATTCTCACCACTGAACCACACTAATAACGGGGCACCCTGACCACTTCCACAGATGCATTCAAGATTCAATCCCACCTAATGTTCTTTGATACCTCCCTCAACCCACGCACCACAGTACTTTCCAACATTTACTCGGCGTTTATGGAAACAGCGACGAAAATGTGGGCATACGCGCGCTGTATGGCTGCAGCGGGCAAGAAACCGGCCCGTGGTATCATTACCGAGACGATAAAGACGCTGATTGACGTCGCATTTGTGCTGCTGACCAGCCGTGCCCGGAGGGAGAGATACCCTGGGTATGTGTGCTCGGTCAAGAAGGGAGAGGTGTCATGGTAAGTAGTCCATCCTTTGTTTGATGCGATTGATCTCAGAGGACGTCGCGACCAAAAGGCCTTGCTTAGACAGTCTAGCGTGCGTACTAATCAATCGTTGCTGAGTCAGGCTAGCCATGACTGCTTGTCGTCAGGTGCTCAAAAGGAAACAGGCTGGTTATGGAGATACCCTGGCTTGGTTAGATGGGGAGATGCAAAAGCTATCATTGAGGAAAGGGCTAGATGTGGCAGCATTAGGCAAGGTAGTGAAAGAGTCACGAGCCGGATAAACAGTGGTGTCGTCAACTTCTGCCCATCCCCGGTTGTGCCTTTTTCGAGAAAAACTCTTAAGCAAAGGCTACAGCAACAGTAACGCGGGAATTGATGATAGTGAACAGCGTCCACTTTAGCGACAGACCCCCAAATTATTTCAGTGCTGTTATTGCCAAGCTCAACCTCCCGGATACATCTGTCTCCAAGATATCGTCTGTCATACCAGCTGTCATCCGCGAGTTGACGAAGCAAAGTCATGGATAACAAGCTGTAAATACATCGTGAGACAGTATGATTTCGATCTATGTTTTAAGAGATAATAAGCCAGGCAGCTCAGCTCCTGAGACATGTCCTCACTAGTAAAGGTCCAGGAACGTAGGGAGACAACTCCACACCTACGTAAGACACAAGATACAACACATCTCGGCCATCAGTTACTGAACTCTAGGTGTAGAAACGAAAAAAAAAAAAAAA